CCGGGGTTTTTAAGAGCGCCAAATACGCTGGTCTAATTATTTTTTGTATATTTCATAGAGGGCGCTAGTTATGCTACATTCGTATCACATTTTAAGTTGTAATTTTTTTAAGGTTAGGTTTTTTACCATTCGGGGTCCAATTTCTAATGTACAATTTTATTTTCTAAAACGAATGTACCCTTATTAGAACTTCTTAATGTGGACGTTTTTCGAGAAAAAAGATTTTTAATTAAACTCTTACAATATTACGGTGAATAAAATAAGTGACTTTTTTTAAAAGTAGGCTTATGCCAAAACTTATTAATGGATGTCTCATAAATAACGCATACATTCTTAGTAATATTTTAAACTCTAATTAACTTTCTATCAAAATTTTAGTGACTGGAATTAGTCATTACTAACTACAGTCACTAACAATCACTAAAATTGACGATTCAAGTAGATTCATGAAACTTGGTCCAGTGACGTTACTAATTATGGGCAAATATTCATTGATTGACAACCAGTAGCGGAGATGTTGGAAAACACTATATTAAGAACTTTAAAATTTCGAAGCACGTGGGTGTTTCTAAAATTGATTAAGTGCTTTGAATTCAAGTCGACCGGTTTACCGGTTGATATTTCTAATACAAGTATATCTTCTATTTACAGTTCTAATCTAAATCAAAGCCTGTAAGTTTCACAAAAAAAATTACGGGCATTTTTATTGGAAGTACAGTTTTAAATACGATGTAATATTTAATAGTTAATAATAATAGGGGGATACTGCCCCTCAGAAAATTAAAAGTTGCTACGCCAATGGTCGTTTTGGACTTTGACAATTACACTGTGTTTAAAATTGTATTTCTAACAAAAAATGCTTGTAAATTTTTTGTCCAACGAATAGATTTTAACGAAGGTATTTTCGATTTATTCGGCTATGTCAAAGTTTATTTTAAATTTCAAAACATTACATTCTCAAAGGTGGCTTATTTTTACGAATAAAGTGGAATATTTCTTTTTCGTTGGAAATGCCAAACAGAATTAAATGCACTTAGCCAGTGTTCATATACTCAGTGGCGTCGAGGTTCTAGGGTTCTTAACAATAGTGCCCCCTAGTATCTCCGTCACTGGCTGACATAGTTGTAAAACAAATCAGCAAATTTAAGCATATAATTAGTTGAGCCATTGGCCTAAATTTCATCAGTTTTCGCTAAACATTAAAAAATACTTGAATAAATGTTTTTTTTATTTCCCAAATATATCGTTTTCCCAACTGTATATGAACTTTTTTTCTTAGAACATTGTCTATCTTGCCTTCACCCTGTATCTCAAGCTGCCCCATATTCTTAATTTTTTATTTGGACATACATCTAATAAACGAATTGATTTCCTTATCTCAAATATTTATCACATAAATACCTCGGTCGAGTGAAATTGGAATTTAATCAAGCCACCAGAGGCGTGGCTACGTGGAGGGTTCGCAGATCACATAATTAGGATTAATTACCGATTTTTTTTTTGTTATTACTGTTGTTGTAAGTTTTTTAGTTCTCAATTAATAACAAGACAGATAAAGATAAGCCAATTCTGATTGCTTTAAAATAGGGTGCTTGCTCTATTTAACATTTTCAAATTGACCTTGTTTGACCTTGAAGCTTACGATCGAGGACAAATCCTAGATAACCAGCATATTGATTTCTTGACATCCTACCACTTTATCTGGAATTTGGTGGTACAATGGAAATTCCAAATAGAATACCATTACCAATACCGAGACCAATGCCCACTCATAAATTCGTTCTTCGAACCATATCTTCAAGTTCGCTATTATTGTACCTATCTGTGCGCCATTTTGGTGAAAATGTCTATCACTATTCATGCGATACATTTGTTAAAACACTGACAAAATGTACACAAGATTATATTACACCAACAAATAACTCAAACCGAAACTTAGAACCAAAGCAATTATGAAAACGTCAAAAAAATGAAGAAATGAAAGTAAACGCCGATTTCTTTCCTCACGGTAGTACGAGTGTATGATTAATAATTACAGAATCGGCCCCAGAAATATCATTAAAGTTAAAACCTTTAAAAAATGAAATCATCTGTGTCGAAAACATCCTGAATACGCAAAATATTTGATGAAAATGTATTATTAAATATTGTCTACATAATTAACAAAGTGCTTCCTTATAGGAACTTAATTTATTTCATAAAAATAGAAATATAACTTCATTGGGTATTGTTATTAAAAAAAATTAAACCTGATAGATTTTAAAGTGATATAAAAATTTAAGGTATAAAGAGACATGGCAACAACGTGAAGGACATAAATTTTAAAATTGTAGATGCATACAAATTTGGCGCAAAATTTTCGCGGCGCTTAATTAATACTAATTCAAGTTACTTGTAGTAATTTTTAGTAATATACAAATAACAGAATGTCTAAACATTTTTCTACGATAGTGGAAACAAAGTTGAAATTCGACAATTAATATCCGCCACAAGTTATTGCCTTACCATATGATACGCCACTGCTTGGCGTGCCGCTGAAACTAGCATATTAATTGCATTCACACGCAGTGCATCTCCTAAAATACACTAGTCCTTATCCTTACACCAAATGTTCTTAGGTAAGTTTCAAATTTGGAACAGAATTGTACGTATTAGTCGAGCTATTATTATTACACGACACGTCTCGTCATTGTAATTTATTAATAACTCTTGTAATAGAACGAACATAATTAAATCTATATGACATATTTGTAGTACAAATGCACTGTCCAGACGATAAATTACCTGCGAATTCGGGTCACTCGTATTTGTGACATGACTCGATGAAAAAAAATCCCTGATTGCAGATAATTCGCGAAAGAATCTGTACCTATATGTTAATAATCTATAATACCTGTAATGAATTACCGGGTAATTATTTTAATTGCTGAATGTCAATAAGAACGCAGTGGAGTGCGTTTGTCATTGTACAATTGTACATTAACTAGGTATTTAAGAAATATTAGTTTACTATCCGAACACGTTCTGTTGGCTATGCAGTGTTGCCAAATATAAATTAATGAAAGTCGTCAGAAAACTTACAACTACAACGTAATATCTAAACCGAAATGAAGTAATTTTGGGGTTATTTTCTATTCATTCGACTGCGTGATAAAGCAAATTTTGAAAACTAATTTTAAATTTAAAAATTTAAATTAAAAACTCAAAAATAAATGCATATTGAAAAAATATTTACAGAGTTTATCACTTAACGTTTCCACTGGTGGTAAAAAATACAAGACCGACAAAGGTCTGTAAAGGGCATAAAAATATTTTTTTATCTCCATTATTATAGACAAAGTTATACCTAGTACCAAAATACGTATTTTTCAATGTTCAAAAAAAGAAAGAAAATTAAATTTTGATTTTAAATGAAATACCCTACAAATTATTGTTTTTAAAAATAATGTCGAAACTAATACAATCTCAAACAATTCTCCAATGTATGTCGTTTTGTTCATTGTATTACAAGGGGTTGTTAATTTTTTTAACGCAACTTTGTATGGAAAAATATCAAACTGATAAAAATACACGTATTTCTTTATTTGTTATCACTAATATGCAACAAATGGAAAGTTTGTATTCATGTAATGTTTGAATGATATTCAGAGTGACGAAAAATCTTCTCCATTAGCTGTTAAAAAAGTAATCATTCTTACGACTTTTTATGTAAACGCAATATACAAAATTGCCAATATCTGACAAACGACTGATTTTACGGAATAACTGAATAGCGAAAAACTTGTCTAAAATTTACTCTCTATTGTAAGATGCAACCAAATTTGTTTTTTCCCGGGATCAAAAAGTTTCTTTGCATATAAAGATAAGAAAAAATATGTTTATGCCCCACATCTAACCCTTTGCTCCGTCTCTGGCTAAGGTAGATTAAAAATATATCTTAATTTCTAAGAAAAAATCGGTGGGAATATAGCACACCATGTATATGTATTTATATTTCAACCATACCTAGCGACGCCTTTAATAGATTTTAAAATTTAAATTAAACATTATAGCGAAGAACGGAAGCGGTAGCACATTATGATTTAAAAAAAAATGTGCAAACTCACTAAAGAACGATGGAGCTTATACGGACTTCGTAACAACTGGGAATATGAAAATTGTGGTTTCCCGTAAACGTTTATAATTTTTGAAATGAAATAAAGTATTTTCAACCACGTGGATAATCTTACACTACCGCACTTACCGTTGATGTTATCATTGATAAGCTTGATAAAAAGTATTCCAAAATTTCATCTCAAAACTTCCTCTATTAAACAACGTTACGACAATACTTACCCCTATGCATTTTCAATTGAAATGCAATAAAAAATAATATAGGAACTTGAATAAGATTCTTTTCGAGGTCCCTTCCAGAATTTATCCCCAAAACATTTTTATCACTATTCTTCAAAAAGGTTTATAAATGTTTATCAATAAAATGTTAAAGTTTTACAAATGGGACCTTTAGTTCCAGATTCCTTGTCTACCTAAAATCAGTGTCGGCTTGCCGCTTTTAAATGGAAAAATTAGTTTGCTAGTTTTGAAAATTATGATCATAACGGCAAGGTGAAAATTTAGTGGCAAGAAATTACAGTCTTCCACAAATAAATAACTTTATTTGTGGCATGAAATTTGAGAAATACCTACTTAGCTATATGCATATATTTACAGAAAAAAAAACTTGCGTTAAGTATTCGTATTAGAAGCGCTATTATAAATCTTACACAGTTCTAGTATTTACAATATTAGATACGTATCCCCACGCAAAATAATAATAAAACATCACAACCTTTTTGGTTATTACAGATTTCGATTAATAGATACCGGGATTAAAATTATTAGGTAAATATATAAAAATCGGCAAAATGATAACAAGTATTGTATAATAATGTAAACAATGATTCAAGAAATCCTAAATTTAGTTTATGTTATAAGATTATGCCTATTTTCATGTAAAAATTATGTATTATGAGACTGATAAGAAGGTAAGTATATAATTAAGAAAAATAACGTGCGTAACATTTATTTACAAAGTACGTAAAGTACGTACTGTAAACGTATTAAGTAATGTTAATAAAATACACCCAAATTTTAAGTTGATGATACTACGTCGTATAAATACTAGTCAATTAGGTACAGAATAAATTATAATAAAAAAAAAATAACATTCCTTACATAAATTCGTCTCAGAATACCAGTTTGTATTTTGGAAGATAAAACTTGAAAATTGTGAACAATAATTTTAAACCTGGACATTTATAACACAATCAAATGTAAGATAAAAGTAAATTTTAAAAATAAAATTTAGCTTCCCGCAAAAAATATTGCGCAACGCATGCGCAGTACTACATCAAACATGTATGCCACTGCGGAGACCTGGCCGTGAGCCCGATTAAATTCATTTTTGTTGTTTAGATTTACATAAATGTCAAAAATTTTACCTTTTACCGATTCTGCAATGCTTCCTACACAATTCTGTACTTCCACTGGGGCACTTTTCTTTACATACTGACACAGTTTACCGAACACTCGTATAACTGATTAAGAACACACAGTCAGAACGACTACAAGTCGTTGTGCTTGTAAACTAGACTCCATTTTAATATCTAAAACGACTTTCCCCGAATCGGTGCCGACTTCGACCGATGCAATTGTGATTTATCTGAATCACAATAATTTTAATCAATTTTAATTTTCGGTTTGATTAATACACCGTTTATTTTAGATCATTTTTGTTTTTCGTTCTCAGTTAATACCAACTGTTTTATAATACTCTTTATCCATTTAGGAGTTACACAAGTTTCACGATTTGTACATGCCTTTAATGTTCATACCCGTATTAACTGCCTACCTATTCTATTACCTTTTATCTATTTAATTTTACAAATGGCAATGGCGTATCTGAAATATATTTTAGAAGGAGCCATGTCGGTAACGATAACTGGTTTTTCAATCACAAGTTTCCACTTTTTTATTATTTAATTATAGACATCTCATGACTGATCAGTGATCACTTGAATTAGGTACCTCCTGCCTAGTTAACTTACCGATAAATAAATAAGTTATAGGTTTATTGCTTAAGGAAATGTGTGTTTGTAGTTTATAACGATATAATAGGCATTTTAAATTTAGCGCTATTTAAAATAAAAACGTTCCACAATTTTTTACTGGATCAGTCTATGAAACGAAATTTTATTGGTCTAAAATTTAAGGAATGTGGAAGGCTTTTGTTTCAGTTTTTCGCATGTTTTTGCATTGTTGTATTTGTTAAAGATCATCAATTATCGTTTCTTTCTTTTATAGTTACATATTACTAAATTAATATCGACTGGTATGTATTCCTGTACATGTTTGTTAGATTACTTTTATACGGTAGAAAAAATATATTTTTTATATTTGAATATTGCAGGAATTTTCCGACTTGAGCGAAATGCCATTGCTTAAGAAATCATCCAAAGGAAATCTGTCCCAGCACAAAAATGCTTTCAAAATTCCTTATGCAGACCTAACTAAAGTAAAAAATATAATCGGCAACAAAATAAACGAGCCTGAAATAAAAATAGTAAATCGTGCCTTTGCCAATAGACTTTCACAAGAAAAAAATGAGAATTGGTCATCCTCTCCCAAAGAAATCTGCAGCCAAACGGATGAAAATAGAGAAAATTCTCAGGAAAAGGAAAATACAGCCACAAAAAAGAAAAACAAAAGTGAACACGGAAATAAAATGAGAACGTTATCTTTTGAAACCGAAAGTTCAGTTTCTCAAGAGGTATTGAACAAAGATGAGATTAAGACTGCGTATGTAGAATTCATGAATAATTCATTAGCCGATAAGAAAAATAAGAAAAAGCGTGCAATTATATATAGTTCGTCAGAGGAGCTTTTTGATATAGTGGAAGGATTTCAAACTGACAATTTGAAAATTCATCCTAAAGAAGTAACGGAGAAGAAAAATAAAAAGGAAACAGAAAAAAAATCACGCACAAAGAATATACCTAAAAGTAGAAATCCCTCGAATGAACAAATAGAGGTATCTATGAGTGGTACAAAGAACAAAAAAAATTCACGTGAAAAGACAAATCGAACTGCAAAAAAAGGAAAGAAAGACGAAAGTGAACAGACAAGTAAAATCAGAAGGTTGTCTTTTGATACTGAAGGCTCATTTTCTCAAGAAATATTGAACAGTGCTGAAATTAAAGCTGCTTATGTAGACTTCATGAAAAATTCCTTAGTTGATAAGAAAAAGGGAAAAATTATGTATAGTTTATCGGAGGAACTTTTTGATGATATTATGTTTCAAAATAACAAACCGAAAATTGATAGTAAAGAAAAAGTAGTTAAAAATAAAAATAAAAGGAAAATGGAAAAACAATCACACACAAACAAAAAACCCAAAAACAGAAAGCACTCGGATAAAGAAATAGAGGAATCTCTGAGCGATAACGAATTTCCAGGCTTAACAGTAGAAGAAAAAATAAATAAGATATATGAAAAAAGGAACGTAGGGTTGTACGTGTTATGTGATACATGTAACAAAGCACGGTACTTACCTCATGTAATCGATCCTCTGGATCTTCCCGAAACATGGTTTTGCTACATGAACCCGGACGAGAAACACAATAAATGTTCAGATCCGGAACATGTCGAAGAAAACCGCGATTTTCTAATAGACAATCTGTATAATGCTGGCAGCATTGTCTTTGTTAAAATGGACGGTTACCCTTGGTGGCCAGCTATGGTTGAGGACGATGTTGACACCGAGACATATTTTTGGTTGGAGGGCAATTCAATGTCACCGGTAATTTTTTTTAGTTATACAGGATGTAGGGCTACAGCCCCCAAAATATTTTTTCCTCGGATCTCCAAAATTGTTCCCAAGATAAAACTAAAATTTGAAACGAACTGGTGGTTTTAAACTCAAATTTTAATTAGAAGCATCCCAAACTGGGCAAATTGTGATTAAATTTGGCTTTAGCTTTTTTGTATGTGGACTTTTCCAACTTTATTCCAAAATTTTGAATTTTAAACCCATAAGGGTTGCATTGTTGGGGAGAGTACAATTATAAACCACAAAAATGCTTGTTTTAAATTGTAAGTCATGTTAACTGAGTATCAATTATTTAGAAATGCGTGTAAGAATCTTCGAGTTTAATTTCTCACAATCAGTTTTGAGCTGTGAGCTGTTTTGTTTGAAGACGTGCTACTTTTTCACATCAACGATATTATTTTCTGAAAGAAAAAGTCAAAATACACAAAAATGGTATGTTCGTCTTATTTCGATAGAAACTAACCGTTTTCAAGATTGCCGACAAATTGTTTTTACAAAAATCAAAAGTAGTAAAATTTACAATAACTTTAAAGAAGCTTATCAAATTTCGGAGATGGCATCTTTGAAACAATTATTTGTGAAGGAAATTGTCAGGACAAAACTAAATCACACTGCTACATTTCGTTTATCGAAAAAAAAACTATTCAAAATTTACTCCTCTTGCTTCTACATACATTTTAGCCTTTCTTTCTTGAATTCTGTTTAAATATGTCTCCTCATTATTAATACATATGTATGCAAAGCTCTGTAGTTCTCTCCAAAAATAGCAATTAAGTGAACTTAAGTCTGGTGACCGAGCAGGCCAAGATGCTGATCCTCCATGGGCTATCCACTTAACGGGAACAGAGCTGGGAGTATTTTGACAAAACAAATACCAAATAGTATTTTAAATATAAAATAGTATTTTGTAATTAAAATACTTTTGTTATAACCCTAAAAATATTTTGCATTTCAAATACTTTAATAAAGTATTTTGTATTTTAAGAAAGTATTTAAAGTATTCTAAAAGTAATTTAAATACTCTTGAGTATTTAAATTACTCGAACTATTTAAAATACCCAAAATACCTACTAAGAAAAATTATGCACCTGCACTCCTGGAGTTAGCACATTTTACTCTGCATTCTGCAATGTGCATTACGTTATTCCTATTCTTTCTACTACCATTTAGGTCACTAGTCAAGTCAGTAGTCAATCATCAAAATTTAAAATTAACTTATTGATTAGTCCAATTAAATTGGCCTTTAAATCGCAATTTTGTTCAACTTGCCTGAATTTATAGTACATTCAACCACTACGTAGCTGGACAACTGTAGTCTCTAGCGTCACTCGCAATACGCGTGGAGAGCCACGTGGCCTTAGCGACTCCGAATACTGAAATCCGTCGTTGCGAGAGTGTTTACCTCTTATCTGTGGTGTTTACAACAGTTTTTTAGTAGTTAGTGTCTAAAATGGTTTTCATGTATAGCAATTCGGAGTTGATGGATATCGTTTTAATTTATGGTGAATCAAGACAACATTGGTATTATGGTGAAGTATTTGTGTTATGGTGAAGCAAAACAACATTTGTGTTAGTTCGTAGAAAGTGAGTAAAGACGGACCCAAATATGTTTACACGTTGGTGGATAAAATTTTGAACAATTGTTGTCGTAACATCGGGTATGTCAAATGATTTTATTATTTAAAAACACAAATTAATTTTATGAATTAATAAAGGCAAAAGCATTTAAATTTGCCGATATAAAATAGATGCTATAAAATTCGATTTATTTCTTTCTTTGCGAAAGTTTTTGTCCGTTTTTATCACACCCCCATGCCGGTCACATTGCGCGAGGTCAGGTTTTACAGTGGACCGGTTTCCAGTGCCGTGCAGAAGTGTATTTTTAAATCATATTCGAACTGCGCTTTTTGATTTTTTCTTTACAAAATTGTATTTGTAAGGGTCCCCTGTACATCCAGAATTTTTTTTGGATAAGTTCTGAATCACCCTGTATATCTATTTCTCTGAAAAAATCACGTTCGCTTTGTGAAATTGTTATAATTTTTTTATTAAAAATTAAAAAATATACCAATCTACTTCTCTGAAAAAATAGTTTACATTTTTTAGAGTAGATTTAAAAAAATTATAAAATTCATTAATTTTTTTGCTTATGATTTTTTAAATTTCTGAAATCGTCTCTTAACTTCTAGTCTCCCTAACTCTGTTAATTTTAATAGTACAAGAAAAAGTCAATGGACCATTTCTATGTAGAATTTTATGCTCTACAACTTTTATAAGAAACATTTTTTCTAACTCACCCCTGGCCGGAGGTTGAAAAGAAATTGCTGTCCCTTATTATTATACACCTCAAACTAACTTATATAAAAAATTCAGGCAAGTTGACCAACATTTGCGATTTAAAGGCCCATTTAATTAGACTATAATGGGCTATTCTATGAAAAGCTAATAAAAAATTTTGAGTGAATTAAATATTCTGCTAATCTAAATGAAAATAATTGTTTCCAGACTCGTCTATTTTTTTTTTACTTTTTTGATGATTTAAGTCACATCTTAACAGTTTCAGATTTAATATTTCACAAAAATATTTTAAATACTGTTAATGAATATTTTCAATATATGTATTTAATATTTAACATACTTAAAATACTATTTTAAATACTAAGTAATTTATATTTAAAATACTTTGCCATTGTGTTTTGTTCTTAAGTATTTTAAAATACTTTCGTACTAGTATTTCGTAATTTGTATTTTAAATACATTTTGAAAGTATTTTGCCCAGCTCTGATCCATGCATAAACATTTACTAAAAGGTTACTTAAATGTACGCCATCCAGAAGGAGAGGCAAGTAATTTAAGGAAAATTTTTTAAATTTCAGTTGTGAATCTTGAAGTTGAATTATCTCTACATATATTTAAAGAAAATTTTGTTGGCATCAAGCCTGTTTTTTCACATTGTTAATTGAGAAATGCATTTTTTAATAATTTTCTTGCAGACCTTCTACCATGTCACATTTTTCGATTCTACGGGAGTTACCAGAGCATGGATAAAAACGGAAAAGATACAGCCTTTCACGAAGAACCTAAAAAGGCCCGAGTTTCAGTTACCCGCAAAGCACCAATACAAATCTAGAATGAACATGGCCATGAAACAAGCCATGGATGCGGCAGATATGCCCTTGATCGACAGATTGAAAACGTACGGTTTTTTGAAACGATACAGAAAACCGGTAAAGCGTAACAAAAATACCAAAAACAAGGAAATCCTAGACGAGAAGCGTAGGGAGGTGTCACCTTTTGTTGAAGACATGTCTGTGCTTTTGGACAGCATAAATATGTCCGACATATCTTTTAATTTGCTTGACTAGGCTGTTTTGAAATCGATGTCATTCGTTTTTAATATTCAGAGTTTAGTTTTTATTTTTTGAGACGATAAAATAAAGTTCAGTTAGTTAAATTGCTAAATTAAGTTCCGTTTCAAATTAGTTCTCAAGCAAGAACGTAGTAATTTGGTCGAGTTTAATTTTAGTTTTTTTTTTTTTCTGTAAAAATTAAGATCCCAAAAGTTTTTGATAATTTTCCATTCTACGGGGTGTTCGGAAATGAATGTGCCTTACTTCGAGATTAGTTTCCCTGTATGAAAATCATTTAGATCAAGTTGCTTTTGTACAATTTGTTTCCTTAAAACGTTTCAAGTTTTAATTTTTATTTTGTTTTTTGTAATTTTTTATTTTAAGATAAGTGATTTTTAGGGCAATTCATTGAAAGGTATAAGGAAATTTCTGAGGTAGACAAAGATAAGCATAGGTTTATTTTTTGTTTTTCATTTTTTTTCGTAGGAATTTTGAGAATTTACAGGTGTTTTATGAAATATTTCTTTACTTATTGTATTAATTGTAATCTTGTCGCTAAAATGTAGCATTTAAAAAAATGGATTTCAGTTTTCGACTGTACCCTATCAATTACAAGAGCGTACTATTTTGCTCTGATTAAACTTCGTCCTTTGGCTAAAGATTGACCGCAAAATCCACCTGTTTTTGAGACTTTGACAGAGGCGACAGGAAAAATCCTAAATATATTCTAAAAATATCCAAAAACTCGTTGTTGTAAAACCCCAAATATTTCTATGTTGTTATCAAAATAATATTATAAACGTGAAAATATTTAATTTCGTATTTGATACGGTCTTGTCGGGACTGAAAATCTACCCTTAATATCCCCTATGTGCCTAAAAATGCAAAAAATATAATAAAAGTTGCAATTTTTTTCTTTTTCTTTTATACGTGATAATTGAACTGTTAATAATATAATAATTTGTGGCTTTTATCTTCCTTTTTTTGTATTATTGACTATTCCCATACTTTATTGTAAAGTCTTTAAGGAAAATAAAGGTTATTTATTTATTTATTTATTTTGATCCGAAGGAAAATACCCCCAAAATGAAAAATTTTCGAAAAACTGAAAGTGATGCTCATTTTCATTTTTCATGAAGAGTATTTGGATATTTTTAGAATATTTTTAAGGATTTTCCCTGTCGCCTCTGTCAAAATCTCAAAAACAGGCGGAAAAAAGGCTTTCTTTGTAGTCACTTTTTATGTCTTTGTTCTTCTTTTACCATTTGATTCAATTTACCTCTGTCCAGTGCCTACTGAAATATAGTTGCTTATTGTTTCTTGGAACTACAATCAAAGGGCTATATCTCATTAAATAACTGTAACTTGGTCTGAATCTTAAAAAACATTTGATGTAACACAAATTTAGCAAAAAAAAGAAGTTTGGTTAAACTAGAATTCTTCGAAGTGTCAGAAAAAAATGGAAAACCATTTTCTTCTAGAATGGTGCGATTTAGCCATATGTGACAAGTATATCCTTTTTTTTACATTAAATAAAGAGATATAAAAACATCTACTCTAAAATTTGTACAAAATAATAATATGGCAAAAACAAAATACTGTCTAATTTTTTAACCACCTCTATGGTTTAGATTATTGTTCTTCTGCAACTAATTCAAAAACATTCTCATATCAAATTTCGTTGAAATATCGTAAAAACTGACAATTACCGTATATAAAAAAAATTAAAAAAAACAAACTTTTTTGAAAATTCGTAACGTTTTAAGGAGGTACCATTGCACCAAGGTAACTTGATCTAAATCGGTTTATTTTCAATCAAGGAAGCTATTCTTGAAATATGGCCTATTCGTTACCGACCACCCTGTATATGTTTATCTTTAAAAATGACTTGTTTTTGATAAATTTATTTAATTAAGCATAATCGTAATTGTATCGTTTTCATTTATTTGTTCCGTTTTTTCATAAAATAAATAAATCTGTTAGAACACAGTTTTTATATTGATTATTTGGACGATATTTTAATCATTTGTCGAGTAATGGATGCCTCTATCTGATGTCTTTTAACACTCGCCATGAGTTACTTTTTTGAGTGGGTATTCACCACACAAACAGTACTTAACAAGTAACGTAGCAAAAAACCCAAGCAGTAATCAGTAACAATAAAGGAAATACACAAAAATAGACAGTCTGTCGATGGCTTCCAGCGATGAAAAACATTTAAATTCACAGTACATCTAGGTTTCCAAATGCGGAACAACAACTGACACCCTTCGCTTCGTCAGTCGTCACCGTTGACCCACACTATCTCTCTTCACATGCACTGTAGGCTGCCTACAATTCATATATTTGTAATACATGAATATTACATTACAGTGGTGGCGTACACAAGTATTAAAGTGCATTTTAAAGAACTAATTATATTTATTTGATTATAAAAAAAAGAGTTTCAGATTCGTATTCAGGGGAACTTGTAGTGTTACCTCTAAAACCGGACCCCCACTTAAAGTTTTAAAGCTATCACGACTAGTGCTGATATTTAAAGTACGATGATTTTTCGGAAATTCAGAGTTACCTTTCAGGTCCTTAGATTTAGCTAGGAATCTTTGACCCGCCTTTGTTGTTCTCGGGCTAAGCTCTGTGGGGGTGGATCCGCTATTAAAATCCCTAGGCCCGCTCTGATGTTCATTTTGGTTCTTATTGGTTCTAAAGCCGCTACAATGGAACAGCTCCTCAGACAATGGTGACTTTTTGAGAGGTTTCATAGTGACCTATGTAAATGGTCACATCTAATGCTTCTGAAGGTTTCACTGTTCTCTGTCGGCATCTTCAGCATGACTGAATTTGTCACACTGTGGGATAACAACCCAAAAATCATCATACTTTAAATATTTTGTAAAAGTTAATTCATTAAAAAAAAAAATGATATAGTTGCTAAAATGATTTTCAGAGAAACAAAGAATTTGTTAGTTAAAGCTCCTATTTTTTCCGGAACTGCAAACTGAATCCTCTTTTTACTCGATATCTAGTAATTTCAAGAGAAATTAACGAGGCATTTTTCGTACAAAATCGACATATCATTCAAAAATTCAGTGGTTTTTGCTGAATTCCCCAATACACCACTGATATAGGGAACGTAATGTTTGAAGATTTCTTTTTCCCGTGCCCCTATAATATCTACCAAATTACATTGTATACATGGTGTGCCATTTAACACTCCCGCTGCCAACATCCTCAAAATGAAGAAATTTATTTTAGTTCTGGAAACTGGGGTCCCTCAAATCTAAATCTAACAATTCTAAATTGCATTTAGAACTAACTATTCTAAATTGCATTTAGAATTGTTAGTTCAAATCTTTCTGTATAGATGGCGTGGCGATACTAAAAAATTTTTTGATTCCTGGAACGTGAAATTCGTTAAATTTTGAGTAATTTTTGTAATATAAAGTTTTCCCCAATATTTACTTGTTTTTGAAATATGTCGACTAATATGTTGCATCCAGCGTTATAACAAGGTATAGGCAGAGTAGGCACACGCCTATGGGTGCAAGCTGCTAGGGCATATGGAACCAAATTGCCAACACAAATATTTAAAAAATATATTTGTAAAAACATTCTGGAAATTTATGTAAAATCCTTATAGTTTCCGAGAAAAAAATTATTGAAGTTGTAGTATTTTCAATTTTCAACATTTACATCGCTGAACCACTGTAGTCTCTAGTATTATTCACATTGTACGTTGTGCGCAATGCGCTCTTTCTCCACGTGGTCCCAGGCGATTCTGAATACTGAAATCCGATTTTAGTATTCACGTTTTTGGGATAGTGTTTACATTAGTTCTTCAAGCGTCATTTTAATTTTGATTGAAGAAAGACCACATTTGTGTTAGTTCGAAACTGGATAAGACGTGGCTGACCCAAATGTGTTTACACGTCGGCGGACAAAATTTTGAACAGTTGTTGTATCATCACGTATGTCAAATTATTTCATTAACTAAAGCCCCAAATTAATTTTATTAATTAATAATAACAAAAGCGGCAAAAGCAGTTGAATTTGCGGATGTAAAATAGGTGTTGTAAAATTTTATTTATTTCTTTGCTTGGGAAAGGTATTCTTTCAATTTTTTGTTCCTTAATTTTTTTATTACACTTTGCTGCTATGCCGATCGAAGACTGCATGCTTTGCCTTGCTTAAGGTCAGGTTTTACAGTGGACCAGCTTCAGTGTCGTGCAGAACTGTATTTTTAAATTATTTTCAAAACGCCTTTTTTTGATATTTTTTTTATAAAATTGTGTTTGTAAGTCCCCTGTACAATCAAAAAATTTTTTTGGATGAGTTCTGAATCATCCTGTATATTAACTTATTATTTTTTTTAATTCCGGATTATTAGTAGATTTACTTTTAAATTTCTTTTTTACAAATAAGTACCTATTGTACTTAATATTTTTTTGTTTCTGCAGTCGTCTATGATATTTTTTATTTATATTTATTATTTACTTTCCCAAATATTGCAGCTTTATATTTTCTTGTGACTATGAAATTTGTACCTATTTGTAAGTTTTGATAATTTAAGTCAAACAATTTATCATGTTCTATTTTTATCTTTTTGTTACGTTTTTAAAAATAAAATGTTTGTTTTTGAGATTTTGCGTATTTTTGTCTCGAAAACAAGTAAATATTACTCTATATTACGAAAATTACTCAAAATTTAACAATCTTTCAGAAGGACCACATTTCCACGTTCTAGGAGTCAACAAATTTTTTAGTATCGCAACGCGATCTTTACAGAAATATTTGAACTAACAATTCTAATTCCAATTTGAAGCTATTCGAGGGACCTAACAACCCCAGTTTCCGGAACTAAAATAAATTTCTTCAATTCGGAGATATTGGCAGCGGAATATGTTAAATGGCACACCCTGTATATGTGCAACCGTTTCGGATATCTTAGGACCCGTCGTCCCAATTTTAATTATTCGTTTTGCAAATTTCGTTCGTTCGTTTTCACCACGAAAGTTTCCTATGTAGGCCTTAAATCATCCCTAAAAAAACGGTATGGATCTCACACTTCATAGTTAAAATGTAACCGCTTTAATTTTCACCTGCCGCCACTGATATGGCCGTAGGAACTGACGCGCCGATTGAAATAAATGCAGCAGTAATAAATTTATGAATTTATTATAGCTATATAGCACATTCAAATTTCCAAAATGAAAGAAAACACGAAACAAACAACTCCAAATTAATCGATCTATATAATCTTACATATTATTCAGTTTACGCTGGTATATACAATAAAAAATAAAAACCTATCTCGTAAATATATTTCATATCCTAAATACTATCGAAGGTAGTAGGTAAATATTATCACATTTACATGACAAAGACTTTTTCCAGTTTCTTAAATGAAAATATTTCTTTAGTTTTAGGACATATTATTTGGCCGTTGTTTTCGCGCGCCATCTGTTCCAAGGCCTGAAAAGATAAAAGTAACTCATCAGAAAATACATTCATGTGCCTCCACAAAGTCCAATCAAACTGAAAGTCTATTAATTTCTAATCTTGGTAAATATTACAGTGTAGAAAACTTCTAAATCTGTAACATTTATACATAAAAATAAATAACAATAATAATAAATGGTAATTTCAGTATTAAGGTACCAGTAATCATCAGTGACCCAGAATTTTGAAATTCGAATACATCTCTATGAATCTTCATAATATTCAATTCTCATACTAACAGTTGAAAGTTCAACAAAAAATGTAATGATTACTTACAATATCATTGTTCAACTCATTTAAACTCATTTAAACAAAATGAAAGTTTTGACACATCTTAAAAATACAAAATTAACTAAACTCAGCTTCAAATTTTGTTTTTTTTTAATTTCCTGTACGATTACTTCTCAGTTTTATAAAAAATTAGAGCAGGTTTATTGCTCCTTAAATCAATGATTAAAATGAAACAAAGGGCCCCGCACAAATCTTATGGAAATTGGGTCCCGATCAAATTCGCTGAATTTTTGATATGTGATAGAGTTCATCATACTGGTCAATTGTCTCAATGGCCACAAAGCTCAAAAATGGATAGTTTGGCCGGTACAGAGCTTTAAAGCTCCGAATATCCTCCACGGATTTATGTATATGCACAGTGTGTATAGACTTTTGAAATAGCCTATTTCATTTTTTTTATTATCTAGGTTTATATTTTTGAGGTTGCTGAATTCAGATCTGTTGTTAGATTTTCAAAATTGACAGTTGGCAGCTGTCAAATAGCTGTCAATGTGCTATAATAAAGCCAAAAACTTGTTTTTTTATGTTTTATCTTTCTTTTTTTTTAGTTCGATAAGTTCAAAGACGATATCAAATCAATAACAATGACTATCGGCAGCTGTCATTTAGCTGTCAACAATTCTTCAAAGTCCGGTAATAAAGTCAAAAAATTATTTTTTGTTTATAACTTCAAGTTTTTTAGATAAGTGAATATAAATATGATATAAAATTATGTAGTCATCAGCTTACAGCTGTCAACAAGCTGTCAACTAACTGTCAAAATGCAATAATAGAGCAAGTAACTTATTTTTTGTGCTTAACTTTGTGGATAAGAAATCAAACATGATATAAGTTTATGACATCACTTTTGAACTCAGTGATCTAAGCAACTTAAAGCTTTTTAAAAAAAGTAACTTTTTGACTTTATTATTGCATTTTGACAGTTAGTTGACAGCTTGTTGACAGCTGTAAGCTGATGACTACATAATTTTATATCATATTTATATTCACTTATCTAAAAAACTTGAAGTTATAAACAAAAAATAATTTTTTGACTTTATTACCGGACTTTGAAGAATTGTTGACAGCTAAATGACAGCTGCCGATAGTCATTGTTATTGATTTGATATCGTCTTTGAACTTATCGAACTAAAAAAAAAGAAAGATAAAACATAAAAAAACAAGTTTTTGGCTTTATTATAGCACATTGACAGCTATTTGACAGCTGCCAACTGTCAATTTTGAAAATCTAACAACAGATCTGAATTCAGCAACCTCAAAAATATAAACCTAGATAATAAAAAAAATGAAATAGGCTATTTCAAAAGTCTATACACACTGCGCATATACATAAATCCGTGGAGGATATTCGGAGCTTTAAAGCTCTGTACCGGCCAAACTATCCATTTTTGAGCTTTGTGGCCATTGAGACAATTGACCAGTATGATGAACTCTATCACATATCAAAAATTCAGCGAATTTGACCGGGACCCAATTTCCATAAGATTTGTGCGGGGTCCTTTTTTGCATTATTTTTTTTACGTTCTTCGCGTTAGTTACTCATCAAATATCGAAAATAAAAAAATTCAAAATTTAGAAAAAAACATTTAAAAAAAAAAATTTTAAACTAAAAAAAAAAATTTTTCTCGACATTTGCAATATTTAATGTAAAACTGTAAAAAAGATAATGCAAAAAATTTTGAACTGATTTTATTTCAATTGATTTTTTTTGAAATTTCGAATCTTCTTTTTCTATAATTGATGAGTATTAACGCGAAATTGTGAGAAAAATACCGCAAAAATTTTTTTTTTGTCTTCATCAGTACCTACCTAATTGAAGTATCGACAAAAAAATTCGAAATTTTAAAAATTTTTTTTAAATTAAAAACTTCTTTTTTCTCAACATTTGAAATATTTAATGTAAATTTGTAAAAATGAACGCAAAAAAATTTTTAAAAATTGAATTTTTTTTTCAATTGAATTTTTTTTTCAAAATTTTGATTTTATTTATTTCAATAACTGATGAGTATTTAACATGAAATTGTGAGAAAAATAACAAAAAAAATTGTTTATCTTAATGAGTAATTGATGTATCAAATATCGAAAAAAAAATTTTGAAAAGTAATCAAATTTAAAAAAAAAATTAAATAATTTTTTTTCGACATTTGAAATATTTCATGTAAATGTTTTTTTCAAATGTTAGAATTATTTGTTTTCAATAATTATTGAAAACAAAAAATTCTAAAATTTGAATTTCGCTTTAAATACTCCGATTATAATTGATGAGTATTTAAAGCGAAATTGTGAGAAAAATAAAAAATTTTTTTCTACTTAATCAGTAACTGATGTTAAGGAGTAATAAATCTGCTCCTTAATTTTTTATACAACTGACGATTAAGGAAAGGAAAACGGTTTGACAGATCGATTTCAAAATTTACATGACTTATGGGGCTAAAAAAAATCTTCAAGCATTGGTACTTTTTGGCAATATTTGTAAAGTAGTCGTTGATATTCCAAAACAGCAGAAAGTCTTATTTTTTCAAACAAAAGGCTCTTGAAGAGGATTAATTTAGGCTGTACGATCATTAGTTTATGAGATATTGATGGATCAAAAAAAAAAAAGATGACTTCATTTAATAGACGATATCTCAATGAGAAATAATAGTACAGAAAATTTAAAAAAAAAACTGGAGCTGATGAATCAGGCTAAATGACCCTGGCGTTGATTAAGTCAGAAAAAAAATTCTGAGCCCATATGGTTTCGAAAAAAAAAAAAAATTGCCCTGCATTATTTCGTTTGATTGCGCCGAGTGATGCTCAAAATAATTTTTCATATCAGGATTTCAAAAATAGAATCTTCAAGCTTCAAGATGATTTTTTTTTCTCGATACGAGACCATTATTCGCGAAGTTACAGCCTTTCAAAAATCACTAAAAAAATTTGGAAATGTTTCTGCTTCTTTAATATTTTTGCCGAGTGTATTAAAAGTAAAAAACGTGGTGCCAAAGAAAAGACGCCTCCTGTTATAAACTCAAAGAACAAAATTATTTCCAAAAGCAGAACAAGATGAAGATTACGAATTGGAACGAGTAGAAGAAAGATGTGGGCAAAATATAACCCACAAACTATATTATATCTTACTTGTCACAATTACTCAATGATTACTGACAAAGAGCGACCTACTAATCTGTCGGTACTATTAAAACACGACTAGTATTGCAATAAGCGAAATAAAACTTATAACTAATGATGTGGGAAAACACTACTCTCTAGACTGCTATACCTGCAATATTTAGTAAACAGTTAAAAAATTTGCTGTTTACTAGATATGGTAGATCTAATTCAATGTTGAACGGGGCTGTAGTCAGCAGTCCCACAATATTATTAGTTAGAAGGAAGATGATAAAAAAGAGGAAAATAGGAAAAATTAAGGTGCAGGTGAATATACTGGTCATAAAGAAAATGTGATAGTGTCAAACATTCTTTACATGATAACATGAAAGACATGTACAAGCTTCTGAAAGTACAAAAGTATTTTATTGTTTCTCTTGCACTGATTTTACGGATTTTAAATTATCGTTTTATTAATTGATTCCAAATTTGTTCCATAACTTTCGATAACCTGACAATTACTGGTACATTTACCTTGTCAACTGTTGTCAAAAACATGTTACTATTGAACTGAAAGAAAAAAAATCGAGTGGATAATTATCGACAGATCGATTTTGATAATTGGTACAGTTGATTACAAAAACTCTTCAAACCTAACCTAAAAGTTAAAAAGTATTTCGTTTTACCTGTTCCCCGTAGATGTATCCGTTGGGCAACATCATCGGCTGGTTATTTTCGTTCATAGGGAGCCCACTGATATGGCAATACAGCCGGGACTGCGAACAATGAGCAAATGGCAGGTGTTCTGCAAGATCGTTCAAGTGAGGCTGGCAGACGGGGCACGTCGGGTTCCTATTTTCGCAGTTGTCCGAGTAACACTGAGTGCTATGTATTAAGGAAGATATGCGAAATACCATAATGGTAGCTCAAGTTAATAGCTTTTTCACAACAGACTAAATGATTTTCTTTGGTGTGCACTATTTGGCCCAGTGAAAATAATTTTTCAAAATTCTAAATATTCACCGAGATATTTTTCTTTTAAATCATCATGTACAACTTGAGAACTGTTGTCCACATGCAAGGTAATCATTTATTTGGGGATCATGAAGGCTTGCAAAAAATGTAATAAAATTTCTAGGATCGTATTTAAAAAAATGAAGTTGATGATAGTCCTGGAGAGACGAAACGTTACATATAAAAATTGATTATGCCATTCGATAGAGGGCAAAAAGTGGCCATGAGAAAGTGTTCTTCTTTTTTCAATATCACCTCAAACAAAGCTGAAATGAAACAAAAACCGATTTCCAAAATTTCTGTTTTTTTCAAATATTTCGAAAATTAATCATGTTAGCCTTGATTTTTTTAGAGGCATAATGTTGGTCCCCTGATTACGCAACTTTGCCCCCCTTTAAGCTACTTCGTACCTCTTACCGTTTCCGAGATCCCTGTAGTGAGAAGTGAATTTGTAACAACCTGTATATGCATTTTTAGGTTATATTTAAATGCACCTTGAAATTTTACTTCAAAAATCTTAAAAAAGTATGAAACAATTGAAAAAAATAGTTTTATCATCCTGTATCTCATAAATAAAATTTTTGTAGCACTGCTTTGATATGAACCTTTTTTGTTAGTAATCCGTAAAATTGGTTGGTATAATATTGCAACACCCTGTATATGACATTTGCATTTTGAATAAAAAGGATATGGCGTTTTGAGAGCCGAGAGGCCCGCTTGTAGAGCCACGGTGAAGACGGACTGAGAAGCCAACTGGAAAAGCCTATAATTTTCTTGCCTAAATTGTTCGATGAGCGTATCCCACCTAGTTTCATCGAAAAGCGCTTTGTAGGGAGCAATAACTGAAAAATGCCTTTTAGAAACATCTAAAGACTCCCACGTAAAGAATCTGAGTTAAAGAACTGATCTGTACGAATTATCAAGTTCATAACAAACCTGTAGTCACGGGAAAAGCCAACAACGCCATTACTTGCTGGATTGTAGAAAGGTGTTCCTCTTCGAAACTCGGGAAATGTTTCCTGGCGTGTTTTATGGCGTCAATCCTACGGTCGGACCGAATCAGTTCCACGAATTCCTGTATTCGCAGATTAAACTCCATGTTCGACTTCAGTTTGCGTAATTTCGATTTATTGTCGTGGCACCACAACAAACACTTGGCCGTTTCTCTATTTGCCAGCGATTTTTCCACTTCCCTTGAAGTCAGGAATATATCTAAAAATTAAGATTCTGTACGGTATTTAAAGTCTGTAGACGACTTCAATTTACCGATATTCGTTAAATCCTTAATGTCAGACCTATCGGCGAGAGTTATTGCAGCATTGTAATATCCATTTCTCAAGAAATATTCCACGACCATTCTGTCTAGTCGTTTACGTCGCCATTGGTTGAGGGCCCCCTGGGAGATGTTTCCCCCCGGGGTCAGAGTATTGTGGTCTTTCAGATGCTCTAGTCTACGTTTACACACATTGGAGGCAGCTAGCTCCTCTGAAATGCTCTCCTCCGCTAAAAGGTCAGTGTTATTTAAATTTTTCTCATCTTAATTTGAATTTGTAATTTTATTTAGGCTTTTAACTTTATTTTATTTATGTTTTTAACTACATTTCATATTTCAAATCTAAATAATAAAAACACTTTACAATATAATTAGGTAGCTGATTAGGTTGATTCTTTCTGAATTTGTTGAACTTTTCATAATGTTGTAGATAGATTTATAGATATTTTCTTTTAAACAAATAGTTACAGTTATCATCAATTTATTCCACCTTTTTTATACCTAAGCTATTTTAGATTTACAAAGATAATTCGAAAACCGCTTCAAACAGACCGTTCTTCATTTAAATACTGCAATTTACAATCAAATGCACTTAACAAATCATGAAAATACGCCGTGATATGAAAACGCTTACTAGCTTTCTTAGTAGCACTGACTTTTTGTTAGCCGTTTGTAAAATATTTGACACAAATTATATTCTTAAAATAATTCATCTTTGAAATATTTCTGTGCCCTTAAGGAGGTTTATCTGATTTGGAATTGACAAACAAATATTCATAAAAAAATTAATATAAGCTTATTAATATGAAAAAATTCTCAAAAAAAAAAACTATGACTAGTTTGGATACCTAAGAGACGAGATATTAATAAAATAATTTTTCACGATTTAGTACAGTCTTATTAGAATGTGCAACAATTGACGAACAGTTTCCACAGCAACTTGTATAAATAGGAACCCGATATCTAAGGAAACGTATGACAGCTCGTAGAAATCGATTAGGTACTTGTAAGATACATAATTTATAATAATTCTCCTTCAAACTGCTGTCGTTGACTAACTTAACCTCCATATGCGTAATAGCGGGAACGCCGCGGTTCTCGAAGTAGCGTATTATTTGAAATTCGCAAGTGTGACATAGGATATTTCAAGCTTAGGCATCCAAACAAAGCCAGCCAAGTGCAACGTTGCCAAATCTAAAGGCTTACTTACTACTTTAGCCACTAGCGAATTTACGGAAACTCTCGTTAAACTTTAGACGTACCTCCGTACTCGATAAACCTCCTTAAAAGCAGGGTGCAAAAAAATCATGATGTTTTTTAAAAAATCAAAAAACCCGATTTTTTTTATTTAAATCAGATTTTTTTGACTTAAATCAGATTTTTTGTTTAAATCGCATTTTCTAGTAATTAACGTCTTATTTCCTGTCAATAATGCCTAATTCGCTGCACCTATACAATAACAAACATTTCCATAGCGCTGCATAAAAAAAATAAAAAATAAAAATTTCCAATCGAATGGTGGATATCTCACAAGGATGTATTTGGAAACAATGGAGATGTTTTATCAAAATTACTAGGCAACTTCTGGGAGCTGTGGCATCATCGGCGTCAGTGGAAAGAATTTTTTCTTCGTTTGGATTAGTCCATTCTAAATTGAGGAATCGACTGGGAGTAGAGAAGGCAGGCAAATTGGTGTTTTTGTTTAAACGTTACAACAGCAAGTGTGATATTTTATTTGATGAATAACTATTAGGTATATTTGTGTTATATGATATATTCGTTTTATACCTTTTACATTTTGAGTTATTAAAAATATTAAAATATTACAACAGAAAGTATATTATTTTATTGATGAATAGATATTAAGTTTATGTGTTGAATGAATCATGTTTTATAGTTTTGTAACTTTTACAGTTATTTTTCGATTTAATAAAAGCGTTTAAAAAAGTTGATTTTTTAAAATTTATTCCCATGATTAAAATAAAAAATCTACTGATTTAATTCACGATTTAAATCTTGATTTAAATCAAGTTGATTTAAATCTTTGCACCCTACTTAAAAGTTAGATCAATTTTCTTTTAATATTATGATGTAATTATAATTTATAAGGGAAAATCAATAATAGTTAAAAGCGTATTGCCTTTATTTAAACAAAAAGAAAAGCATATTTCGTCTGTGTCACCATTTTCATGTTCTTGTCAAAATAAAGTCTGTTTCGCGTGAATATGAATTTAAAAAAATTTTTTGCGTAAAAACTATGAATGCTACAAGATTTTACCAAGAGCACGAAAATCTCGAAAAAGGACTGATGCATCGATAAAAATAAAATGAATTAATTCCAGCAACCAAATAAAAAGTTCTGGTAATTCTTTACCAAGACACTCAAGAATTTACCACCAGCCCAAGGCAGATGGGCGCGGTTGCTTAATCAAAACATGACTTTTACTTAGGAACAAGTCCACAGCAAGTTTTATTAAACATATATTTTTTTAAGAACTTTTACAGTCAATAGCAGAGGAGCCAGACATTTTTTCTTAGTAGAAGTTAGGTCAAATCGTCTTCTCTTGAGCCAAAGAATATCGCAGTACCTTTTTGATCATGTGCTTATGGGACACCCTGTATAACCAATGGCAAAATTGTACTGTGAATTGATTTAAATTAGTTTATTTCCATCCAAGGATGCTATCCTTGTATCCAATCACTTTGGACATCCTGTACAATCAATACCAGACTTTGAGAGCTACATACAAACATAAAACTTTGCAATAATTATATTGTATACTGTTTCATAAAAATACACTTACACAAAAATTATAAATTTAACTACTACCACATTTTATGACTCAATAACTTTTATTCCATTTGTTAAAAATACATATAAAATAAGCGTCTGCTTACCTTTTCTCTTCAACACCTGCAGTTTTTCTACCATACCTCCAAGTAGTGACGTAATATCTTTCGCTTTTACCTCCTGACAGTCCGAAAGGGTTTTCTCTATTTCATTAGCAGCTTGCTGTACATGAGACACCTCTCTATCTAAGGCCTTTTGAGCAGTTCTGAATTTCTTATTTAGAATTTCATATGGCACCTGAGATGACGTTTATTCATTTATATTAAGACATTGAATTCCTAAATAGCATTAGATAACAAAGCAGCAAAATAAAGACTGAAAGATTGATCAACATCAATTCATGAAGTATTAAAATGTTCTACTGTCAGAGAAAAAAAAATATGTTTTACTGCTGATATATTCTATGAAATCAATTTAGACAAGATTTGGTTTTTTAACAATTTACGGTTTCTATTTTTCGAAGAACCGTTCTTTGTAACATAATTTTAAAATTACCATATTTTCATTAATCATATAGTACTTTTTACTAATAGGTATTTATTACAAAGTTATTGCCATCAGAATAAAATAAATACTTCCTCCCTGAAATATCTACGACTTCTAAAATAGTAGTGACCTTATTGACGACACATGCAAGTTAAAATATAAATTGAACCACAACTAATGTTTATACAAAAATGAATCAGGGATCTTTGAATAAAAATATATAAATCCTGACATAAACAGGCATGTATAAATGTAAAAAAAAATATGTTTAGCAATTACTATACAATTAAATTGATTCACAAAAAACATTACATCAAGGACAATAACGAAGATAAGAAAACAATAGAAGAATCATTTTTGACATTAAAATACAGTATCATAGCAAAAAGTTAATTTTTTGCTTATTTCACAATAAATATAAATTGAAATTATAAAAGTACCTACGTTTAAAAAAATTTCATAGTCACATATGTCTGGGTTAACGACGCACAATGCATTCCGTAAAAATATAAAAGAAATTATAAGTACGTACTCTATTCACTAACAAAAGCTTTTATTATGCGAAAACAATTAGCAGCACCATATATTTTAAGAACATTATGTAGTGAATAACGTATTCATTATTCAGATCCATAAATTTGAAATTACATGTGCATCAAATAGGTGACATCACTATTAAACACTTAAACATTTTTCTTGCAAGTTTCATTACGTTTATCTATTTTCAACAAAGATATGTGAAATATATGACGTAAGCAATATTGCACATTTTTCATTAATGCATTTGAAGAAGAAATTAGAGTCACATTTTTATAACATTTATTATTACCCTTATTCCTGTTGAAAATAATATTTTCAAGTAGACCAGTGGTATAATAAAATTAATTACAAAAGATATACCTATATTAACAAAACCCATTTTAGCCCACAAAAAAGAACTTTTTTACTTAAGCCATAATTATTATTGTTACAAAATGTTATTCTAATGTAGGAACATCTGAAATTATTGAAACATATGCATATTATATGCTGATTTATTCTTACATAATCTGTAAATTTTAGATGAATACATATAAGCAGCTACCAAAAATACAAATATTTTAATTTTCAATCAACATGCTTCTGGTCAAGTATTGATAATCATGATTTTACATTTTTGATCAAATATTGCCATAAAAGTGAAATTAATCGAAAATTGTACTTAGAATGAACTCTTGAGTTTAAATTTAATTTAAGAAGTTTTTTTGTTTAATAACTGAATTACACAACATAAAGTAAGCAGTTACTTGAGATTTTAAAACTCAATATTTCTGAAAAATGGTTAATTTGCATACTGCAGAGGTGAAGAAACTAGTGTATTTAAAGTTATTTCTGTATCCTGAGATTTATTCAGCAAGTAGGAATAAAACTAAAAGCAAGTGAATATAACAATACCCTTATCTTTTTTTGGTCTGCACTTGGAAGAAATTTGATATGCTTCAGAAACCTGAACAAATCTACGTCCTACACTAATTGATTATCCCCTCTATCCATGCTGACAAAAAATGTTGCAAAAATTCTAATTAAAAACTGCACATTCTTAACAATGAAATGCGAAAAGTTTGCTTAATATTTGAAGAGAAACAAACATGGTTAATACATTTAACTACCTTTAAAGTAGGATGTTCTAAAGACTTCACATCTGCCATTTTGGACCACAAATAAAAACATAAATAAAATAAGTTCTCCCAAACAGCTGATATGACAAGGAGTAAAATGCTGGTTGTCAAATGCGACCTTCGATCTAAGAAGCCTAGATATCCAAAGATTAAAAAAAAAGCAGATGTAAAATAATTGAAAAATATATGAAAAAAGATAATATAAAATATGCAGACTCAAATATAACGACTTAGGCTTAATAACATGATTAGGTATAATAAGTATCAAATTAATTTTGATTTAAATTTTTGAAATTTGCAAATTGTAGAATTATGGTTTTAGAGCCACTGATCAGTTTGTCATGCCATCTAGCAAGCAAAATCAAAAACCGTTCAAGGTTTCTGATAAAATTTAATCCGAATAAAATTGGTTCGAATTAATTTATCCCGAATCCGAAAATGACCTCCTATAATAGGAATTCCTTAAATTCTTTTAAATTTTTATATGAGTAACATTTATAATTAAATCATTCGGATATATTTCTTTAACAAATCAGTTACAAATCAGTAAAATAACAATTTAAAAATATAAAAATTAAAAATTGCAGTTTAAAAATATACCAATAGATGGCCAAATCAGAAATCAATACAAAATTTTTAGTTTTACTATGACGTCATTATTTTTAGACAAAATTTTGTTGAAATTTAAACAATAATAAAATATATTCAATTATTATTTCCAAAACAAAGTGATTTTCTTCTAATTTAAAAAGTGATGGATACGCGCCAATTAAACATCTTGCATTCGAAGGACTGTACAATATAACCTCATTATTTTAATTCTAACATATATACGTTTTTTAAAATTTCGAGAATGCCAGAGCAAAGCAACGATTACCGTGTCGTGGTTTTTGGGGCCGGAGGCGTGGGGAAAAGTTCGCTCGTTTTGAGATTCGTTAAAGGAACCTTTAGAGAGAGTTACATACCGACCATCGAAGACACATATCGACAAGTAAGACAAAAGCAGAAGATGTACTTTTTGTTTATGGCAAAATTTTATTTTCAGTTTTTGTTGTTGTACGATTTTGTTACTTGATGTATTCTTTTTCGCTTGATATTGCTGTGTAGTGGTAAGTAGATTTTTTGTATAATTTTTACATTTCGATGCCATATTTTTTTATAAGGCGTATCTTGTAACTTTTAAGGCTGATAAATGTATAATAATATTCAATAGTATACGATATTACTCAAACTTTTGCATCAAATTGCTTCTGTGGTTTCCTACTCATCGTGCTGTGTGGACAGCATGCAAGCAACGAGATTTTGTTATAATGTAACTGCAACAGTTTTAAAAAGTTAGAAACTTATAAATCATATTAATTTGTGTGATCTAAACTAGAATACAGGCAGTCAGTACGATATCAATGTCACGTTAATAATATTGAATCATCAGAGAAGTTTTGAAATTTCTTTTAAAATAAAATATCCTTCTGAAGGTATAGAAAGTTCGATACTTTTAAACAAATTTCATTTGATCTCTATTATGTATCAAATTTTTTTACACAATTTTGCACAATGCTATTGATTTTATTCCTCTGACTGCTTTTTGCAAGAGGGTGTAAATATTCTGATCTTAATTGATTTAAGCGAGATGTTTACTGAACGAATGTGGTGTGATACCTTTAGTTGAAGTAGGTAGTAAACAGAATGATGAGCACTCGTTTTTGTTTCCAATTCTTTCTATTTTTATTGTCGGTTCTTGATATTTTTCTTTTTCTTCAGAATAGGTACTTTTTATTATTAAATTTTAGTCAGATGGTACTGCAACATCAATTACGTAAGTGATATTTTTTGTTTTATCCTGAAATGTTATATGTAGTCTACTGGCTACTGTATTGTCTCTTTGTATACTCAACACTTGTTAATAATTTGCAGCCTGATGGATATTTCCAGGAAATACCTAAATGGAATTTTCTACATTTATACCCTATTTCAGTGTACAACTGCTCTTTCTATATAAATTTATATATTTGTTCTCTATTTATTTGTTCCTGATTGATATTATTATCTACCATGAAGAAATTTAGAAGACTAATTTATTTTCTTCTGTCCTATCGAGTTGAAATGAAAGATTGTTCTTGTATCGATAGGTTTAGAGGTGTGCAATTTTATTTTTTTTGTTCTATAACCCTAAGTAATGGGTGTTTTTTATTATGAAAATAGGATCTTAAAGATTTTATCTGTTTGACGCACAGTTGTTGCAAATAGAAAAGAGGGTTTCAATTAAAAGTTTAATTATATAAGTAATGCAATTTAAATTTTGTTATAACTGCACTTTAATACATGTTAATACATAGATTACAATAAAACAAATACCTACCAAATTTGTCAGAAATATGCCAACATATGCCTTATATTTCCTTTAAAAAAACAGTTCCGTTACAAGAATTATAATTTTTTTTTAAATCAGTTTTTTTCATGTTTTTGTATCATAGGTAATGTATGAAACAATAATAAGTCATCACGATCCCTTAATCATGTTTTAGGTTATCAGCTGCAACAAAAATATATGCACTCTCCAAATCACCGATACCACCGGCTCGCACCAATTCCCCGCCATGCAAAGGTTGTCCATAAGCAAGGGCCACGCTTTCATTCTGGTATACTCAGTGTGCAGTAGACAGAGTCTGGAGGAGCTCCGGCCCATCTTTGAAGTCATCAGGGAACTGAAGGGGCCCGATTTGAGTCAAATTCCCATCATGTTGACTGGAAATAAATGTGATGAGAGTGCTGAGCTGCGTGAGGTAAGCATTGAATGTAGATCGAATACTTTAGATTTAGATCAACGAGGAAACTCACTGGGTCCTATTTGTTACATATTTTACAAAAAATTATATTTTTACAGTTTGCATTTTCGATTTATCAATATTAATTGAATAATAGTTAGTTCGTGTTTCTCAATTCATTATCATTATTTATTTTTTGCACACTAATTTGCGAATAACTTGATAATAAAAGATGATATCGAACCCTTTTTGGCATCAAAATGTAGCTATTTTTATGCTCTTCAAACTAACCTATAAAAAGTTTTATCTTGCTATTTCACTTTTTTAAGAAAACGTGAAATGACCTAAATTTTTATAAATAGCGCCAATAAATACTAAATAGGCTATACCATTTAAACATTTCCATTAGAAATTTCAAACTTATGCTATATTTATACATTTTTTGTGCTGAATTCATTTAAGTAAACAAAATTATAGCATTGAATTTAAAATTTTTGAGAAAAATCCATAAAACCGCATTCTTTTGAAATAATGTCATCTCTAAATTTCCATATTAAGGTAAATGACATTACGCATTCACTACGAGATAAAGCATGAAGAGATCTTTCCAACGAGATATGACACTATGGGCTTTTGATGAGCCAATCCTTAACAAAATGCATTTTTCTGAGCAGACATTAGGATCTTCTCCCACCCTTTCTGTCAGGAGATAGAACAAAATGTCAAAACAAAAGTTATGCGTAATGAATCCAGCTATCCATATTTGTACCTGAATAGAGATTTCTGAGAAAAATTCAATATGTTTTCGTATGTAGATTGCGCCCCCTAGCGGCCGAGCTGCGAACTTGGAAACTATTTCCAGCGATTTCTCTTGGTCGATTTATTCAATCCCGAAGCTCTACGGCCTATACTTTCCCTAATATCGTACCTCTCCGACACCCTGTACAAATACAGGATGATTCATAAAGGGTGACCAAAAATAAAACCTTGTATTCTTTGGTGAATTTTAAGGGTAATCTTTCGTATAATGGTTTTATCTAGGACGCTTCATTATAAAGATACAGGGTGTTAAACTTCAAAAAATATTTTTAATTTTTTAAAATAATTTAAAAACTAGTAAGTGAAATAATTTGAAATTGGGCACATGTATTTACGTAAACATTGTCTAAAATCTGAGGCCTTTTCCTAAAATTTAGATGCTCCAGTGGGGGAGATATCGGTGGCATATTTTTCTAAATAAAATAGTACGCCACCGCTTTATGGTAACAATCATGATATTTTCGGATTTGTCTTTCAATTTTGTATAAATTACTACCATTTTATTTTTTTCGAAGAAACTACTAAAACTATCAAATTGTGAAAAAAGACAGTGGAATGCCATATTTTTGAAAAATATTTTAAAAGTTAACCACATACAGTGAAATCTCCCTTGGGCGACACCAACGGGACCAACTGAAAGTGTTCTTCAAGAGAGGTGTCCGCATAAAAGAAATACGAAAGAAAAAATCGTTTTTTTAATGAAAACCGTAATTAAAGAAATTGGGACATTTAAAATGTATATGTAGGCAAATGTTTTTAAAATGAAAAAAATACTTAAAACTTAAGGAAAAAATAAGGTAACATTACAAAATACATACAAAATACATATAAATAAAAATAAAATATAATAGAATATAGTAATACATAAAATTAAAAGAAATGTCACTTTAATGATGCAAAAATTCATGTTTTGTTGTTTGTCTCCTCTTTTTCTTTAAATGGTGTTCAGAAATCGTATTTCTAATTTGGAAAGAAGATCCAAAGACTCTGTATCTCCTTGATCTTCGGCAAAATGTTTAAGCTGATCGGTTAGGATAATAGCTTCACCATAATTTGGAATAGCCTCTGTTGGTACTGGAACCTCATCGACATTAGAATCTTCGGAAAATTCTTGTATTTCAACTGGTTTTCAATTTCTAGTCCTGAACCTGGATCTTCAACATACTAATTTTCATCTAGGATTAAAAAATCATTAAGGTTTTCATTATCAGTCAGTTCCAACAAATTCTTATTTTTGGATCAGATGTAATATCCTCAGTTAACTGACCTTCATTTTGCATATTTTCATGGTTAAATCGTACTTTGCGGAAGCAATTTTTAACTGTTTCCTTTTTATTTGGTTCTTTGTCCGTTTAAGAGAATATTTTCTTTTGTCTGCGTCCATTCAAGAGAATGTCCGTCTAAGAGAGAGTTAACACAATGCAAATGCAAGGGAGGTGTCTGCGTAAGAGGGGTGTCCGCGAAGGGGAATTTCACTGTATAGAGAGCCAAATTCGACATTTTTGGGGAGTTTCTGTTAGTTTAACAAAACTATAGAAAAATGTAGTTTAGATGTCATATACTCAATTTGACACTCCTAAAAGCAGTTTTACATTGACAATTTATTGATGAATTAATTCATGAAGTCGCTTCATCAAGAAATTGGACAAGTGTAATGCACCAAATCTGCTGTCAAATGACTTCATGAATTTATTCATCAAGTTCTTGACGAATTAGAACATGTTCTAATTTTCGTCAATTTCTTCATGAAGTTCAGAAGTACCAACCCAACAGATTTCTAACCTCAGAGCAGTAATGAGGTTATGTTATTGGAATATGTAAATAATTGTGTGGCGTCGTACTAGTTTTGCATTGTTTTTACTGATTTGTTACTTACAAAAACTAATATTTATATAATATGTGTCAAAATGGTACCGCTGTTGTATCACTACAATTATGAGTGGAAAGGTGACATTTTTGAAATTTATTTGCTTCTTTGATTTGTTGGTAGAACTGATTGATGCGTCAAAAAACTTGACAAAGTCTGTAGCAGTGTAAAACCACACAGTTCACCAATAAATTCGTGAATTAATTAATGAAGAACTTCATCAATTGATTCATGAATAAATTGTCAATGTGAAACAGCTATAAGAGTATGAAAGTGCAGATTTTTAATTGTTTTCAGGTTAGTACTTCAGAGGGCCAAGCCCAAGCCGCCGAGTGGGGTGTGAGCTTCATGGAAACCTCCGCGAAAACCAACCACAACGTCAAACAGCTGTTCCAGGAGCTGTTGAACCTGGAAAAATCCCGCAACGTGAGCCTCCAGGTGGGAGGTAAGACAAACAACCGGGTGGCTAAGGATAAATGTGATTTAATGTAAGGGGCACAGTACTGCGACTATTCAGGTTTGTCATCCGAGAAACTTGAATCGTCATTCGACAATTTACCTGTGGCGCGTACGACAACGTTCCGGCTTCCATAGTAGCTTCGAGTCCGGTCATCGTTATCCGTACGCGCCGCGTTATCTTGTTTGATCAAGCTTTAAGCGCCGGGCAAGTGGGAAGTCTAACCGTCGGTGTACCCTTGTTGACCGTTATTATCGATGAAGTGCCCATTTGCGGACAATATTACCTAATCTGTGTTTTCGTCCTGTACATAACCACACTTCCATCACTTGCTCGGCTCCCGTTGTTTAGGAGTCGGCTGCGTTCCGTTGGCACCTTTCATCACGCTGGGTTTTTATATTTGTGTACTTGGCGCACCTTTTTACTTTACCATACCTCCCCCCCTGTCTTTCAGTACGAGATTCCCCTGAGCGCGGCAGTCGGGTCCATTTCTACCTTCATTGTATTGTTACGAAGGCAATTTCAATTACATTAACCATGTCACAAATAGCATATCAGTAATGGTAGTTTTCGACATAGAGCTAGTTACTAACTTCATAGTTTTAACGTTTAAGGCGGTTCTGTCGGGGCACCTCGCCGGTTTTATACGTTGATTGTTGTTGATCGTTTCCGTTTCGACCAGTGGACCACCCTGTTAAGTGCAGATTTTTTATGGCGACGCGCCTCGACGGACGGACATTTTTTGAATCTTAGACCGGGTGCTACAGCAAGAATTGTTCGTGTTAATAATATATTTGTTATATAATTCATGCTTATAGTGTTCACTATATGAACTGCAATTGTGATCGATTTATATTGGTATTTATGCAACGAAGTATGTTAAAAATAAATAATAAAGTAGCAAAAAAAATGTACTCGGTAACTCTTTTGACTTCCGCTCTTTAGAAGCTACTCTTAATCAGATTTTTTGCGTAAGACCATGAAGGTTCGCTTCTTCTTAGCCTCTGTTGGGGTAAAAGTTACAGGTTCTTACAACAATTTGAGAAACAATAACGAAAATCTGTAACTCTTATTTTTAGAACAAAAAAAAAATTGTTATTATATAGTGAACTTATGGATCCAATTTGTATACCTGTAGATGATTTACTGTTTACTCAGATGGCCCTTTACGACGCCTCATTTTTTATTCCTCTACTTTTCCGCAACTTTTTAAGACTGACTATACCGGTAGAATGAACCAATTAATTAACGTAAGTAACCGCATTCCATTTGGTAGATGTAGACGGAATAGAAAAAGGATAAATTGTTTTTTTATCTTTCATTTAATCGTGGATATACCGGGTGTCCCATTTTAATTGATACACTTAAATATCTCGTTAGAGAAGCCAGCAATCGAAAAATGGCCTAAAGTAAAAGTCCAGTTCACTGGAGGAAACCAGATGCTTACCTAGGATTTGACCTTTACCTCACCTTGAAGGTCAATTCAGGAATTTTAAATGGGGCCCCCTATTTTTAACATTGGAAATGGATTCAACAGAAAATTTTACATCCGGATGTGATCACAACTTTGACCTGTTTTTGATCAAGATCAAAGTCACAACTGATTTAAATGATTCGTCACCCTTAAAGCAGCCTCAGAATAAGATGTTGACCTCCAGAATCGATGAGATTTACATCGTCCTTGACCTCCACTTTGTCAAGGTCATTTGAAAGTCGACTATAACAATTGTAGGAAAAAATAATGCTAAGTGAGGGGAGAATGATAAAAATATCTTGTTACTCAACGAAGGTATAACTTCACGTGAGAATTGAAAAAAGAGATATCTGAGTACGTTACAAAGTAAAACTGACTGACGGTTAAAAAATTGAGAAAAAATAAAAATATCACACTACTATTTGTGAGCCATTGAATTATGTTGTCATTACATTAGTATTCTGGATTTAAATCTTCACCTGATCTTCAAATGACCTTTTTATTTGATCCCTTACTTTGCAGGGTACTTGGATACAAATTTAGCGTTTTCCCAAGATCTGATCTAAGTAATACACGGTCTGGCAGAAAATAAAACAAAGTGAACCTTCATATTCAATCTTTCGCAACATTTGTAGAGGTGAAGGTCGATTTTTCTAGTCGACCTTCAAATGACCTTGACAGAGTGAAGGTCAAACACGAATCGAAGGTCGTGATTGAGTACCTTGATGTAAATTCCATCGATTCTGGAGGTCAACATCTTATTCCGAGGCTGCTTCAAGGGTGACGAATCATTTAATCTCGTTGTGACCTTAACTTTGACCTCAAGGTCAAAGTTATGACCACATCCTGATGTAAAATTTTCTGCTGAATCCATTTTTAAGGTTAAAAATAGGGTTCCCATTTAAAATTCCGAAGTTGACTTTCAATTGACCTTCAAGGTGAGGTCAAGGTCAAATCCTAGGTGAGTAGCTAGTTTCCCCCAGTAAACTGAACAACTTTTACTTTAAGTCATTTTTCGATTGTTGATTTCTCTAATGAAATATTTACGTGTAATCGATTAAAATGGGACAACCGGTATATTGTGTTAATGAATTTATCTGTAACTTTAATGGCAGATTCTTCGTCACAAGTCAATAAAAAGTGTTCTTATAAGCGTGTATTCAGAAACACTTCATTTTCGAGATACAGGGTGTTGAAATTAAAAAATGTATGTGTTATATTAATTTAAATGTCTCTTAAGATGGTTGACGTTGAGTTGGTACACAAATCTATCAACCAGTGGCGGAAATACTGGAAAACATTAAGAACCTTATACACTATTTTTTTTCACTTCTGTTGATTACATTGCGTTAAAATCGTATTTCTAACCAAAAATTCCTATATTTTTTTGTGATGTGAGCAGTTTTAAGGTTATTTTCAATTTAATCGATTCTGTCGCAGGCTCTTTTACATGTTTCAAAGTAAAATTGGTTAATTTTTTCAAATAAAATGGGAAAAGATTTTTTTGATCAAGGTACCTACCACCTAGAATTAAATGTACTTATCTAATTTCCTAAATATTTAGAGGTTTCAAAATTTTAGGGTTTTTAGTGGCCGTATTTGTGAGTATCGCCACCACGGGTTGGTAGATTTGGCTCAGATTAACGAATTTTTGCACGTAGTTCATTGACGGTCCTGGACTTCCATACCAGGGAGAGCAGAAAAATTTAGTTACAAAGTATTGAAAAAAAAATTAAATATAATTGGGTAGTTTTATTTTAAGTACTATTGAAATATACAGAAAACGTACTCAACATTATTTTTGATTAATTATTAACATTAACGATATGTAACGAAATTTTACACCGTCAAGAAAAAAAAGTAAAGAATAGTATTTACTTGGTTACAGGCGGACTAAACCATGACCACCGTTGTAAACACTTTACATATTTGTGAGTATCTCCACCACTGGCTGGTAGATTTGTCTCAGATCAACAAATTTTTGCACATAGTTCAGTGGCGGTCCTGGACTTCCATTTCAAAAGCGGTGAATAGGGTTTATTTGGTTACGAGCAGACTATACAAAGTTCAAACTACATAGTAAATGTGCGCTACTCCCACCCCGTCTTTCACTGCTGCGCGACGGTAACCATGACCACTGTTGTAAACACTTTACAACGGTAATTAAATAAACATGATTTCTTTTTAATTTCAACACCCTGTATTTCGAAAACGATTTATTTCCAGATACACGTTTATAAGAACTTTTTTTAATTGTTTGTGACGTAGAATCCACCTTTAAAGTTTGTCAGATTACATCATTCATACCCTGTATAGAAAACTAGCCTTCTATTAAAAAATTACTCCACTTTTTCTACTTAGCTTATGATTTTTGAGAGATTTTTCATTATAAGTGGCGAGACTACTGTTATACAGGGTTATTTAATTTTTTTACCAAACTAGGGGCAGGCAGATTGTCAAAAAATTAAAGGTTGTAATACAGGGTGTTCAAATACTAATTGCCTGAACGTCACTAAGATTCGATGATCAAAATTTAAATTTTTTTCAAATTTATGTGGGGAGTACTTAGCGACCTGTATAATTAGGTGCAATAAAATACGAAAAATAAAAGTTACAGTATTACAACGCAAAAATAATTATGTATTTTAAGATTTTCAATGGTTTTCAAATAAGAAAGTTATACTTATTGGATGCTGTTAAAATGCATAATTACAGACAAATTTATATACAGGGCGTTTGTTAAGTGCTTGTACAAACTTTAAAGGGGGAATCTTTGACTAATTTTAAGATAAAAACGGCTTAATTCTTGAAATAGAACGTCCAAAAAAAATTTTTGTTTGGTATTTTGATTATATTTTTGTTCAATAACATGGCAGTTTGACGAAATTGGGAGTATTGATGATGAGAAACTCAAATATTTACTTAGTTTTTTATTTAATGTTAGAGGGCGCCACTTACCTGTATTTAAATGACCATAACTTTTTTGTGTCACACTGTATGTCATTTTTGACTAAACGTAACTATTCTCCATTAAATTTTACATACAAACGGTATTCTCAGTATTTGTCGCTGAAAGTAGCATTGGAATTTTGTAAGTTGAATCATTAGAGAGAACGCATTAGGCAGTCGCAGTCCCGTGCTAGTCTCGATCGCGCGCGGTGGAGTTCCTTCCCACGTTTTATAATGTATGCATTCGCACTAGACATTCCTGAGCTCGTCTCGCTCGCATCGCATTTCCTCCAATCTGTTCCAAAGAATCTGGGGAGACCGCGATGCGATCGAGACGAGCTTCCTCTACCATAGAACTCATTTTCTTAACTATTAAAGCAATACCGCAACTATTGAAAGGAGAGCGTGAGCAAGATCGTGTGCAATTGCCAAATGCAACTTATTTTGTAAAAAAATGCATTCAGCTCAGCCCAGAACAGTGCACGATGCGACGGGACCGCGACTGCCTAATGCGTTCTTAAGTGTTTGAAAAACGTGAAAAAATGTGTCTTTTACTGATTGTATTGCGATGTGAGAAACTTAGACCATTTACAAGGCTAAGACTAAACTACCTCTACAAAGAAGTTATTAACATTTACAATAATTGCTGAAACAAAAATTTTTTTGGACGTTCTGTATGTCAAGAACCAAGCAGTTGCAGATCTATCTTCATATGAACTTTTTGTCTTAAAATTAGTCAAAGATTCACCCTTTATAGTTTGTTCAAGTACTTTATAAACACCCTGTATTTAAAAAAAAACATATCCTTATTTTCAAAAACATTTGTAAAATTTCAACAATGCACCTATAGTAGGATCGTATTCGATGCAAAGTAGATTAAAAAATTGTCGGTCTTTTATCAAAGGAAAATAGTGCCATCATTTTTAGGACGCGTACAGAGGTAAAATGTAGTAGGTAATTTAAAAAACAAATAAGATTTATAATAAATTACATTTAAAATAAATAGTTTATGAGAATAAAGGAACATGAACTGATCCCTTCATCCCTTCATAATGCATAAAGAAATTTTTCAATTTCTAAACCCCTTAAAACCGTACTGCACTGGACACCTTGACAGGCAATGATTTATTACTTTGCATCGAATATGATCCTACTATAGTAAAAAAAAATTGTTTTTCAAACACTATTTTTTTTATGATCTACCTACTCCTAAGTTTGATTAATAAAAATCAAACCACCCTGTTTATTTTTGTTGTACCTACATATTTCCATATTTTAAAGTATTTTTTTAATTCATGTAAGAAAATGATTTTCTCGTGTCGAATAAAAATGGGACCTTAGATAAAATTGTATTTATCTAGAACTAGGTAGCGTTAGAGGTAGTTGACTAATACGTACTGAAACCTTAACAATTTGAGCAATAATTTTGTACACGAGTTCCTATATCTGGAAATATTCTCCACCATAGTCAGTCTGTAACAAGGAAAGGACAAGTTTCGCCACCTCGTTTGTAGACGTTCTCATATAAATTTTGTAACTTTTCGCTTTCCAAACGGTTCGGTTATCTCTTTAGAAAAGTTGTTAAATCAATAAACAATACATGCAACGAAAGCATTTTTACAGCAAACGTCGAGTTTGTTTTTAATGTTACAAAATTTCTGTTTGTCTGTTCCACCACATCCTGTTTCTTTACGTAAATTGAATTATTTGTAAACGTAAATTTATCGAATAAATAACTTATTACGAATTACGTTGTTTTTCTAATCTCCCATCCACAAATATTTCCATGTAATCGCTTGTTGTTTTGAATTCACAGATACGTTGGGTTCATTACGTAGTAATGCTTTTAACCATCGGGTTCAAAAAATCTTCAAATAAAATAATATTATTAATTAGATAAGGTTTGGAGGACACAGATTAGAATCTATTTTTGCTTCAGAATCTACTAGATCCGGCTTCCTAAAGCCGTCATCGGGGAAAAGCTAAAGTTAAATAAAAGAAATCAAAAATGAAAAGGTTTTTTCACAACATTCAATATTAACTAAAATACAGTGTGTCCCCAGATGGGGTATTCTTTTTCAATGTTGATTTTTTGAGAAAAAGTTATTTTTGATAAAAAGTTTTGCTCATCTTGGTAAGCCATGGGCAGTAATCATATACAGGGTGGGGCATTAGTGCGCCGAAGTACGATATCTCCTTTATTATAGAAGATATCAAAAAAAGTTATTTACAAAAATTGTAGCCGGTTTAAAACTGCACATTTTGAATTATTTTCGTATATACAGGGTGTTACATATTGCCAGGGTGAACTAAACATGCTATTTTTTAAATGGGACACGCTATATATTATTTCAAATTTAGATTAAGCTCATCTCTTCCATGCTTCCAATATAGGGTTTAATTATGTTATACAGGGTATAACAAAGTTGTGGTTAATTGTATACCAAAATCATTCCCACTTCAGGGTCCCGTATACGCTAAACAGAACAACTTAACAATAATTTTTTGCAGGCATAACTTTTTGGTATTGGTACAGTTTTACGAGAAAATGTTATTTCTTTATTATTGCAACAGTTGAATATAGGGGGAGCCAAAACTTGAACTCTAAATTTTTTTTAATGAATCATCCTGTATTTTATTTTAAAAACTGAAAATACACTTTATATTCTTTCATTTTTATAAAGCATTCCCTATAGCTACAATCATTAATTTCTGATATATTTACCATTCTATAACAGAGTTTTAAAAAAATTCTTATTATAACAAGTTGGCCGTGGGCAAATGACAATGTGACAAATTGTTATAAAATATTACAAAATATCCGTTGTTAAGACGAAATTCTTATAATATTAGCCAACTTGTTTACGGAAAATTTAACATTTTGAAGTTTTTTGGACGCCCTGTATGTTTTATTACAAATTTGATTACTGTCTATGGCTTCCCAAGATAAGCAAAACATTTTATCAGGAATAACTTTTTCTCGAAAAAAACAATAAAAAAGTTCCCGGGTACACACTGTATAGATGTTCCTCAATAAAATATACAGTGTAACAAAAATTAACCTATAAATTTTTATAATCTTGTTTTCGATATATAGGGTGTTTAAAATTAATGAAAACAAGATTTATTTCAGATTTTGAAAAACAGATGGGGGTGATTATGTAAATAATAATTTATTTCATCCACGGATAATGTGATAATTTGAATAACTTTTGTTAGAAGTCAGAAATTTCAAGGTAAGGTTGAGAAAGTACAATGTAAGTCCATAACTGGAGACGACCATAAAACATTTATTTTAAAAAACGGCTATTTTCAGTTCATATTGCATTGCAAAAATAGATAAATAATAAAAAAAAAATTCTAGTTGGGAAAATTTTACTGAAAAAAAAACTACATTAATTACTACAGATTATGTGTGCTATAAATGGTAACATAGTTAAAATTTGTGGAAAATGTGTTTATTATCCGTCAGCGATGTTGATTCATTTATGTTACAATTCATAGCGATCATTTGAATTTTTTCTTCAAATCACATCAAAACAAGGTTTGATGCAAATACGATAAGACTTTTAAAAATGTTTACTTAATGTTTGTACTTTTAAAATTAAAAATAAGATACCCATTATTTTTTCCGTTTCCTTTCGCTGTAAATCACTTTATCATTATTTCCCCTATAAAAACACACGAGGCCCTACACCACTGACTAACACCTGGAATTAGCCGACTGACACATTAAGCTCCAAGAAGTCATTCAAACCTGAGATAAAATTTCTAAAGATAATATTTAAAGTTGTTTGGGCTTTATTGCTGACCCCTGGACTTTGCTCAGTGATAAGAAATTCCCAGTTCCTTATTTTTGTAGCCCAGCACATTCATTACAGTTTGTTGAATGCCTTGCAAATATTACTTGGTCTTAAAAAAAAATAGAATTGCAATATGGTTGGAGTTAATAACGGTTCTAGTTTATTTGTGCAAACACTCATGTATATGATGAATCAGAGCATAATTCAGCAGGAGACTTCTTATAATTACTACTACATGCAAATCGGACAAGGTAAGCAATAATTTTTATATATTAGTGAATTTAAATTTTATTTCCTCAACATTCATACGGTTTTAAGTAACACATTGTTATTTATTCAAAATGTATTTATTCTCTCATAAACTTGACCTTTTTATATCTGAAATCTGTAAATGTATGGTTCTAATTTACGGGTCTTTTATGTAAGTACATTTTATATTTCAATAAAATATATAAATAAAAACAGCAATGGGAAATTGCGCAAATAAATAATTACAAACAATATAGTTCTAAATTATTGAGTAAAAATATTTCAATTTTATAGAATCCAATGCCTCTAAATGTTACGGTATATATGGATGTTTCCATCTTGGTCCGCCATGGACTTCGGAGAGTAGACCAGTATCACTGTTTCCCGACGATCTACAGAAGGTAGGAAAAATGAATATAAAAATATTTTTAAAATTCAATTTTTTTTCTAGTGATTTTTTTTTTAATTAACGCGCCCTAAAATTGTGGCCCCATTTCAAATTTGATTTTCTCGCCAATAGCTGGTCATATTTATATAATTCTTTTTTTAGTTACATAGTTACGATGTTAAGATAGAAACTTTTATTGAAATTGTTTTTTAGCATATACAGGGTGTCCCACCCATACTAGGTGTTTCATTTCTGCTGTTAAATTTTGATGACTTAAAACAGCTATAACTTTGTTAACTTAAATGGAACACCCTATATTTTTTTACTCTGTCGTATGCAGATTGAAATTTCCTTTCAAGGCATATAAGCATTATTAGGGTTGCCGTTACTACTTTTACAGATATTTGCAATTTTCTATTTTTTGGGCAGTTTTTCTCGTATCCGACTTGTCAAATTGGCCATGACCAAAAACACTCCAAAAACAATTGAAATAACTTGACATTTGTCAAGTTAGTTGTCAAATGAATAGTTTTGCCGAAAATTTAAATAAAAATGCCTGGAGATCGTTTAAATTATACTAATGAGGATTATTTTAATTTATTTGTTATTTATGGAAAATGTGAAAAAATAATTTCAAGAACATGTAGAGAATCTGCTGCTTTTTTCCATCAATCGACGCAGTTCTCGGTGGGACACCCTAGTGTATAGAATGAGAGTTTCATTGAAAACACTCTGTAGATTGTTCCAGCTAAAAGTGTAAATGCCTACATAAATAAAACTTCAATCTCACTTTTTCTAAACCATTTGTTTTCTGATTTACGTCATTATCTCAGTTACTAATTGAGGAGCATGTTTATTGTAAAAACTTCATAACTTTGTTATATTTCTAAGTTCCAGGGTATATCAAGGACCAATTTTAAGCCCTATTTGTTTCCTGATTGTGATATATTGTACAAAAACATGCAGTTTATTCAGCGAAATGAAGATAAGTTCATTAAAATAAATAAAGATTTGAAAATTATCACTAATTCTGCTAATTCAAATATTGTACATAAATAGATTGTTACTTAATTTTAACTTTGTAGAAAACTTTGTGAATTGACTATTTTAGTTGGCGAGCCTACAGAATGTTGTAAACTTCAGTGAAAGAAACTAAAACAAATACTTTTGAAAATCTTACAACTAAAATTTCAATAAAAATTTTTGTCTTATGACTGAGGAATTAAAAAAAATTTCCAGTTTTTGGTGATGGATTCATTTTGATGCGCAATGTACTTAATATATTAACTAATGAAGTACATATGCTGAAAATATATATTTTTCAAAAACTGTTTTTCAAAAATTTTCAGTTGACAAAATGAGTCTTTTTGTCACCTAGTTACAAAATACTTTTATGTTCAACGCCAAAGACTTTTTCGTTCTAGGACATAAAACAAATGTCAAAATAATTTGTCAATTTTTTGAAACATATTTATGATTTTATTAATTAAACAATATACATTTTAAGTAATATAACATTTCAATATTAAACAGTAACTATTATAAACAGGACTATTACAATTAATTTGCACTACATGTAAATTGAAAGTGCCAATATTGCAGTGAGTTAAATTTATGCCAGATGCAGTGCCGTCAGTTATCGTAGCTTTTAGTTGTGGGTGTTCAATGAAGCTGCCGCTGTAATTGTTTAAGTTTAAGGCTTTGCTGAAGATGGTAACAATTTATTTGCGATTGAAATTTTATTTTATATAGAATCTTCTATATATATGTCTCCGCTACTGTACTAGAATATCACCTCCTATGCTGTTTAATGGTGGTAATATCGGCCCCTGCGTCGGCTAACAGAGTGGCGGAAGAATGCCTAAAGCAGTGCCCTGTATAAGTTTCCTGATGAGGCAAATTGAGATAAGTTGCTATTTCTTTTGGCACAGTCCTTATTTTGTTGGGGCCAACCACTGGCTTAACACATTTTTCCCTACATACCTAACATAAAATCTTCGACTTGTAGTAACTGCTGAACGTAAAGCACAGTATTTGCAGTATATCTTCATTTGGTCTGGACTTAAAATCACAAAACATCTCGTAGTATGAGTTTTGGAATCTGGAATTCTTATACTAATAATTGAATTTTTGTCTTCTATATCATTGATCGTTACCTTTAGTAGCTCATCTCTTCTCAAAGCTCCACAAACAATTATTAAAATGACCTGAAAAGTTGTCCAAAATTAGTTAATTCGATCGATACATTTTCTAGCAGAAATCTATTATCCGGTACTTCTTGTGAAAATCTCAGTTTCTTATTTTGTTAGAATTCTGAACTTTTTCGGACGGTATTCAACTGATTTGCTTTTTAAATATGGTATTAGTTTTGTAAATTTGCTGATATTTACATTTTTTTTGGCATTCAATGTACTTCTTAACATGGAATACACTGACCATAACGTCGAAGGTTTAATTTTATTAATTTTATGTTTGAAATATGCCAGTAATATCGCTTCGGTCACTTTTTTAATTTTCTTCGAACTACATTGCCCTTTGAATTCGCTGTCTCTATGATTTTTTGGGAATTAATTATGAAACTTTGTGCCGCTTCCAAAATTTGTCGTGGTAAATGCTCGCTTTCACTGTTCGAGCTCACTTTGAATGAAAGAATCTTAGAATATGAATTACAATACATAATTTTGACACTGCTTTTCCAAACAACTAATTTTTATTGTTTATTAGGTTTCTATGATAGTTACTGCGCCTAAAACATCTTGTAAATTATTGTGTATAATACAATTGCCTTATTTTATTGCAGTTTTCGAAAAAATTATTGTTTGCATCTTGAACGCAAATTGCTTTTGCGTTCTCGAATGGATATTTTGCCTCGCTAAGTGAGAAAAAATAACTTCCATTGGTAAAAGTACCATTTCGTGTTCTAGATACAAAAATAACTATGTATTTATATTAGAATTTTGACAAGCATCTTAATTTTATGTATAAAGTAATTAATTAAAACAAATTGTTTTAGATAGAACCAAGATACCCACTGTACACAAGAGATCACCAAGTTGTGCCAATCTTTATAGATCTGAACGAGTTCGATTATATTAATTCAGCAGGCATCGCAGCCCATAAGCCGATCTATTTGGTGTCTCACGGGTATACAGAAGGTGGCGGTATTTCTTGGGTATGTAAAATATAGATGTAATGACTCTTTTTTTCAAAACTGACCAAAAAATTTGCAGTTACCTTCAGAAAATTGTAAATACTTTTTTCCGTTTATAGATTTACAACATTGTGCGAGCTCTTCTACGCATAGAAGACTGCAATGTGATAATAGTCGATTGGCAAGGAGGTGCTAGTCCACCCTACACACAAGCAGTGGCCAATATTAGGTTGGTCGGTGCCATGACTGCACATCTGCTGAACGATATAGCAAGGTACACAGGACCGCTTAAGCTCGATCATGTCCACGCTATTGGACACTCGCTAGGTGCTCACATGTGTGGATATATTGGGTACACTCTTCAAAAGGTAATTTTTAATGCAGAATCTAACACCACCCTTGTGAAAATCAGAGGTGAAAACTTCTCCATGTCTCCCCATTAACAAATAAAAGGAGGACAGTGGTATGCGATTTTAGTTGAAGTTTTTTATTGGTACACATCACAATTAAGCCACTGTTGTCCGTTTCACTACTTGGTGGAATGAAACGTCAATCTTTTACTTTTTTAGGAATTCAATATGACTCTGGGCCGAATAACTGGTCTAGATCCCGCCGAGCCTCACTTTTCCAAAGCTAAGCCACCTGTGAGGCTAGATCGTAGTGCAGCTCAGTACGTCGATATTATCCATACGGACGCTAGTCAGTTTATTCGAGGAGGTCTGGGTATGACGGAAAGTATAGGGCATGTGGATTACTATCCGAATGGTGGGACCGACCAACCTGGATGTGGAAAAAGTGTGCTACAGTATATAAAGGATGCTAACGGAAGTTTGTTTAACGGTAAGATGCGCATGCACCAATTTTTAATAAAAAAAATTTGCCTTGTGGGTCGATTTTTTATCAATCTTCAATGTTTTATAAACTTTACAAAATGTTAAACACATTTTTTTTTATGTACTTAGAAAGAGGAATGGTGGAAAGCTAATTAAAAAAAATATGTCACCCAGTTTGCAATAAAAAAACACATGCTTTCGAAATTTCTTGTAAATTACTTAAAATAACAAAAATCATAACAGTTACAGAATACTTATTGGTGGCAAAATTCTGAGGCTTCTAGTGCTACTGACCCCTCATATCTCTGTCTCTGCTTGACTATTTGTAAGTTGACTTAACAAATTTTTACTTCTGCTAGATAAATTAGCAGCCCAAGTTTCATCAGTCTATGTCAAGCATCCTCAGCGATATTTCATAAAATGTGTTGTTTTTTTCAAATTCCTACACTCGAAATACATTTTTTTTTTATTGGAAACTGTGTAGAAATTTTTGTATTTTGTTTGCACTAAATAAAATATACTTTTTATTATTGGAAATTTCAGTTAAGAAAGTGCAAAATTTATAAAACTGACGTTTTAGGTGTGAAAAAATATTTGGGATGCAATCATGTGCGAAGCCATGAATATTTTCTGGAAAGTATTGTCCCGAATCCAAAGTGCAAATTTTTGACGATATCTTGCCCTTCTTATCAGGTATTTTAACATTTATTGATTTATTTACGACACATGAGAAATGCAAAGCATTCACGGAATTAACATAACAACAAAATAATTAGATAAATATTATGAAAAACTGATTATTTTAATATTTTACTGCCATTTAGTTGTTTATTTGTTGAAATAACTATTACAAAATATTTATATCAATTAATTGTAACTATACCAGTGTCATCCGTTTTTATCGTTTCACTCAATATAAACGTAATTTATGCTTTGATTTTGTAATTTCATTCATTCGCATATTTGCTTATCTTTACAATTTTTTTTTAATATACAGGGTGTTAGGAGTTTGGTTGCCTTAATTTTAACAGACAATAGAATATATTAAAATAAACAAAAAAAAACCTTATATGACATGGGTCCTAAACTTAACCAATTCCGAGATAAAAATTATCAAAATCTCCCAACTTAATTTACAAAAGTTTGATTAATTAATGAATATTGACATAACTGCGTGCATAGAATAACATAAAGTACAATGTTTATCACTTTTTTGAACTTCTTTATGCTTAGTTCTAAAAAATAATTAGTGTAATAAATTTAAAATTCGATAAAATTCATATCGAGCAATGTGACAAAGGCGCGGCAGTTTATTAACACGAGGTACTAAGGTGTCCAGCAACCATCAATACATAGTTCAGTTGGTATCTGGATTCGACCTTGTCGGAGTGTTTTTTGCGTACCACTATTTCCTTTTCTTGAGGAGTTTTCCAGGTCTATCTATCAAGGTCAAAATTGATTTTTCAAATGAGAACCGCTATTTTTTATTGTGGATTTGGAAAGAGCAGGAAATTTTACGTCCAAAAGTGGTCTTGACCATGACTTTGACAATGACCTTTGAGGTCAAATGTGGGTCAACTTCCAAAAGTCCTGGTACGGTAGAACTTTCGAAGAATGCATTTTGGGAAAAAATGTTTCAGACATTGTAAGGATTTTTCCCTGGCTATCTGATGGTGACCTTGGATTTGACCTTGACTTTGGCCTTCAAGGTCAAGTAAAGTTTTTTAAATGGGAACCCCTATTTTTTATTGCGGTTTTGGAAAGAGCAAGGTCATTGTCAAGGTCATGGTGAAGAACATTTTTAGATGTACAATTTCCTTTTCTTTGTAAATCCGCAATAAAAAATAGGGGTTCCCATTTGAAAAACCAATTTTGATCTTGAAATGACCTCGAAGCTCTAGGTCAAGGTCGTATACAAGGGCGTCATTGAATAACCAGGGGAAAATCCTAAAACTTTTGTATTTATCATTTTTCAAGAAAATGCACTCCTGACGAGTTATTCAGGGGTTTCCATACTTTTGTGCCACCCTGTATAAAATACGTATTACAGGCTGTGACACCTTATGAAAAACTTCCTGGGCTAATTCCTGTTCGTATTAAATTTTGTGCAAATTTTACATTACTTACCAAATTTGAAGTCTGTATCAAAGTAGTTAACCAAACCACTGTTTCACTGCTATTCTTTGAAGGATTATAGAGCCGTTACGAACAGTGTGAGGCAAATACGATACTTATTTTTTTATTTGTCGATGAGAGAAATCAGCCCAGAAAGTTTGTCGCAATGTCACTCAATGTCAATGTTTATAATGTTTGCTTGCTAGGATTTCGTGAGCGGTAAATGTTTCGATTGTGGGAAGTACAGAGAAAAATGCATTCCCTTCGGATACCACGGCAGGAAGCACTACGAGAAATTACTAGGTCTCAGATGGCGGCATACCAGCAGGGTACAATTCCTGTTAACCGCCTCGGACAAGCCATATTGCAGTAAGTACTTTGTACGATTGAATAATGTTTTCCTTAGTGCACAGGGTGTCCCAATATTAAGAGATTTTAGAGCTCAAATTGAGATGATTTTAGTAAATTTATTTTTGCCCAAAATTGCTTCGTTTAGCCACAAAAAATTTGTACTTTCTGTGTACGCAAATCATCGAGGCACCTATTAATCAATTGTTCTACTAAAAAATATATCAAACTAACAATGTTTGCAAACAAACATTTAAATTGTATCGCCACAAAAACTAATATATATTTTTTTTATTTAGGGGGGCACTACAGGCTGATCGTTCAAATTTCTAACAACACAGACAGCGTGGACCACGGTGGAGAAATAGGGCAGCTGTTATTCACGATGCACAGCACCAGCGACGGGAGAGGCCAAAAATCCAGGCCCGCCGGGTTCATCAGCGGGTACCACAAACCGGGAGCCTTGCACGTGGGTGTCGTTGCCACTGACGAGGTTCCGCATTTGAAGGCGGTTGAAGTGGAGTGGAAGTATAACAGCAGCTTGTTTAACCCGTTAACCTGGAGGATATTGACCACACCAAAAATTTTCATCAACAAAGTAACGGTGGAAGCGTTGGAGATAAATGAAAGGTAATTTTTTTTAAAACCTAAACATAAAATATTACTTAATTACACTATTTAACAATAATTCATTATTACACATTCTAAAGTGAAATACTATTTTTTCAGTTAATATATTTTTGGCTTATAGGATAACGGTTTGTCCGAAGGAACAAGAACCTCTAGTTAACGGTATACCACAACTTTGGATATCTTCATATTGTTAGCCATCACTACCACTTGTATTTTCATCATCAGTTCATTGATTCATCATCATCCCTTATTTATATTTTATGTACTAGCAATGCAAAATAAATATATTTTTTGATAAACATTTTGTCTTTTCTTTCAAAAATAAAACGAAAAAATTATATGATAAATGCAAAAGCAAAAGTAATATTTTCAGTTTGTAAAGCCGCCTTAATAATATTACACAAATGAAAAATTTTCAAGTTCGGTAGCGGACGTTGCGTCATCACGTCAGGTTTTTATCTAACCTAAAAAAAAAATTGGTCCAAATAGCAAAAATGGGCTTCCTTTTGATGAAAACCTATGTAGCTGGTTCCGTGAGAAACCGTGTGAGCAAACGAATGGAAATGGACATCAAGTAGGCAGTATTGTAAACATATAGGTTAGGTTAAGATTCCAACCTAACCTTGAAAACTTGCGTGAGTACCTTCGACACATTCAAATTGAATGGAAATTTGGAGATAGCATTTCTCTAGTACGTATTTTAAAGAGGTAACGAATGCGACACCAGAATTAATCGATTAAATAATGTCCACTTTCTAACCTCAAAAAGTCAGAGTTATTGATTTTTTGTAAATTTAGATTTGCCCGAGTGGGTAAAGAATGTAAATTGGTGGAAAGGAGCAAGTAAAGTAGAAAACCTAAGTGTTTTAATGCTCGGTCATTTAATTCTTTTAGGATATGGATTAAAATTTCATCCTAACCTCAAAAAATTGCATAAACTTATTCAAAATGGAGGACAGCATTGAAAACATAAAAACTGTGTAAAATGGTGGAAAGGAATAAGTAAAGTAGAAATTCTTTTAGGATATGGATTAAAATATCAACCTAACCTCAAAAAATTGCATAAATGTATTCAAAATGGAGGCCAGCATCTAAAAGCTCTAACAAACGAACAAAGAGAGCCTATAAACTTATACTTCAAGCTCTCTAATCTAAGTAACCGACGCGCAGCAAAACCGCCACTTGCGCCATAGATTTTAATTTGCATGTGTTCAAATGTGGTTGAGGGGCAGTATATTACGATTTTTATTACATGTATCTATTAAACTTTATTGGATANTCCTCAGAATCCGAATCTTCGGATATTACAGACGTCCCTACTTTTTCCTCAGGGATTTTGATTTCTACCTCTACCCTCAATTGAGATCCAGGTAGATTTTCCATTACAACCTGATCTTCATCACCTGAATCCTCATCAGTAACGGGATCATTGGCGTTCTCCGGAGGAAAAATTATAATATCATTTGGAATCTCCGATTCACCGATGTTTTCTAATTCTTCGCCTAATTCGGCTAGGGTTAACGGCTTTTTCCAATAACTAGAAACAAGAATATATACTTATTAGCATTTACACCGAACAGTAGTGGATTTTCCTACTGTCCTTTTAAAAGAACACCTCTTTTTTATGACCACGTGCCCATGAAAATAAATAAAAACGGACTAGTATTTTATACTCAATAACTATTTGTACATTTAGCTTCGTGATGTAAGTTACAAAAACACTATTACTTATTGAAAAAACAATATTTACATACCTCCAATTATCCATTGTCGATTCGCACTTTGCAAGAGTTACAAAAATATTCGACACGTGCCGCAAGAACGTAAACAAATCACTTTTATCCTGTTTGCGGTTGCACTAATAATCATTGAAACTATACCAATAGCGACATCTAGAATTTCAACGCTGATCTTGATTTTATCGCGCTCTACATTCAGCGGCCTTTATAAAGGACGGTAGGATCAAATGGGTTAAAATACCTAGGTGGGATAACTAAAAAACCGAAAGGGATTTTTAAAATCTATAAAAATTGTTGTATGGTGCACACAAGTCTAAGTATAAACAATAATATATTAACAAAAGGAATATTTTGGAAGGTCGTTCACATGAAGAACATTTTAATTCTGAGCAACATTTGGAATGGAAGCGATTTTTGAAAAATCACTGATTTCTGAGATATTTGCACTCAGAAGTACCTACTTTATTGAAGAATTATAACTTCTTCAAATTTAGTTTTTTTGTCATATCTTTAGTTTACTGGAAATGACATACTTTTTTGGTATTTTAAAAATAATTTCAATTTAATTTTTCCAAGTTTATAGAAATAACTCATGATTTCAAAGGATGTAGTCTTAATGATCTTTTAACAAAATTAAGTACTAACAAAATTAAAAAATGACAATAAATCTTAATAAGTTTAACAACTTTTTGCTAAAAGGAAAATATATTTAAAGAAAATGTCAGTGGTGGCTAATGAAAATTAAAATTAAATAAGAAGGTACCCACCCTGGTATCTACAAAAGGGTTGCATGAGTATGTGCGAAATATATTTTTCATAATGAACCGATAAGTGTTTTTTTTTTAATTATTTTTCATTTTGTTGTTACTAACTTTCTGTTTTTTGGAAGTCAAAATACTGTAACTTTAAGAAAATTTAAAATTTTTCGAAAACTAAAAAATTTTCAAAAAATATCAGATTCGCGCCAAATTTAGAATACGGGGGTTTTCGGGGTCGCTGATCACGGATCAGAGCTCAATTTTGCAAAATTCAATATGGCGGATCCAAGATGGCCGACCAAATGTTAAAAAAATAATAGATTCGCGCCAACTTTGGTATACCGGGGTTTTCGGGATCACTGATCACGTATCTGAGATCAGATTTACAAAATTCGTTTTTAATCAATTACCTATGTACTTTAAGAAGGTTAAAATATGATTGGGTACTCAGCTCAGGTTATAAAGTAAACAAATATATTGCAAAATGAATTTCGCAATTCTGACCTCGGATCCGTGCTCAGCGACCCCGAAAACCCCCGTATGCCAAATTTGACGCGAATGTGTTTTTTTTTAAAATTTGGTCGGCCATCTTGGATACGCCATCTTCAATTTTGCAAAATTGACCTCAGATCCGTAATCAGCGACCCCGAAAACCCCCGTATACCAAATTTGGTACAAATGTTATTTTTTGAAAATTTGTTCAGCCATCTTTGATTCACCATCTTGAATTTTGCAAAATTGACCTCGGATTCGTGATCAGCGACTCCGAATGCCCCCGTATACCGAATTTGGCGCGAATCTGTTAATTTTTGAAAATTGACTTTAAAAATCTTAATTGACATGTTTTTTTGAGGTTGGAAAAAGAACCATCAATTTTGACCGAAGATTCACGTTCGGCAGAGTCTTAACCATATAAATGAGCATTTGAATATAGAAAAAAAAATGTTTGTATTTTTCCTAGCACTTTTTTATGAATTTTTGCTATTTCTGACCTGTTTTTTGAGGTTAGGAAATTCCTGTAATGTGATAGCTCAATTCTAACACTGGATTCGTGATCAGGAGGCAAAAATACTAAGGATAACATTTGTGGTATGAAAAGTACAGACAATTTTTTTTTTGTGTGGCTGTGTTATGAAAAAATATATTTTGCATATACATGTGCAACCCCTTTTTAGATCCCGGGGTGGGCCCCCCCTCTTTTAATTTATCAATTCACAAATTTTTTATGAAATTTTTTCATCACCTAAAATCTGTATCGGTCCTATGTTATTTATAAAAATATGATCTCTTCAATTTTTCACCATCCGTCGCTGCAAATATTTCCCGATCAAACTGGAAACTGGCTGAAGATAGTTTTATTAACATTTTGATCAATGAATTTGTTATGGAGAAAGCTTCAAAGCATCTCTATGATCCAAAATTAATTTTGAGTTATAAGTGTAACCTTAAGAGGATTCTATAGCAAATAGGCAACCAGCAATACATTTGTATAGATTTTATTACATGGTTTATCTAAATATGAATTAATGCACAAATAACAGACTTTCCTCCATTCCAACGCAGATTTTTTATAAAATGGATTTTGTTTGAAATTCAAGTAACTTTTTGGTGTAAAAAAATTTGTAATTTACGATGCCAAAGGCGGCAAATTACAAATTTCTTTACAACAAAAAGTAATTTGAGTTTCAAACTAACTCCATTTTATAGAAAATCTGCATTAGAATGAAGGAAAGTCTGTTGTTTGTGCATTGATTCATATTTGACAAACTGTGTAATAAAATTTATAAGAATGTATTGCTGGCTGCTTATTTGCTATAGAGCCCTATTAAGAAAAATCAGATTAAAATACGAGTAACATTCTAGAGATGAAATTATCTCATTTGCCTATGTACAACGTTGTTTGGTTGAAAATACAGAACCTTCATAAACGATTACAAGCCACGTGACCAGTTGTTTGTTTGAAACAGTAATTTTATTTCCTTTATGTCGGCAGTTAAATTTTGGTAAAATTAAAAATTATTAAAATATGATCAAGGTTAGGTTAAAGCACAACGGTCTCTTTCAGTAGCTATGATCGTTGTAATTTTTTTCAAGATTCTATTCGACCATTGAGCGATCACATTATCGCCAGCGTAGATGTAACAGTTTGTCATTGTTCATTATAAACGAATCATTAATATTGGTGACGCCAAGATTTAGGGATCTAGTTGGCAGTACTAGTAATGTTGATTGCCTAAACTCAGTGGTCACGGCTTGTAATCATTTACGAAAGTTCTGTATTATTCTCCCATTTAAATTATTTTACATATAAATTTGATCATTTTGTTATTTTGATATATTTAACAAGTAGAGGTTATTCAATTTTTTAGTACTACATTAATTGATTTATAAACTATCTTTTTTTGTGCAAGAATTTAAAAGTAACGAGCGTTCAAATAAAAACGTGGTCGAAGTTGGCTCTGACACATTGGACGTAGGGAGTAGCTTATAGCGACCAACTTAACNTTTGAACTTCTTTATGCTTAGGTCTAAAAAATAATTAGTGTAATAAATTTAAAATTCGATAAAATTCATATCGAGCAATGTGACAAAGGCGCGGCAGTTTATTAACACGAGGTACTAAGGTGTCCAGCAACCATCAATACATAGTTCAGTTGGTATCTGGATTCGACCTTGTCTGAGTGTTTTTTGCGTACCACTATTTCCTTTTCTTGAGGAGTTTTCCAGGTCTATCTATCAAGGTCAAAATTGATTTTTCAAATGAGAACCGCTATTTTTTATTGTGGATTTGGAAAGAGCAGGAAATTTTACGTCCAAAAGTGGTCTTGACCATGACTTTGACAATGACCTTTGAGGTCAAATGTGGGTCAACTTCCAAAAGTCCTGGTACGGTAGAACTTTCGAAGAATGCATTTTGGGAAAAAATGTTTCAGACATTGTAAGGATTTTTCCCTGGCTATCTGATGGTGACCTTGGATTTGACCTTGACTTTGGCCTTCAAGGTCAAGTAAAGTTTTTTAAATGGGAACCCCTATTTTTTATTGCGGTTTTGGAAAGAGCAAGGTCATTGTCAAGGTCATGGTGAAGAACATTTTTAGATGTACAATTTCCTTTTCTTTGTAAATCCGCAATAAAAAATAGGGGTTCCCATTTGAAAAACCAATTTTGATCTTGAAATGACCTCGAAGCTCTAGGTCAAGGTCGTATACAAGGGCGTCATTGAATAACCAGGGGAAAATCCTAAAACTTTTGTATTTATCATTTTTCAAGAAAATGCACTCCTGACGAGTTATTCAGGGGTTTCCATACTTTTGTGCCACCCTGTATAAAATACGTATTACAGGCTGTGACACCTTATGAAAAACTTCCTGGGCTAATTCCTGTTCGTATTAAATTTTGTGCAAATTTTACATTACTTACCAAATTTGAAGTCTGTATCAAAGTAGTTAACCAAACCACTGTTTCACTGCTATTCTTTGAAGGATTATAGAGCCGTTACGAACAGTGTGAGGCAAATACGATACTTATTTTTTTATTTGTCGATGAGAGAAATCAGCCCAGAAAGTTTGTCGCAATGTCACTCAATGTCAATGTTTATAATGTTTGCTTGCTAGGATTTCGTGAGCGGTAAATGTTTCGATTGTGGGAAGTACAGAGAAAAATGCATTCCCTTCGGATACCACGGCAGGAAGCACTACGAGAAATTACTAGGTCTCAGATGGCGGCATACCAGCAGGGTACAATTCCTGTTAACCGCCTCGGACAAGCCATATTGCAGTAAGTACTTTGTACGATTGAATAATGTTTTCCTTAGTGCACAGGGTGTCCCAATATTAAGAGATTTTAGAGCTCAAATTGAGATGATTTTAGTAAATTTATTTTTGCCCAAAATTGCTTCGTTTAGCCACAAAAAATTTGTACTTTCTGTGTACGCAAATCATCGAGGCACCTATTAATCAATTGTTCTACTAAAAAATATATCAAACTAACAATGTTTGCAAACAAACATTTAAATTGTATCGCCACAAAAACTAATATATTTTTTTTTATTTAGGGGGGCACTACAGGCTGATCGTTCAAATTTCTAACAACACAGACAGCGTGGACCACGGTGGAGAAATAGGGCAGCTGTTATTCACGATGCACAGCACCAGCGACGGGAGAGGCCAAAAATCCAGGCCTGCCGGATTCATCAGCGGGTACCACAAACCGGGAGCCTTGCACGTAGGTGTCGTTGCCACTGACGAGGTTCCGCATTTGAAGGCGGTGGAAGTGGAGTGGAAGTATAACAGCAGCTTGTTTAACCCGTTAACCTGGAGGATATTGACCACACCAAAAATTTTCATCAACAAAGTAACGGTGGAAGCGTTGGAGATAAATGAAAGGTAATTTTTTTTAAAACCTAAACATAAAATATTACTTAATTACACTATTTAACAATAATTCATTATTACACATTCTAAAGTGAAATACTATTTTTTCAGTTAATATATTTTTGGCTTATAGGATAACGGTTTGTCCGAAGGAACAAGAACCTCTAGTTAACGGCATACCACAACTTTGGATATCTTCATATTGTTAGCCATCACTACCACTTGTATTTACATCATCAGTTCATTGATTCATCATCATCCCTTATTTATATTTTATGTACTAGCAATGCAAAATAAATATATTTTTTGATAAACATTTTGTCTTTTCTTTCAAAAATAAAACGAAAAAATTATATGATAAATGCAAAAGCAAAAGTAATATTTTCAGTTTGTAAAGCCGCCTTAATAATATTACACAAATGAAAAATTTTCAAGTTCGGTAGCGGACGTTGCGTCATCACGTCAGGTTTTTATCTAACCTAAAAAAAAAATTGGTCCAAATAGCAAAAATGGGCTTCCTTTTGATGAAAACCTATGTAGCTGGTTCCGTGAGAAACCGTGTGAGCAAGCGAATGGAAATGGACATCAAGTAGGCAGTATTGTAAACATATAGGTTAGGTTAAGATTCCAACCTAACCTTGAAAACTTGCGTGAGTACCTTCGACACATTCAAATTGAATGGAAATTTGGAGATAGCATTTCTCTAGTACGTTTTTTAAAGAGGTAACGAATGCGACACCAGAATTAATTGATTGAATAATGTCCACTTTCTAACCTCAAAAAGTCAGAGTTATTGATTTTTTGTAAATTTAGATTTGCCCGAGTGGGTAAAGAATGTAAATTGGTGGAAAGGAGCAAGTAAAGTAGAAAACCTAAGTGTTTTAATGCTCGGTCATTTAATTCTTTTAGGATATGGATTAAAATTTCATCCTAACCTCAAAAAATTGCATAAACTTATTCAAAATGGAGGACAGCATTGAAAACATAAAAACTGTGTAAAATGGTGGAAAGGAATAAGTAAAGTAGAAATTCTTTTAGGATATGGATTAAAATATCAACCTAACCTCAAAAAATTGCATAAATGTATTCAAAATGGAGGCCAGCATCTAAAAGCTCTAACAAACGAACGAAGAGAGCCTATAAACTTATACTTCAAGCTCTCTAATCTAAGTAACTGGCGCACAGCGAAACCGCCACTTGCACCATAAATTTTAATTTGCATGTGTTCAAATGTGGTTGAGGGGCAGTATATTACGATTTTTATTACATGTATCTATTAAACTTTATTGGATACAGAATAATTACACAGAGAAATTTTGTAAGAACAACGATTGTTGAATATACATCAAAAATGCAACTAGATAAATTAGTTATAAAATAAATACACGTATTATTATTAGTAAGAAAAAATAATTTGAGAGTTCTAAGGTTAAATTCTGGGTTTCTTGTAAAGTCCAAATCAAGATCACAATATTGGCCTTTTGAGTTAAATAGTAATAATTTACTCCTTAGAAATTCTAAATATTCAGAGATAAAAATATAACTTAAGTATACAGTGTGACCCATTTGAAACCGGAACACCCTCATAAAATTTTTATTTACAGGGCGATTTTGACCAACTTTTTTTTGAATTGTAGAGGGGCGAAAAGTGTACTTTAGAACAAAGCGTCATCCTTTTTATACAATAACCAAGGCCTACCAGATCATTTTTGGAGGGTCAAAATTGAAAAAACCATATTAGCGATTTTTTTAGAAAAAATCTAAATACGCCAGTGAATTAATTAATTAATTAAAATGGGCCTATTTCAAATTTCATTAAAAAATATTGCATTTTAATAATTCTATGGCAAAATTAAAAATCACATTATTATGAATTTTTTTCGTCTGACGAAGCAAGCCATGGGATAAAATGTCCTCTTATTGAATGGCCGCCAAAATCACCTGACTTGACATTTTCCTTTGGGGTGTCCTTAAGCAAAAAGTGTATAAGTCAAGACCACAGTCGGTAGAAGAATTACATGCTAGAATAACAAGCATGTGCAAATCTTACCTTAGAACAACTGAGAAGAGTAACCATGAAAATAGGAAAAAAAAACATAAGTGCCTTGAAATAAACGGCGGATTGGTGAAGGTAATAACAAGAATTTAATTAATAATTCTTCTCTTCTGAAAATTCAATAATTTTGTTGAATATTGGTATGAATAAAAATAGTTATTGTCTTTTATTTTTGGCGTTTTATTCCATGGCTTGCTTCGACAGGCGAAAAAAATTTATAACAATGTGATTTTTATACAATACTTTTTTGGTATAAGCCCATTTTAAGGGGCGCTCAATCCAGTGGTGTACTCAGATTTTTTCTAAAAAAATCGCTAATATGGTTTTTCAATTTTCACCAATCACCATTTTCAATAATTTTCATCATCATCAAAAATGATCTGATAAGCCTTGGTGTTTGTATAAAGAGGATGACACTTGGTTCTAAAGTATACTTTTTGATGTTATTGGTATATTAAAGCAATAGTAAGATATGTATGGGAAAAGTTACATTTTACACTATTTCCTACAGTGTTTCCCACGATTATGTCCCGAAGAACTTTTATTCGTAAATTTATTAAAAAATATCAGTCTACAAGATTTTTAGAAGAATTTAAATGTGACTGAGACAAGACATTGAAATATCGAGAAGTGTCGCAAAGAGATACTGTTATAGGACTTATAAAAAAATCAAAAAGTTAGTTTTAATTGTTGTATGAAGAAAATAATTATCTTATTTTTGTTCCAATATTAAAACTTGGATATACCGTAGAGATAGAATTTTGAGATCGTTCTGATAGTACGAATGTAACGTTATTCCAAGAATTCTGCAGTATATCTACAGTTAACAATGGAACAGGAAGAAGTAGTAAAATGTTACTTCATATTTCAAGTTTCACTTTAATTTATTTTTTAGTTTCATATTTAGAACCTTGGAATTTCTAATGATATTTTATTATTGACATTATTATTATAATGGATCTTCTGTCTCTTACTTCAAAAATTTCATAATAACTCCTCATTAAATGCTACCTTTGACCATATTTAAGAAAGAAAAATATTTATTGACAATTACAAATATTGATTTTGGGAGAAATTATTATAATCGAAGCGACAAATTGATAAGTTTCAATATTTAATGGTCATTTTTTAATGTGGTTGATAATTTATAATCACTGACTGGTTATTTGTTTGGTAAACAATAAAACACCACAAATATCACAAAATAATATTTTTCAAGGTTTAAACACAAACAAAAGAATAATATTTACCAATAAATTTCCAAATAAAAAAAATTTCGCTCGTAGGGGCACATTGCATATCAGGGGTTTCTTTTAAAGAACACTGTAAGCTATAACACCGCTACTTTTGATCTAATTTAAAAAAGCAAAATGTTGACGTTAATAGTTATAAAAATAGGTACACACCATTAGTTTTTTTGTCAAGGCCTACCTTAATGGCAGGCATCGATTATTTTTCAAAATGAAATTATATACAGGGTGTATCAGGAAGAGGGCCCAGTAGAATTATCTCAAAAAGTAGTCAGAATTGAAATTTATATACAGGGGTTTATCAAAAAGATTTATTCAATGAAAGTAGTGTCAACTTCCTCGTACTTTCGGTTATACCGGAAGTCAGCATCAACTCTGTTATTTCAAATAGAACACTCTGATGTATGTCTATGCATTTTTTAATTCTAAGGCAAATTCTAGACTAATTTCATATAAGGTACTGTAGGCCAAAATGTGACAGTTTTCAAGTTATTATCAATTTTCGAAAAAAATTGAGGCATACTAGTAATTTTTGAAAACAGAAGAACTCCAACACACTTAGCGTTATTTATTAATGAAATTTCGCGTGGATAATTTAAAAGCAGTGGAATTCAACCAGTTTATGTCAAATTTGCAAAAATTTATACGGTGTGTTTAAAAACGGTTATTATTAAATTCTTTTTAATGCATCAAATCCACCGTAGATTTTTCTGTGTTGAAATCAATAGTTTCCAATTTACACAAAAACTGTTGACTTTGCGGGTATAATTTTAGAGTAAATTTAATTCTGCATCCATTAATGTAATAATATCAGGGTGTACCATTTGGAATTTTTGAATTTAACTTCAATGTCACAATATTGGCCATACTCTGTATGACTTTTTGCAAATTTGATATAAAGTGGTTGTATTCCATTGTTTTTGAATCATCTATGCCAAATGTCATTAATAAATAAATCTAAATGTCGGAGTTACAGGTATTCTGCTGTTTTCAAAAATCACTTAGGTACATCCCTCATTTTTTTTCGACAACTGATAATAACTTGAAAACTGTCACATTTTGGCCCATAGTACCTTATATGAAATTAGTCTAGAATTTGCTGTTAGATTAAAAAATGCATAAATATACAGAGTGTTACATTTGAATTAACAGAGTTGATGATGACTTCCCGTATAACCAGAAGTGCGAGAAAGTAGGAAGTTGATATTATTATTGATATATTGATTTTATTATTATTTTCATTTAATAGATCTATTTGAAAATAAATTTTCAGATTTCATCTCTGACTACTTTTTGGGATAATCCTACTGGGCCCTCTTCGTGATACATCTTGTATATTTTTATTATTTTTATATTTAAACTGATAGAGAATTATTTCTAAATCCAATGGTATACAATGAATCCATTTAAAATGGAAACACCCCTTTAAGAAAGGTATTTATATAGGGTGTTTCTTAATAACGTGCTAATATTGAAGGAGGTTATTCTTGGGTCCATTTTAAGAAAAAAACTTCATATAAACATATGTCCTGAGAAACTCTTAACTTTTGAACAACAGGGTGCTAAAGTTTTATGAAAAAACATTTTTTTATGATAACTTTGGTACCCTACATATTTTTTCAAATTTGGTACACGCCTATTCATCGAGATACATTTTCTGATGTACAATTTTTATTATTTTTGCCAGTGGCGTCTGTACAGGTTTTGTATTGAATGTTTTTGAAGAAAAATATATATGTTACGCCACTGCTTTTTCTTAAAATAAAAATCATTTTTGAAATCGCTTAAAAAGTTATTATGTTAAATAAATTATTGTTCAAAGTTACATAAATTTTTTTTTCCTCGTAAATGGTCCAATAAGATGCAAATTAATGAATTTTATTTTTTTATGAGAAAACCGTATGTCAAATGAAAAAAATTCAGGACACCACATTTGCTCAGAAAGGAATGAGGATTTCAAAAATGACCCAAGAATAACCTCCTTAAATATTAGCACATTATTAAGAAACACCCTGTATATTGACCAATTTGTTCTTTTTTTCTTTTTAAAGATTCTGTTACATCACCATTTTTAAGCTCTATCTTACAGAAGAAACCTTAATTAAAGCGGTCAATAATTTGATTTTCTATTACATTAGGTAACATGATTATTTTGTTAAATCGGTTATATTAAATTTAACATTTTCTCTTTGCCGACTTGATTAATTGTTCAATGTTTGGTTGTTTTCATGGTAGATTCGACAATTTGTTCAACTTAATATTAACAAGTATTTCGCATATTTTCTCATACATTTTTCGCAAAAATTCTCATATATTGTTCAAGTGAAAAACAAATTTTAGCTTGCAGAGTTTTTAATGAAACGGTATAATTGATATGAATATTTTTTTAGTCTCTATATGTTATCTTACGATATTTGGAAAACTGCAACTATTATACCATAAAAAAAAATTAAATTCATAAAATAAAAAAATTTGAAATTTGTTTTATTATCACTGTATTTTACTAACAAAGCAAATTAAAAAAAAAATGTATCCAATGGAAAATCAAAAACATTATTTAACAATACATTAACTAAAAAAATATAAATTATAACAAAAATCTTAAAAAACTTAAAATCACAGACAAATAGTAGACACATCGCTCTGATATATACGAGACCTTGGTCTCAAGCTGGGAGGTGAAAATATAGATATGTATGCGTCTTTTGCAACTTCTTAACATTCTATTCTGAGATTGTGATGGTAAGATTCTTTGTCTTGTAATTATCAAATTTGTCCATTGTTTTAATGTCCATAATCGCGGTTAAAGCGACGATTAAACCTATACCTAACAGTGTCGTTACAAACAACCCAGACCAAATCGGAGCAGTTGTAAACGAGACGCAATCATTAGCATCTCCGAATTTTCCGTTCTTGGAATCCACTTGTACTTGCAAATCGTAGATGTACAATTCTGCTCCGTTTCCATCAGAAAAAACTGAGTACCCGTTACAGTGGTAGGAAAAATGGGCGGGGGCCATAATATCTTCATCGGTGGTTAAGTTGTATTCTCTGTAATACTCTGGAACAATTACTTTGACTGAAGGTAAAGACCAGTACCCGTTTAGCCACGAAATACTAAATCGAAGTATTATCTTAGTTCCACCTTCTAAGGGTATGACGTTAACATTTAATCGAGTGTCGTATATAATCATATCGGAAGGAGTATTTCCCAAATGCAGCTCGAATGGTTCGGAGTCATTTGTTTTCAAAAGCAGTGGTTTGGAAGAATACAACAAAGCATACAATTCATCCTTAGTATTTATGCTTTTGTATATAACAGGTTCTTGTTGTTGAGAGACTTGTTTGACTTCCGACACTTCGGTAGTAATTTTCTCAATTTCCCTTTTATACCGCTTGTAGGGAATAACTATCACAGACAAAATATTAGAGGATTTATTTGTGTGACTTAAAGTTTCCCTTACTTTCTCGGCATCCAATATATCACTTCCTAAAAGGTCTGAAATATATATTTTTTATTTAGGTATATAAATTACATTTAAGTATATTTATTTATACCTATGCTTTCTTCAACATCAAGGTCTCCATTTGGGACATAAGAGGAGTAATAGCCATCAATTACATCTTTTATGTAAGGCGATATTCTTGAAGAGCTACGAAAATAATACACCTCTGGATCACCCAATTCTTTACTTAAATTTGAAAATTGTTCCATAGTAAAAGGCTGTAAGGGAGATATTTCTAATTTTTTGTTACTCCATAAAAATACAGCTGCTTTTGATATACATATATTTAAAAATATTGGAAAAAGAAAACGCATTTTTCAAAGCTTATTTTCCTGACACGGATTACGAACTACGAACCAAAACAAAAATCAATATTCGATTCTCCCGGTTCGCATTTTAGGTATTTCAACGTATTTCTGGTTGCCAAGGTAGGTTTCTTTAAAATAGAAATAAATGTAGATTAATCACATTAAAAGTTAATTTCAAATATATCGTTGATAATGAAGACGCTGTGGTGATTAACAGTTAATTAGTGCTATAATTTCTAATTTATTGCAACTATCTAATTTGTACAAAAAGACAGATTTTAAACCAATACCACAGCGATACCACGTGGCGTGCGAAATGACACATATCAGCTGATTTGTTTAAAAGATAGCGGGAAATTTGAATATACTTCAAAGGAATATTTGCGTAGGTATTGAAATAAAGAATATTTATTCATTTGAAATTATTTTAAAATTCAATCTCGGTTTTTATTGCTTCTTATCATACTCTCTACAGCGAAAATAATTTGATAACAACAATATAATAAACCACAAATCCTAACTAAACAATGTTATTTGTTTGGTGTCGTGATGGTATGATAATCGAACCATACACATAAATAATAAACTAGAGAATTAGAGCAATTGTTTGATTAAATAATTCCAGTAGCCTTGACGTAAAGCAGTATAAAATAAAAGGGGCCCATAAGTTGATAAATTTAGTTTATTTTCAGTTCTCTTGCGGCAGTTACAGTCGATTTCTTTAGAATTTCGGTGGAAAGTCGTAAGATGTCTTCATTATCAGCTGATCAAAGGAAAGCGTTGGATACGCAAGCTGTCAACAATTTTAGGGAATATTTGCAAATTCCCTCAGTTCAGCCAGACATCAATTATGGTAAGCGAATTTTACTATGAAATACTTAATATACGTGAAATCCTGCTAAACGCTAGAGATTTTCTAGGTCACATTTGCGTAGTCGTATGTCATTTGTTTAGAAATTCTTTTGGCTTGGCTTCGCTTTTTGGGTGTGGAGTTTGTTCAATATTTTTTAATTTTCCGGAATTATTATCTAGTGAAATATTTCTGATCAGGAAGAAATAATCCTTTAACCTCCCAACAATTGCATGGTATGTTTTTTCCTTAAAGTATTACAAAGCTAGCAAGTAGATTGATTTAAAAAAGGCATTTGTGAATTTTTCTCTTAAACTTAAATTTTACAACATATCGTTTTATGTAACTTTTAAAGAAGACCTCCTATTTTTCAATAGACAAATATGCATTAAACCAAAATGTTTAACTGAAAACGCTATAAAGAGAGACACATTTTATTATATTCAGCATCCAGGACATATTTTCTTTTCAAATGAGAAAAATTAGAAGTTTTAAATATTCAATGTAAGCAGAATGTTAGAAATAATTTTGATGTAGTGTTTGAATAAGGAATATAACGCCAATAATAAAACTGATTAGATAAATGCAATATAAAGGATTTAGGGTGAAATATTTTTTACACCTCAATGAAAATACCTCCAGTCTGCCTGCAGTATTGCTGCAGGTGTACATCTTAGATCAATAATAGTGTGTTCATGATCATAAATAGATTAGTCCGTTGAAAAGCTTTTCCTGTAATTAGTCATGCAATCTAGAATTTTGTTGCAAAGTATTCTACCAAAGTATGCCAATGGACTTTCTTTAATTATAATAAATAATATTAAAACGTGACAAACTAAACCAACTTTTATTAAACATTGACTCCAGGAAATCAAGACAGGACGCAGGCAGGAAAAGATATCAAGTAATATGTATTATAAGATGTTAACTATGTAAAACCAGGCATAGGTATCAATAAAGAAATAAACTTTACAGAAAGTGTCATTGTATTAAATTATTAAACAAAATATAACCTGTGTTCTTGAAAATGGGTTTATATTTCTGTGTGGGTGTCCTTTAATTTGTCAAATTCCTGCAAGGTTCAAATGAATTATGATATTTGACTACGAAGGTGTAACATTTTGAAGATGACCTATTGACAGTGATTTTTTAAAATGTCTTCTAAATCAGTTCGTACATTTTATAGTCATAACAAAATAGATCGAAAATCGTGTCCATTTTAGCAAAATTCCTCAAGAGCAATAATTCCTTCACTTGCCTCTACTTTTTTATGCTACAGAGCAATCGGGTGTTTGTCACTTTTCTAAATACTAACAGAAAATTATGTAATGTGATAAAGAACCTGCTCTGCATTGTTTTATTTGTGTTTTGTTTGGCGTACAATTTGCATTAAAATTTTAAAAATCATACAAACATGTACATTGGGAGTTTTTAGAAAATTTCTTATACGGTTTTTATTAACTTTCATCCAAAATTTTTTATTATAAATATCCTATCTATTTAATTTAAATTATTTATTACAATACCCAACGGGCAAATGCCTAATTACAGGATAAGGTAGAAACAATAGTAATAAAAAAAAAAAACTAATATCTAACTGTAAACTACAAAAACACATATCTAACAAAAATAAATGGCAGTAAATTACAAACATAAAATATATCCAAACGTAATTCAATTTCACTGTAATTGATAAACATTTGGTACATGGGAGAAGCTTTACACAATTAGTACAGTAATTTTTTGTTTGGAAAAGTTGCTGGTGCTGCATATTTATTTGGAGAATGTGAAAATTTATAATTTCTTAAACATTTTCATCATACATTACATACTCCTGAGGCAAACGCCTTGACAGATGGTGGCCACCAAGTGTAAACATAGCTTATTTGAAAAATTGTCGCACTTTTACCATACACATTAAATGATTATTATAAACAAGCGCCCAAACCAAAGAAGTGTACTCAAGCTTAGATCTGACAGGTGTATTAAACAGCAACCTATCGAATTACTAACAATGAAACCTAAATTTTTGTAAGGACTTTTAAGTATATTTTCACTATATTTCGTTAAAGAAGATTTAGGATCAAAAAATACCCCAAAATCTTTAACCAGGTCACGTCGTTGTAGAATAAGCCTATAAAGTTTATAATAGTATAGGATTTGAATCAACTGCCAGTAAAAGTCACAACATTACACTTTGCAGGCATTCAAATGAACCAGGAGATTATTAAATTTAGTTTTTTTTGTAGATTATGTGTAACATCTATTTATGAAACAAAATATTTTCGTGTCGTCAGAATATAATAAATAACTTACATTCAAATCAGACATGATATCATTAATAAAAACTAAATATTAAAGGTCCAAGGACAGAACCTTGTGGAACACCTGAAATCTGGACAATTTCAGCAGACTTAACTCCTAAAACTTGGATAAACTGAGATCTACCAGATAAATATGGTAGTACTGTACATGTTACTAAACTTGAGGTGTTATAGTTAATAGAAGTTATAAATAAATAAGCAATCAGTCACATGAAGTCAGAGGTCATCTCTGTAACATACTGTAGAAGTCTGGTATTTGAATTAAGGGAACCTGTGTAATATTCAAATCTCGTTGAAACCATTTGGACACTATTTTGCATCATTCACTTTGACAATTTTTTTTACTCCCTATAAATATAATGAGCTTTTAATCATTTATATTTATACTTTCCTAGCAATTGTGAGGTTATTTTTGGAATTAAAGATAAAGCCCAGACAGTTATTTCAAACGTAGTTCATTTGTTAATTTACATTATGTATTATATTATATATTATTAAGATATCATAGTGAGTGTTTAATAATGGATTAAAATTTAGTTGATTTGTAGACTTTTCTTCTTTAGAGGAGTTAATGAACTTATTATATATAATTACGTTGATCTTTAATTTTGATAATGTTTTACACGATAGTTATAAAGTTAAAGTTAAACTAGTAAATCTAGATAACAATGACTATTAAAAGTATTATTATCTTAAAGCTTTAATAAATAAATAAATATTTTTTATTCTGAGATTTAATTACACTAAATACCAAAATTAGTAGTTTCACTAAATATAAATCTATGTAATTAAAAGTTGCTTTTTTGTTGTTAGAATTTTTAATTTGCAATTAAAAAATGCAAAAAATATTTGCAAGGCTGAAAGGTGAGATCACTTAGATCACATTTTTATACTTTTTTAAAAAAGGATCACCAAAGTTACTTTTCTCCAAGATAAATAGTCAAAAAGTCACTTTTTGGCCTCTCTTTCATGCTACAGAAGGATTTATGCACGGTACATGAAATTAATGTTTTCTCGTTTAAAAATATGCATGATGTCTATTTAAATGGAGTACTCTCAAAAACCATTTTTATAATGGGTGGGCCATTTTGGTGATTCATGTATTGCAATCTCAAGCACTATACAGAAAAGTTAAATGGAGAAGTTTTAGATCAATTTGTTATTAACTTAATGACGCTTGCAGACCTGTTCCAGATGCTCGGGTTTTTAAATTATTTTTAAAAAATAAGAATTTTTTTTAATAACTTATTTTAATTGTAAAAATTTTGATGCGCATTGACTGAAAATTACTTTTTCTTGAAGGTGATTAAACAAGTGAACATTTTTTCAGTAAAATGTTTGTATTTTCTAAATATTACATCTTTTTTTTCTTAGTCAGTGGCATATTTATTTCAAAAAATATTCTTTGCAATGGCATTTGCATGCCACTGGATTTTTCAATCAACTCAAACTATACCGGATGATGAGTGATCCAGGATGTTATCCATCATGTAAAATTAGAACAAAATTGCTATATAGAATATGTCTAAGACTAGTTAATTTTTTTAATTTCATCAAATAAATTTCATCAAATCAATTTCATCAATTTCATCTTGAAATTGAAATGTTTATCGACAAAGTTTTATTTTACTTTTTTTATTTTATTTTAATTACTGCCATTATTTTCATCATAGAAACTAGAGGCGAATAAATGTAGTCCATTTCATTTGTTACAATATTAAGTATACATTGTAAATATTCAAAAGAAAGGTTGTTCATATTACTTAGATTTTAATTATGTACTTGTATTGGAAAAATCACTTTTAGGACATTTATTTCAAATTTTTTGGTCGCTTTCTTCTTTAATATTTTGTATTGGAGCCCTGTATGTGGATTTTACTAATTACTTTACATAAATTTTAATATTTTTTTAAATCCATTTGCAAGTAAGAAGTAGGTAGCCTTGCAAATGTAGTTTTTCTGTCAGTGTACCATGTAATGTACAGGGTTATTCGTATTCCATTATATCGCTTTTATTTCTTTTCACATTCTGCTTAGGAAAAAATTGTTAAAACCAAGTTTTAGGGAATTTTCGTTCTTCTTAAGTCAAACTGAAAACAAATATATGACATGTATACAATATTGTAATCATGAAAGACAGATAATTAAAAAAAAAACATGTTCAGGATATTCTGTATAAAAAAATAAAAGGTTAACTTATATTTCCAAAATACAACATTCAATTGTTTTTCTTTATGTATTTTTTTGGGATCGCAATAAAATTTCCCGAAACTTTGGGCTTCTCTAATTTTTTCTGGATAGAAAAACGAAAACGATGAGGGTAGAATGTTATGTGATTAATTCTATACGTAACTTTCTCCCTTCGTTGCTTTTTTATTTTACTTGTACTTAAATAAAAACTTGACATATCTGTTGTATTTTATTTATTTTTATTTTTTTTAGATGATTGTGTTACATTTCTTAAAAAGCAGGCTAAAAGTCTGGGACTACCAATCAAAGTTATCGAGATTACATCCGGCAAGCCCATAGTGATAATAACGTGGGAGGGATCGGAACCTGATTCGCCAACGATTTTGCTCAATAGTCATATGGATGTTGTACCAGTTTTTGAAGTAAGTTGGCCATACTATTTTCCCTCATATTGAAAGTAACGAAAAAATATTTTTTTAATAATAGAGTACCACAATCTTGGGATATTGAGACTTCAAAATCCCGAATAATCCTGAAATCAAATTGTTTGTATTTAATTTTCTTATTTATTACTTTAAACATTAGAGCATATGTTAAAAAGTGTAAATGCTGTCTTCCGTCCCTTCTACTACCCCCTCCCCCTTTACTACCCGCTCCCCCTCTACTGCCCGCTCCCCTCTACCACCCCTCTACTACCCTCTCCCCTCTCTGTCTACACTGTAGCCGTAAGAGTGCTTCTTCCGTGTGGAATATGCTCTAAGCTTTAAACTAAGTGTTCATTATTTTGGAATGACTGGTCACGTTTAAGTGACTGACAACAATACAGGGTGTCCCATTTGAGATGGATTCTTGCATCAAATCAGTTATTTCACATTTTAAAATGATCTTCCGTTGTCGAGTTCTACAGGCTGTCTCCTAAAAAACGCCGCAAGCCGTAACTCCATTATTTATAGTTTGATTTTAAATAAGAAACAAAAAATTATATGAAATGGTCCTAAATACATTATAAAGGGAGCCTATTAGTACTTATTTACTATTTTTTTTTTTTTTTGAAAAGTGAGTCAACTTTTTTTTTCAAATGGCAATATAGTTTTTTTTGTTATTTATTATTGCGCAGATTTATTTTCTGAATCCAACGATGTATATGAACTTGACTTTAGTAAAGCATTTATTACAGAAAAGATGACAAAATATTAGTCGATACCGCATTTGACGCCCGGCTATTAATTCATGACAAATGTATATTAACTAATCATCTGTGCCATGGAAAACAAAAAATAATACAGCAAAACAAGTAAAACTCAAAAGAGACTTTTGTAGTTAACTGGAAAGAAACAATACAATTAATATCAATTAAAAGACAATTCAATTAAATACATTAACCATTATACAAAGTTCAACACGAAATATTATTAATTAAACACAAAACACATTAAACGTAGAACAACAAACAAAACAACTAAAGAAACAAATTGTAGCCGTCGTTCTCTATCATTTTCCGAATGAAAGTTCTCGGTTTTGTTCAACGTTAAGAAAAACATTGAACTTGATGTTTTCATTACATTGGCATTCTTCTTGCTTTGATTTCTTAAAAGCACCATAGTTTCTCAAATTTTCTTCAAGTCTTACAAATCTATGTGGTTCTGGAACTTCTCTGTGAGGAAATAGTTCTCTGTAAAGGCGGACTTCTGCACCACGATTTTTATTACACCGAAAGTATACCTGAATCATGTCCGTCAATTATTGATTATTACTCATATTTTGCACTGTTGAGCTTATTACAATAAATGACCTACTATAATGCGTCAAATACTGGGACCCGAATGCTAAAATGACATTTACTTGCTTTGTTGTATTATTTTTTTGTTTTCCAGGCATACATGATTAGTCAAAATATGTTTGTTGACAATTAAGCAACCGGACGCTAATAATGCGGTATTGACTAATATTTTCATGCTTTTTCTGTAATGCATGTTTCACAAAAGTAAACTTTATATACACCGTTGAATTCAGAATAGAAATCTGCATAATAATAAATAAAAAAAAACTATATTGCCATTTAAAAAAAAGTTGACTATCGCTTTTCAAAATAAAATAATAATAAATACGCTCCAATAGGCTAACTCTATAGTGTATTTAGAGCCATTTCATATAATTTTTTGTTTTTTAAAATCAGACTAAAAATAACGGAGTTATGGCTTGCGGCGTTTTTTAGGAGATAGCCTGTAACTAAAATGCTTGGCCGAAATTGAATTTGGAAATTTACATTACAAATTAAAAAAAAAAGTTTAATATCCTGTATGTGTAAAACGAAGCATTTATATAGACTTTTTTATTGTTAGTTTGCGACATAGAAGCAATCACTAAAGCTTGGCCAAGCGTTTTCGTCGAACTTCTGTATTCGTCCTGTCGTCCATTTATTTCCTTTTTAATTCCGTTTAGGACAAGTGGACTTATAAGCCTTTCAGTGCCCATATTGATAAGAAAGGGAACATTTACGCTAGAGGCTCGCAAGATATGAAGTGCGTGGGTATTCAGTATTTGGAAGCTGTTAGGCGCTTAAAACTACAGGGTGTTACTTTAAGAAGAACATTGCACATATCGTTCGTTCCCGGTGGGTAGTAATTGAGGTATTTGAATATAAATCTCAGTTTTTGAGTAGAATCTTTTGAGATGTAAATTATCTGGAATGCATTGGAAATAAAATAATTGCACAAATTTTTATTAAAAAAAAATTAAATCGTGTTAACGGATAATTTATACGATTTATTATTTCGTACAGATGAAGAAATTGGAGGAGTGGAAGGGATGAGAAAGTTCGTACACACGAATGAATTCCGTGATTTAAACGTTGCCTTTGCACTGGACGAAGGGATGGCCAATCCTACCGAAGAATTCGCCTTGTTTTATGCCGAACGTTGCATTTGGCGTAAGTAAAACATTTATTAATCATCTTCATTTCTCGTAACCAAAAAATTTTTTAAAATTTATCTCGACAATTTACAACATTATAACGCCCCGATGCTCCAGTTGTTACATCACCACGGTGATAACAGATATACAGAGGATCCCAAAAAGACCCAAATCCCCAATAACTTTTCAGAATTAAGTCAAAAAAGTTTCAGGTGAAAGTTGTAAGGTATTGTAGAATGGCGAAAGTGACTAATATTCTGGTGACCTTGTATTTAACCTTGACTTTAAGTTTCAAGGTCAGACCAAGATTTTCTTGCAAATATTGAATGGAACACCTTTTTTATGCCAGCAATTTATAGAGCGATAAATTTTGTGTATGAAAATGAGGTCGGAATATTTTCCCAGTACGTCTGTAGATCATTTATAGATTAAATTTATTTTTGTCTGAATAACTTGACAAGATCGAATTGTAAGCAACATTTGTAGGATTTTGCATATCAAATTGGATGGTGACCTTGGATTTGACCTTTGACTTGGACATTCTGGAAAAATTTTTTGATCCCAGATTCCGACATAAAATTAGAGGCTGTATCGGTTACTGACATAAAAAATAACTTAATCTGCTTTTGTGGTGCCGATCAAATTCAATACTTTATCATTAGTCAGGCTTGTCAAATTGTCGAAAATACTTCGTTTTTTTTGCCAAAATTTAGTTCAGTAAACAAACACGTAAAAATTAGGAAAAATTTCGTATAACTGAATGAACTACTTTAGGGCTTCATTTTTAAAATGGCCTCTACAGTTTGCAAAAAACAGTTGTTTTTTTTTCATTGCAAGATATTTTATACTTTTTGCAAAAATTAAGTTTTTTGAAAAATTACATTTTTTCAAGTTTCAATAAATCACAGTAATGCACTTATGTGACCCATCTTGGGCTTAAATTTTTCTCCAAGAGTTGTAATTTCCTGTGCAAATTGTGTGCATATTGCAAAATAATTGGAAATATGCAAAAAATCTAAGTACCGAAACTTTGACTTCTTTGTTGGGTCGAAAAATGCAGACCTTTTTCTTATTGTTGAAATTAATCGGAATGGCATTATTGCCATTTGACAGCTGAAATTTTTTCACGAATTAAAAAAAATGTTCTATGACCAACAGGATCCGAGAAATTTTTTATTTTTTTTGAAAAAATCGCTACGACTTCATTTATTAATATTGAGGTCTGAAATTTACACTTGTAGTTGAATACTTTTACTACAAAATAAAAAATAGTCCGCAGTGATTGACTTTTCTTTCACAGTAAACTTAATTTTGTTGGGCCTCGTAAAATGCTTGCTCCGCTCGCTCGCTCGTCGCGTTGTTGTTTTGAAAGGAGAAAAAAATATGCTAAGTTGATTACTTAGGTCCTAGGATCGACAAATACAACAGTCGCGTCACAGTCTTTCTTCTCCCATCACGCGCCTCGTGTCGAACGAAACGAGCATTTTACGGGTCCCAACAAAATTAAATTTACTGTAAAAAGGGAGTAAATCGTTGCGGAGTATTTTTTATTTTGAAGTAAAAGTATTCAACTACATCATGTGTAAATTTCAGACCTTAATATTAATAAGTGATGTCGTAGCGATTTAAAAATAATAATTTCTCGGCTCCTGTTGGTCGTAGAAGAACATTTTTATTTAATTCGTGAAAAAATATCGGCTTTCAAATGGCAATAATGCCATTCTGATTAAATTTCTACTATAAGAAAGAGATCTACATTTTTCGACCCAAAAAAGAAGTCAAAGTTCAAGATTTTTCCTATATTTCCAATTATTTGGCAATACGCGCACAATTTCCACAGAAAAGTACAACTTGGAGAAAATTTTAAATCCAAGATGGGTTATGTAAGTGCATTACTGTATGATTTATTGAAACTTGAAAAAAAAATGACTTCGAAAATCTCAATTTGTGTAAAAACTCTAAATATTTTGCAATGTTACAAAACTGCACTTATTCTACCTGCCAAGAACTACATATTGTGAAAGTTTCTTAAAAAATCTTTTTTTGTTTTAAAGATATAGAAGTTTTAAAAAATGCAGTTTTTACAATAACTAATAAAGGACCCTGCAGAAAATATATGGAAAATGGTCTTTCGGTAACTCTCGCTGAAATTTTGCAGAAAGGTAGGTTCCAGCTTTCTGAACAAAAGTCTCAATGACACCAAGATCAAAACGGTCTGGTCCTTATAGGGTTTTTAGGGTGGCTGATTATGATGAGTAGGTCAGTTAACCCTTTGGGTCATATATATTTCTACAGCATATTTTTGTCTGATTTTTTTTTTTACTCGAGGGTTTTCAGGGTCGCTGATCGCGAATATGAAGTTAGATTTTCATCCAAATCCAAGATAGCGGATCCAAATGGCCGACAGTCACCTCTGGTGACCTCGGAAACATATTTGTGAATTTTTCCAGATTTTTTCGACCATCTGTTCTCTACTTGACCTTCAAAATGACCTTGGCATGACCTTGAATGACCCCTGGGAGTCGCTGCGGGGTCAACTACGGTTTCGTGATTAGGGACATACATATGAATTTTTTCAGATTTTGTTGACGGTTATTTCTCTACTTGACCTTCAAATGACCTTAAAATGATCTTGAAACTGATGTGATTGAGCTTAACTGACCTACTCATCGTAATCAGCGACACCAAAAACCCTATAAGGACCAGACCGCTTTGGGTGTTTTATTGTGGATCAAATGTTGACCAGTGTTTAAGCAAGATTCAACGAAAAATACCTTTTTTCAGTTCCACGGAATATTTCTTAATTTTTACGTGTCTTTTTTTACTGAACTAAATTTTGACACGTAAAAATCTAATTTGATTGGACCATTCAAAATCCTACGAATTTTATTTGAAGCCATTTTCCTGCACAATTCGATCTCGTTGAGTTATTCAGAGAAAAATGCGTCTCGCATCCATATGACCCAAGGACTTGAGACGGATAGAAGATACTAAAATTTTGTCATAGTTCTTACTGAAAAACCGTTTATATAAACTTATTTGAAATTGTATTTTGCAACGTATTTATATTTTTAATAGTTGCTGAAATTATTAAATTTAATTATGAATCATTATATTATCAGTGGCAACGATAAAGTTTAATGCGCTTCCGCTAGAGCATAAATAAATTTTTTCCTTCAGACATGCATATCCACTGCCCGGGAAACCCCGGCCACGGTTCCTTATTACTCGACAATACTGCCGGAGAGAAAGTCAACTACATCCTAAACAAGTTCTTTGAATTCCGAAGACGAGAGAAACAAAAATTAGCGGAAAACCCTACCTTGACGGTCGGAGACGTCACCACCGTGAACCTAACCCAGATGAAGGTATTTCACCCGTTCGCTACTCGCAAATACATACGTGCTGAGGTTTGATTATTACAGGGTGGCATTCAGACCAACGTGATTCCTCCGGAATTCGTAATAGTCGTCGACTGTCGTATTCCCATCACGGTGGACATCAAAAAATGGGAGGAAACCATCAACAGATGGTGTAGCGACGCGGGTCAAGGCGTGCGCATCGAGTACGAACAGAAACAGCCGCAGGTACCCGCGACGAAGTTGGATAACACCAATCCGTTCTGGATCGCTTTTAAGGAGGCTTCCGATGAGCTGTGAGTATTTTGTTTCGATTTTCTCTTTTACTACTGTTTTCATGTTTCACTGTAGTGTCACAACTTCAATCGTCCATTGCAAAAATTAAAAAATAAAACTGAAGAATTTTTATTTAATAGGGATCAGTCTAGTTGCTGTTTAAATCGCTAGCGGTGCCATCTTTGAAGATGGAAAGTGGATATTAAAATTGAAAAAATTGATTCAGCATTATTTATTTTCTTAATAATATACAGGGTGTCCAGGAAACGACGGGCAATCTCTCCCATTTGAGTAGACCTTGCAAAAATAACTACCAACTGTTGAAGTTAAGAGTTGAAAATCGATTTTTTGTTATGACTTTTGTTATTATGTTTTTCTGTTAAATTTGGATAATTTTTGAGTAAAAATTTTGAGCAACCGAGGGCATAGCAAATAATTTATAGGACCAATTTTTTATAAAAACCAAATAATGAGTTTATCTCTTAAGCACCGGAAAACCCCCGTACACCAAATATGGCATGAATGTGTTATTTTTTGAAAATTTGGTCGGCTATCTTGGATCCTCCATCTTGAATTTTGCAAAATTGATCTCGGATCCATGATCAGCGACCCCAAAAACCCCCGTACAAAATTACAAAATTTGGCGCAAAACTAATTTTTTGAAAATTCATGATATTTGACCTTAATTAGACCGTTTTTTTTGAGGTTAGAAAAAGAATAATCAATTCTGACCGCGGATTCACGTTTGGCGGGGTCTTAACCATATAAATGAACATTTTAATATAGAAAAAAAAATTTTTTGTACTTATCCTAGCACTTTTTCGTGAATTTTGCAATTTTTGGCCTATTTTTTGAGGTTACGAAATTCCTGGTTAGGGTGTTCTCAAAGTTGAGTCATTTATTTTAACAACTGGTAGAACTCATAAAAAAAGTCGATTTACCAAAAATCGTTTATATAAAAGTTGTCAAATATCAACAATTATTTAAAAAAATTGAAATTAAAACACCTTATAATACAAACCTGAGTTATTGTCATTTTCAACGACTACGTTGTAATTGATACTAGGTATGTTTTTTTTTTGTAGTTGCACGGTATTGAGTACGCTTTTCGATTTGACAGTGCTAAATAATTAGTACAGTACTTAGTGCGTGATATTATTTTTGATTTGTGGGTGTTTTGTGCAATAAAAATGGCACATGTTTATGAAAACAATGAACTAGTGGATAGAATATTATCTTACGGGGAGTGTCAACAAAATGCAGCTGCAGCATGTCGCTTGTACGTGGAAAGGTTTCCTTTACGAAATCATCCGGCTCCGCGGATGTTTGTAAATGACTCCGCGACACAGGGTATTTAAAGGAACAACGAGAACGTCACGTTAGAAGACCTCCTCCACGCGAAATGGTGGAGATCGAGGAAGAAATTTTAGAAATTGTCGAAAACGACCCAACAACAAGCACTAGTTCAATGTTAGTAAACACACAATTTATCCTCCAGCGTGACCTCGTTGTTCCTTTAAATGCCCTGTGTCGCGGAGTCTTTTAACTAAATTTACAAACATCCGTGGAGCCGAATGATTTCGTAAAGGAAACCTTTCCGTGTACAAGCGACATGTTGCGACTGCATTTTGTTGACACTCACCGTAAGTTAATATTCCACTAATTCATTGTTTTCATAAACATGCGCCATTTTTATTGCACAAAACACCCACAAATCAAAAATAATATCACGCACTGCTGTACGAATTATTTAGCACTCTTAAATCGGAAAGCGTACTCAAAACCGTGCAACTACAAAAAAAAACACACCCAGTATAGGTAGTAAACAAACAATTTATGTTTTACAATGGACTGGTCGAAAATGACAATATATCAGGTTTGTATTATAAAGTTTTTAAATTCCAATTTGTTTAAATAATTGTTAATAATAGCTTAATTTGACAACTTTTATATAAACGATTTTTGGTAAATCGACTTTTTTTATTAGGTCTTCAAGCTGTTAAAAAAAATGACTCAACTTTGAGTCCCTGTATTGTAAAATGTAAGTTTTAAACATTTTATATCATAATTTAGCCATTTAATTAATTTCAATTTTTAAAAGACACAGACCTTTGTTATTAGGTTTTTCTGAAAAAAAAAAAAAAATTCTTATGGGAACTCGATCTTTTTATAATTTTTGTTGCCATTCTTAGATTTTTTGTACCTTTTTAAGTGAAAAAAGTATACTTGTTTTTTATGGACTGATGTCAATGAACTGCTTTTGAAACAAACAAGTTTAAGGATAAACATACCATACTATTTCCGGCATATCTCAAAAATAATAAAAAATTAAAACAATAACCGGTTCTTTGATATTACTCACTTATTTTGTTGCATAAATGATTAATTTCTGTTTTCAAGTATTTATTGAGATATGTTGAAAATAGTATTATCTTCATCATAAAACACATTTATCTTGAAAATATTTTGATGTATTATCAAAAAATTAGTTTTTCATTTATAAAAGTATAAAAACTTGAAAAAAACATCAAATATAAATGTAGGCCTATACATTTTTTTGATGGGACAGGTTTGCCTAGGGTACTCTGCTACTGGGTACCCCAAGTCAGAAATAGCTTCAACCGGCATAGCTTTTACCCAAAAATTATCCAAATTTTATGAGAAACGAGAAAATTATATAAAAAAAATATTTTCCGCTCACAGTGTCAAGATCTAATAACTCTACACGGTATACCCAAATAAAAAAAGTTTATTTAAACGTGCAACATTATGTTTGCAAATCCTACACAAATCTGTGAGATTGACCACCATTTTTTGAACGCCCTGTATTTTGTGTTGTTTTTTGTCTTATTTGATGAATGAATAATGTCAACTTATTTGATATTGCAAAATGAATGTTTTTATAATTAAATAATGGGGTTGTTTTCCGTTTTAATATTTTTCAAAAAATGTCTAAAATATGCATTTCATAATTTTTTGATTTTTTATCATTTTATTCAGAAAAAAGGTAAAACATATTTCCTTTTGATGACAGTTTGTGGAAATTGTGTATTAGAACTATTAAACAAAAATACACAAATAAATGTTAGCAGTAAACATACACAATTCCCAGCTTCCAATTCATTAACAGAATGAGATATTTGCGTTTAATCGCGTTTAAATCCAGCGTATTGTAGATATATTCTTAAGCAACTAGATATTACTATTGGCCGTTGTTGGCACTGCTAACGTAACAACACAATGAGACGTGACATATTTGCCAATGTAAATGAAAATTCCTGTAAGGAATATACAGGGTGTGCCATTTAACAGTCCCGCTGCCAATATATCCGAAATGAAGAAATTTATTTTAGTTTCGGAAGTTGGGGGTGTTAGTTCTCTCGAATAACATCAAATTGTACTTAGAACTGTTAGTTCAAATCTTTTTGTATAGATGGCGTGGCCATCTGAAAGATCGTTAAATTTTGAGTAATTTTTGTAAAATAAATTTTTTCACAATATTTACTTGTTTTCGAGACAAGTCGACTTCAATATGCAATGTATGATGTAACATGAAAATCTATTATTTTATTTGAATCACACTGACAAAATATTCTTTTAAAATATTTTTATAATGGCTTTATTCACACCACATACTAACTAACTAACAAACAATAAATTATAAAAAAAAAACAATGATCTATACCGGGGGTCCGCAAGTAATATTAGATGGGGTCCGGATACTTTTGAAATTTTTTAACGAGGTCCAGAAAAAAATTCATATTTCTTACTAATTTTTTATTTTCATTTGCATTAAGTCACAATTGTAAAATACTAAAAAAAATGGTAAGGGTGGCACTCAAATGTAAAAAAATATTTTTTAAATAATTTATTTGAGTAATTTATATTTTCAAAAAATTTTTGTCCGGATCTGGACCGCGGTCCGCCAGCTGCCGACCCTTGATCTATACAGATAAAAAATTTGTACAATGGCAAATCTTTTATGGGGCAGAGACGAATCGTATTTTATCAAATGTTATTAAAAAATGCAGTCAATAAAACATGTATGACGGATGACACATATTAGTTTTCCAATAATTACAGTTTTATCAGCTTGCGTCTTTCGATTTAACTATATTAGGTATCAGATTTACCATTGCACAATTTTTTTTCTGTCGTTGATCATTTATTTTTTTTATAATTTATTGTTTGTTAGTTAGTATGTGGTGTGAATAAAGCCATTTTAACAATATTTTAAAAGAATATTTTGTCTTGGTGTGATTTAGATAAAATAATAGATTTTCCTGGTACTTCATACATTGCATATTGAAGTCGACATGTCTCGAAAACAAGTAAATATTGGGAAAAACTTTATATTACAAAAATTACTCAAAATTTAACGATCTCTCAGATAGACAGCATTTCCACGTTCCAGGATTCAAAAAATTTTTTAGTATCGCCACGCCATCTATACAGAAAGGTTTGAACTAACAGTTCTAACTACAATTTGAAACTATTCGAAGGATCTAACAACCCCAGTTTCCGGAACTAAAAAATATTTTATTAGGTTCAAGCTCATAGGAAGTAAACTTAATAATTTAATAACTTATTTGAGAAGTTTGTGGAAAAAAGTTGTACAAAATGTATAATGACGTAAATTGTTAAAGTTAACACATTGGGACTGTATTTCTACAGTAACTGTAAAGACTTCTTTATTAATGGAATGGTATATCTCCATTGATGTTTTATTACAACTAAATCCAGTTGCATTGTAGATACAGAATAATCTATCTATTGAAAATTCCTTATTTTCTCTGTCACTACAGTATGTCATTCAAAAATGAAATATGATAAACAAAAAAATAATTATGCTATTTGTTATAAGACACTTTGTATAGAGTTTGGCTTAGGAAACGACCCTATTAGATCGAAGCTGTTTAAGCATAAAAGTTCAATGTAAAGATTAAAATATAAAAATAAAACATTTGTTTGGAATTCTGTTAAGTTTTATGAGTGGATCTCGACAATTTCTATTGAAAATTTATGAAAATTATTTTGAAATAAAATAAGTCATAAATTTTTAATTTTTCAGAAACTTGAGACAAACATTTTGCTTTCATTTGATTTTCTTTTATAGCTATTTTCAATGCGATTAATCTTTTATTTTAAGTAGGTGCACTTTAATTAACCACTCTTCTTTGATTGACTCACAATTTGTAACTTTTGTGACACGTTTAACTTGCTTTGCATGCTTCTTTTATTACCAGTCCGATGGACAGGGTTTGTCAAGTTTTCATTACATAATAACAGGTTTTAAAAAATGATATACACAAAAATGAAAACATTAAAGGGTTAAAAGAATTTCTGAACTTTTTCGGTGATTTTTGACACTATTTAGGTGAAAAATGGTCGTATCGGGAATTAAAAAATAGCATTTTGAAGCTCTAAGATTCTACTTTTTAGATTTTTCCGTCGAAATTTTTTAGGAGCTACGTTTATCATGCAATTTTAAGAAATAGCGCGACAAAAAAATTTTGCAATTTTTTTCTTTGAGTCCATGGACTTTGAAAAATTTTTTTCAGCTAAGCCTTTGCATGGACCAGATAGCTTGTTTATTCAGCTTCAGTTTCCTTTTTTTTTTACAATTTTGATACGACCATTTTTCATCAAAACATCGGACTTTTAATAGAAAAGGATCCTTTTGACTTCAATCATCGATATTTTGACGACAAATGGTCGTATAGAGAATTGAAGGATAGTTTCGAAAACTGGAATAAATTTCGTATAACATGCTGCCGCAACTTTTGGGAAAAAATTTTTTTTTCATCTGCACGAATTTTAAAAAACCAGGAAAAAAGGTAATTTATGGTTTTTTAGAAAATTTATGGCTAAATTAGAAATATTCACGAAATGACTGATGTTAAGCATGACTTTTACAGTTCGATTTACCCAGAAGAATCCTGTCAAGTTTCATCTCGATTTAACTGTTTCTTTGTTTTAAACAGTCAAACTTTTGAAAATAATTAAAGCGTCACGTTTTTTGAGGTTAAACACTTCATAATCATGATTAAAATGGAAAAAAAAAATTTTTTTGAGGCGTTCTCACATTTTTACCGCAAATAACGTTTAATTTGATGAAAAAAAAAAATCGAAAGAATTTTTGAAATTTTTCGAAGTTTTTTTTTTGTTTTTTTGAAAAACCTTCCGGACATTGAAGAAAACAAAATCCAATTGTTTCCAGCACGATTCGGTTTTTTTGTCCTAAGCTTCTGTTCATCAATTATATTAAAATTAAAGTTGACCCAAACCAGATTTCGACCTCGATTCATACCGTTTTTTGAGACCAATTTCTAATTAATTTTTATGCAGTCTGTAATTACTTAAAAAACAGATTTTTCAAAACTACCATTTTTCTTTGAAAAAAAAATTCAATTTTTTTTTTTTTCATTAATTTAAACGTTATTTGTGGTAAAAATGTGAGCAAAAACCTAAAAAAAAAATTTGTTCCATTTTAATCATGATTATACAGTGTTTAAGCTCAAAAAACGTGACCTTTTAATTTTTTTCAAAAGTTTGACTGTTTGAAACAAAGAAACGAAAGAATATTTCTAATTTAGCCGTCAATTTTTTAAAAAATTACCCTTTTTTCCTGTTTCTTAAAATTCGTGAAAAAAAATAACAAATTTCCGAACTGTGTTAGCATGTTATAAGAAATTTATTCCAGTTTTCGAAACTGCCTTTAATTCTCTGTACAACCATTTGTCGCTGAGATATCGATGATTGAAGACGAAAGGTTCCTTTTTCATTAAAAGTCCGATATTTCGATGAAAAATTGTCGTATTGAAATTTAAAAAGGAAATTGAATAAACAAGGTTTCTAGTCCATGCAATGGCTTAGCTAAAAAAAATTTTTCCAAGTCCGTGGACTCGAAAAAAAAAAGAAAATTTGCAAAATTTTTTGACGCACTATTTCTTAGAATTGCATGATAACCGTAGCTCCTAAAAAAATTCGACCGAAAGATCTAAAAACTAGAATCTTGGAGCTTCAAAATGCTTTTTTTTAATTCCCGATACGACCATTTTTCACCTAAATACAGTCTGTCAAAAATCACAATCAATCGGAAATTCATTTGACCCTTCAATTGTTTGCATTAGTTTAGTAGTGTCGTAATTGTTTCGATTGCGTTGGATTTATGTTCTCTTTAACATGCCAAAATTATAATATATACTTTTTTAACGTTTAATGTTTTTAACAAAAAAGAAGTTTTTTATCTGTCCATCTGTCGTAGTCAGATTGTAATATCTGCCGGTTTATAAAATGCTTAGGTATTTTATAAAAGGCGACCACATTATCAAATCTTCTTTGATTTGGCATTTTACGAGATGATGAACAATTTTCGTGACAACTCGACAACCCCTTGTCTCATTTTTTCGTTGCTTGTTTTTTAATCGTAGTTTTAGTAGCACATGTTAATACTAGGGTAGCGTAAACCTCTCCAAATTGTTTTTTTAGTGGCCTTAAATTAAAACCTCAAGTATTCCCTGGTGGTACTGACAGTCGATATGTCCGTTCCATAGGGCTCCCGGCTCTGGGATTTTCCCCGATGAACAAAACGCCGATCCGCTTACACGACCATGACGAATATCTGAGCAAGACGATGTTCTTACGGGGAATCGATATTTACTGTAAAATTATAGAGAACGTCGCAAACGTAGAGGAGCGGTCTGGATAAGCCGCTTACAGTCTTGACTTGAAAGGTTTGATGGTTGAGTGTTTCAGTTGATTGCTTGTTATTTTATCCGGTAACAGTTTAGTATGCGGTGTAACGAGAGAGATGGTAAATTTTGGAGAATAATTTATATATAAAATGGAACGCTGGACGTACGATAACAGAAATACGTAATAACATAATGGGCCCACGTACCAAAATTTAGAATAGGATGATTTAGAGTTGGTAAATTGTGATTGAGGCCGTGAAAATGTAGGTTTTGAAGTGAATAATTTGGCTTTGTTTGATTAATCAACATGTGGTGTTAGTTTTTGGGTGTCATATTATTTTATGTCGGCAAATACTTCACGGACATAGTTACTTCACGTCCGCTTTTACTTGACAACCGCCAATTCAAGCTGTCCGATTGTAGTGAACGTGAAGTATTTGTGAACGTGAAATAGTGTGATATTCAAAAAGTTACACTTTTCATCTTAACTGGAAATGAGGTGAACAGGTGTTTAGTGACAAAAATGTTGCAAACTAGTTACTAAATGCGGTTGTTGTCGAAGTTAGTGCTTGTGAGGTTTTAGTAAATCCGAATAATTTTAGGATTTTTTTTTATTTAGAGAGCGTATGTGGGCCCATTGTAAGTAGCAAGGAATAGTAATTCATTAATAGATCGGGTGTTAATTAGATCATCAGCGTTTTCCTTTGATTTTTAATTATTATACTTGGCTGTAGAACAAATGGGGATAAACTGCGAGAGAGTAAAATTAATGAGTCATAAAATATAATAAATATTTGCGGGTTAAAAATATTGTAAACGGGAACAAAACCGGATTATCAGGTTTGGTAAATCAAATAACTTGGATGTTGTAAGCGCTGAGCGGTGAGAAACCGATTTTTTGTTGAGTTCTTGGTTTTTTTTTAAGTCAAATTATAATTTGAATGATGATCTGTTCTGGGTGTATACCAATATGGAAAATTGGAGAAGTCTGGATTATTAGAGAAATATTAGGAAATTTCTTTATTTTATTTAAAATATATATTTTTTTTGAATACCAAATTGGTGCGGCTTAGATAAATACGGCTGATTTTTAATTTTTTTAAAAAGTGGAGTTAGGTTAATTTCTAAAATTAACCCTTAAAGGTCACACTAGTGTGAATTGGGATTTTGCCAACTTTGAACCTTTATGTCTTCTTGATTTGTTAACGAAAAAATAACGTATATATCAAAACGGGTAAAATTTTCCGAGAAATCAAATTATGTAATTAGTTTTGAAAAAAAAAATATTAATTTTAAAAAATGCGATTAAAAAAACACATTTTTCGAAAAATGTTTTTTTTTTAATAATGGCTACAGAAAAAGTAAAAAAAGGATTTTTTAATTCGAAGCCTATATTTTTAAGAAAAAAATGCCCTGTATTGATAAAATGATATTGTTGATTTTTCCCGTTATCTCGAATATGGGCATATTTTCAAGTTGTGATTTTTGGCACCTTTTCTGTAAATTGATGTTTATTTTGCACACTTTTGCATAAAAATATTAATTTAAACAATATTATCCATAAATATTGACAAATACGTTATAATTAAACTTAATGAAAAAAAAAAAAATTCAAAAATTATTAACAGTATTCGACACGAAAAATGAGGTGAAAAAAATCAGCACCGATCAGACTGTGGTAAGGCTCGACTATTTGGGCTATAGAAGGAATTGTCCTGGTGGGGGAAACCCTTGGCAGCTGCTACCTGTGAAATCCCAGTGATTAAAAAAAAACGGTAGTGCGAATTTGCACTAGTGTGACCTTTGAGGGTTAAAAATTATTCATAAATTCCCAACCAAAAATTTCTTGTATATTTTCGAATAAATGGATTATGGCTTTTTTAGGTACATAATTTTCTCTTATATCAAAACGTTTATGTTGCCCATTTTTAATTCAGACAACCAAAAATTGTTAGACTGGTTTGGTACATTTGGTACAAATTTTATGATGGCTAATGTATAATTTTTCAATCATGCTTTGTTAAATAATTCATGGATAAAAATATTGAGAAATTGTGGTTATTAAAAATTTGAAATTGATGCAGCCCTTACATTTTCCCAGCTTTTTGACCAAAATTTGGTATACATCCTCCGAGACTTAATATTCAATTAAATTAAAAAAATATATTTGCTGGCCAGAAGAAAACATTTAAAAGACGAAATTGAGATAGTGTCGTTGTAAAAATGAAACATAAATAAATGCAATTGGGATATATACCAAAGGAACACAAATGATTAACAATAATTGATGCAACGTTTAAAATTTTTCCATATGAAATTGTTTTCCAAAATTCATCTTTTAGAATTACACTGTATAGTACACGGTTACCTTTTTTAAAGGTTTATCTTAACACCTAATTAAAATAATCGGGTTTAAGGCGATTTTAAGTGAAATCCCATTTAGAAAACGTTGCTTTTTATTATACGCATATTTATAATCCAACGGTCTTCAAATGAAATAATCTCGAATCAAGTCTCATCATTAATTATTTATAAAACGAATAAAACTTCACTCAATAATGATTTCGGGGTGTCTCTAATTGGGATTTGACGCAATTTTCCTAAACAGACTTGGAAAAATGTGATATGCTGATGGTGCTTCTAGTTTTAGAGGATCTGTTGACGTTTCGGCTTTCAGTATTACGTAGTGAAGATAGCTAGCACTGTCAACTGTTTTCTTGCATAATATATCAAAAATAATCATTTAAAATAACATTATCAACATATACATAATATACTATAATTATTTTTTAAATTTTATGTATATTTATTTACTGATAATAATAATCTACTTAGATGACGTGTGAGATAGCGTTTCTTTCCTCTGATTAATCCAAAGCCTAATAAAGATTTGTTAATGGTTGATTCTATTTCGTTTAATTAAAAAGTTACAAACAAATTGTGTGGTATGTGTTTTATTAAATTTTCGTTTCTTTACGAGATCCTTATTTTTTTCTTCTATTGTAAATCGTAAATACTAACCTACAGTGTTTTTGTGTGTGTGTATATTGAGATTCTTGGCTTAAGAACTGATTTGATGTGATCAGTTACACTTTTTTAATTCGAAAAGCATTAAAAACGGGTATTTTCAATGAAAGACACTCGTTTGTAATGGAACGGTCATCGTATTGGCCTGATTTCGTGTCATGTGATTGTCAGGATTTCAAGAATTTAGGAAACCATTTTCGACCAATAAAAAAAGTGTAAATAAAAACGAAGGAATATATTGAAAGTAATAATATTTATTTTGTATCAGATTGATTCTTAAGCTCAATTTAATGCGCTGAATTTGTGTAAATTCTAATGTTTGCGTCAACTGTTCTACTGTATGATGAAACTCCGAAAAATTTACAAATTAGTTGTGGAATATTTGTAATAAATAATAGATAATATTTTGCTTTGTTAAATTTCATACAGGGTGAGTCAGATTTAACGTTGAAATCGAAATAAGTGACTTTGACATTTCTGTTATTTCCAATTAACGAAGATTTGCAGATAAACTTAACATTTTTTTTCCATGGCTACACTATTTAAAAAGAAAGTGATTTAAGTAACAAATAAGTTTGATGTATTTTTCTAACCTTAAAATAAAATAAAATAAATTTGTCATAAAACTGTGACATTTTTCATTTTCATGGAAAAAAATTGGAAAATATAAAAAATAGATTTGTTTTTATTGAAACTTTATCACCCAGCATTACGAAGAGGGAGCATTTTTGAAAAAATGTTTCTAATAAAAACCATATTCAAAAATACTATTATGTACTCTCATGTCCGACTTTAATTATGGTTCACCCTGTATTTAGGTAATTAGGTGCATTCGGTTTTTCTTGGGGGCGAAGTCATGTTTTGATGAATAAAATCTAATTTAGGATGCGACGTATTTTTGTTAACAAGACACATGCGAAGAATATGGTATAATCTAAAGAATAATTTTAACATCGTTTCTGAAAATAATGGAGCAAAATTTAGATCTCATCTAACGTATGGAGCCCTGTTAATGAATTGATAAATGAAGAATGGAAAAATGGAATACATGTTTCTGAATTATAAAATCTGATCTAATTCTTAAACCATTTAATCAATTTGACAAGTTAAAAAATGGTTTTTGCTACTATTGAGAATAACTAAAGGAAGAGCAGATTAAAATTTGAGGAAAAAAATCATCGTTTTTCCTTGCAGTTGAGATTTTTGATAAAAATCAATCAGATCGGTCATATATCGATAGCGAAGCATAGAATCCGTATTTTAGGCGTTGGTTTTCACGCTTACACTGAAAAATTTTCAAACGAAATTTGCTGATAATATAGGGGTTGCCGAACCTGGAACCTTGAAAAAGGTTGGACATACGGTATGTCCACAGTTAGAGAGGAAAAGAGGGAAAATATTTTTATTTTTCCTTTTTCGAGAAAAAGTCATTCTTGATTAAAATTTTTGCTCGTCTTTAAAATGCGGTTGGCAAGGAGAACTTTCATCTTGCATGTACAGGGTGATCAGAAAATCTCGGTAAATATAATATTCGTTCAAGAATAGCCTTTTGCTCATCATTCAAGTATAATTGGTATGATGAACTTTATTTAGTAATTTTTATTTAATGGCATTGTTTTAATGTGTATGAGCGACGGAAATATTTCCAAACTTCTTAGTCAGTTATACAGGGTATAGCAAAAGTACCGGAACGGCGACCTTGGGGCTTCCACAAGGTCAAAAGGGAGGAGTCATATCTGAACGTAAAATTTTCCAGTCTTTTTATTTCTGGGGTCAAAAGTATAGGGTCCCATTTGAAAAATCACATTTGACCTTGAAATTATCTTCAAGGGCAATGTCAAGTTCACCATCGGATAGCCAGGGAGAAATCCTGAAACTTTGTATTTAACATTTTTCTCTAAAATGCTCTCCCGCCGAGTTATTCTGCCGTTCCAGTACTTTTGCTAGACCTTGTATTTGTTTCTTAGTTTGTACTTAGCAATTCACACACTTCAGAAAAAATATAAGCACACTAATGTCTCACTATAATATAAACTAACTGCATATTTTAAATGCCTTTTTCTCGTAAAATGCACTATAAAAATGTTTTACTGTCCGTTTCTATCAAAGTAGGCCATTCATACACAAATTGAAATTATAATATAAATTTCAATTCTAAGCAACTCTCCATGATAACACATTTCTGTATTGTTAAAAACAAAGGCAGTTTATTCTTGAACGATTTTTTATTTACCGATATTCTGATCACCCTGTATAAGCAAGATGAAAGTTCTCAATGCCAACCGCATTTTAAAGATAAGAAAAAATTTTAATCAAGAATGCTTATTTCTAGTAAATTGAAAAATAAAAATATTTTTCCTCTTTTCCACTCCAACCGTGGACATACTGTATGAGCGTAATACAAAAAGACATTTTTATTATTTTCCAGAAAATTAAATTTACTTTGTAATTGTTTATAATTAAATTTGATTTGATCCTAACATCAAACCTCAAATATTGGAACTACGAAAAATGAAAATTTTGAGAAAAATTTAAAAAACGGATTTTTCTACCTTTTTATATTTTTTTGCAAATTTCTTTCAAAATCATTCCCTCGCAAATATGGATCTCGTGCTTTTTTATCAAAATATGACCACTTTAATTTTTGCCAGTCCGCGCTGGAACACTAGGTATCTAGATTCAATTTTTTAGCAACACATTGTCACGAAAACAATTACTGGAAACTGGAAGAATGTGTGAGTTATAGGAAAATTTAAGATATAGATATATCTATTTTAATGAGTTGTGTTATATTTTTGTTTCTTTTTTTTCTTTTCAGTGAAAAAATGGCTGAAATGCCTTAACAATCTTGACTTGTAGGTAAATTGTGTACCTATTACAGGGTTTTTATTCAATTTCGAAATGTTTTAAGTCGCTACATTCTCACATAAATATTTTTTATTTGCAGGGGATTAAACTTGAAAATCCAAGTGTTCCCGGCAGCGACCGATTCTTGTTATTTACGTGAAAAAGGCATTTCGGCTATTGGTTTTTCACCCATAAATAATACACCTATACTTTTGCATGATAACGACGAATATTTGGGTGTTTCAACATTTTTACGAGGAATAAATATTTATTGTAAATTATTGACGAGCTTAGGAAGAGTAGCACAACAATAAAATTGTATTTATCCTCCCTATTTATGTACTAATGTACTTTAAGTAAAAAAGTAATGTTTGTATTTGTAGGTTAAGTCACTCTGTTTGTTGATGTTTTAAAATGATTAACTTTTGTTTTGCTTGCTTTTTTATGTAATAATAAAATCGTACCCTACTCCCCTTTCCGTTTCAGAGAATGGACTGTGCCAATTTACGAATCGATTTTTGTAATAACATCATTAATGTGTTATTTTCACATGTATTAATTTTTGTCATGCAAATCGCGCTGAGGAGATATAAATGTACGTAAAAATTTGTACGTTTGACGTTCTCCGATAATAAGGTCACAAGTCGTAGATGAGTTTTAAATTTGCGCGGCTGCCATGACAGTCGTTGGAAACAGTTCCCGGCAAAACATAGAATATTAGGCAATACATTTCACTTTAATGCGAAACTGTCCGAGTGCGATAAATGGACTAACGCACACCAAAATTTTCCTTTAAAAACGGGGAAAATTTTGGTGTGGTTAAAAAATCTGCAAATGTTTTGGTTATCGTATAATCTTAGGTTAAATTAAATGTCAAGCCCCATTGCCATGTGCATTGTTATTCGACGGTAAAGTTGGTCTTTTCGGTCCTTACGAGCGCCCAATCATGTTCGGGCGGGAAACACTCGTGACTTGCGCCGACCAATTAACAGCGCGCGATTTGAATTCCCTCTTCGTTCTTTGTGGTTAACTAGGAGTTTTGTATACATTCGTTAGGTGTACAGTGCTGTCAGTGTTAAAAATCCATTTATGCCCGATTTTGATGAAAATACTATCGGACACAACGAAATTTCTGAAGAAAGTAAATCGGTAAGTTACATATTATTTTTTGTTATTTTGTTTTGGGTCATTTCTGTTAAAAAATGCGAGAAATCGGCAAATATTGTTTTACAATGTCTTAAGTTCGTAATGGACTCGTCCTAACGTACAATCCCGCTCTTTTGTGTAAGCGCATGTTATCGTTATCAATTCTATAGAATTAGAATTTTAATACTACAACAATTCTTTTTATCTTACAATTACTAGGTGTAGATTTTGTTGCTACGTAAATAAAATAAAAATAATGCAATCGTTCCCTGGTAACTAGGTAATAGATGGGTACACCCACCTCGTAATTCTTCCCATTAAAAGACTCAATTTTCATTTTACTAATATCCACGTATGACTAACATTACGCGATTGATTTTATTAATTAGAAAATTAATGTTAAACTTATTTTTAAGTCATTTATTTATACGATCTAGGCGGGAAGAGTACCTAAAGACTTCAAGGTCAAATGGAAATCAGTTTTGATAACAAGTAGTCATATTCATCTCTGTCGGAAAGAAGCATTGCCCTTTCGGTGAATAATTTTGCTAGGCAAATCAACACACTCGGAAAACTACATTTCTCAGGCCGAACAATAAAAAACGATAACATTCTATGTAATATCACACAAATAGAAATTATATGGCTACTTAGCAGGTGTTTCGGAGTAAATTCTTTTGTATTCATATGAGAAGGGACCCTAGGTATTATGTAAAGCTAAACGACCGTTTCTTGAAATTAAAATACATCCTATAGAATTTTTTGCCCCTGGTTAACTAAATAGAGGTAAATGGACGGAAATCGATATCATAGATATCTCTAACAAGATTAAATTTGCCTGAAACTTGTTTGCTTTTTTAATAAGTACACAGCAAGCGATATATCTTTCTAGCTAGCATGACCACGAGAAATATTTCTATCAGTATCTCAATATTTACATAACATTAAATCACTTTTGCTAAGCTTAAATATAAATTGCTGAGAATTCTGTCCGGTAACGTAAATATTGTTGTAAAATTATTACGTACGTGCCCAAACTTACTATAAAGATTTAGTTTAAAATTAATTTTAAGTGAGATCTGTTAAAACTTTGACCCTTTTGCACCCTTTGTATCTCTTCCGTTCCCCTCGATTGGTGAGCCAGCAGCCATCTGCCAGGTACAGTTGTGGCCATAAGATTCTTGTAACACGTAGGTACAGACATTAGGAACTATTCAATATCCAAGTCCAAGAGAACGAGATGTGTACCTACATAATACACTGCGTTGGGTGCCCCTTACCAGTTTATCGATTTAGATTAATAGTTGTTTATTTTTGAATTTTAATTATGGTATAGAAACATGCAGGTATAATTTTAAATTGCGTTGATCAATATTTCTACGTTGAATTGAATGAATGTGTTCTAATTTAATTCTGATTTCACATATTCATACATCTTGACACTATAATGTACCTATTTTATTTTTTAAGTTAGAAATACCTACCATTACACCTAATTGCGTTGTGAAATAGATAAATTTATCATCGTTTTCACTTATTTTTCGGATTTAATAGGTATTATAGATTAAAATTTTTTTTGCCGAAAATTGACTACTTACCTATGTGAAATATTTAAAATACATACAAGAGTCCCAGTTGACAATCTCACGTACATAAAACTGTAAACGGCTTTCTTGTAGTTTCTAAACAATTTTTACCTGCTCAACTATATAATCTCATTGGGGTTGTTATATGATCCGTTAAAGGAATTGAACCTTTATAATGGTAGTAAAGAAGGATCTATTTAAATTTAAATTCTCTCTTTAAAATAAATTGATATAAAATGGAATCTATTTAATTTTTATTGTTTTCCCGCGACCAATATCTTGTTAAAAATTACAAAAAAAAAACTATTTAAATACTCATAAAATACAAACAAATAAGTACTTATATAAATAATAATTGTTCTCTAATAGATCGCGGTATTTTATAACTTTTTAAGTACATCACAAAATGAAAATAATATAAAAACAAGAAAATGAGGAAAAAATTACCTATTTCAATTAATTCCTTAACCAAATTATTAAAAAAATATATGTTCAACAAATAATTTTCCATTTTATTTGCGATTGAAGGACATTACCCCATTCCATAGGCTCGTATGCCCTGAGCAGCTACTATCTTTTGCTTGCTTTCTAGGAGTATTCCTGGAAATACGAACGGCGCCGATTACTATCGATTCGAGGTATAACGTCATCACGTGCCGCTTGGGGGCCACTGGCTCTCTAGGAATGAGCCTCCCCACCCCTCAGTATATATTTGACGATTGTAGAGTGAACTTTACACATTTTATAAGCTGCTCTGTGTCAAAATGGCGTATAATAGTATTAGTTTTATTCAGAGGCCGGATTTTAAAACTCTCCCCTTAACGGACAAAGTAATGATCAAGAATTTGGGACGGCCAACACCTAATTTAAATCTTCACCAGGAAGATAAAGTTGGGACGCGTATCTTCATGAGGCATTTTTCTGTAGATATTTATAACAGATTTAAATGGACATCAGGATGTGATGTGACGAATTCTCTTTTTTGCTTTCCATGTGTTTTCTTTCGTTCTGATGAAACGGATAAGATATGGTCGGGGACAGGGTTTAAAGACTTGAAACATGTAATTCAAAAAGCAAAGCGGCACGAAATTTCAGTACCTCATATCCACTGCTGTTTGGAATTAAGTTTATTAGGCTCTATAAATTCTATAGGTCGGCTTGATCGTATGTACAGGCAGAAAATTATAAAATATAACGAGCAGGTGACTAAAAATAGATATGTATTAAAGAAATTAATCAACTGTATAAAGTATTGTGGAAAGCTTGACCTTGTGCTGAGAGGGCACGTTGAAGAGAAGGACGGCATTTTATGTGAGTTGGTGGACTTCTCACCAGAACTGGATGCCATTTTAAAAGAACATTTACAAACTACTAATGCTAGAGTTTTCAAAGGAACCTCCAAGACTATACAAAATGAGATCTTGGAGAGTATGTTGGCGGTATGTCGTCAAGAGATTAAACAGCAAATTATCGAGAGCGACTTTTTAGCCATCCAGTGTGAGGAGACAAGTGATATTTCGAATGAGTGGCAGATGGTGCTTATATTGAGATATTACCATAATGGAAATCTTTATGAAAGATTTTGGCGTTTCTTGAAAATCACTGATAAATCATCAGACGGCTTAATGCGATGTTTAGAAAGCGAGATTGACGAATTAATTTCAGATTCGCCCTCTAAATTAATCGCACAGACTCATGATGGTGCAATTGTTACTGATGCTACTACAAGCGAACTTCAGTCCAAAATAAGAGAAAAATATAAACATGCACATTTTGTACATTGTTACGCGCATCAGTTAAATTTAATTATACAAAAAGCAACTAGTCAAAACACCAAAGTTAAGCTTTTTTTCTCAAATTTATCCGCAATACCAGCTTTTTTTTCAAGTCGCACTAACAGGTGTGACGTTTTAGAAGAGATAGTTACACGAACATTGCCGAAAATTACTATCATGCGATTTCATTATGATATCCATACGGTAAATATTGTTTATGAGAATAGAGACCAATTTATAGAATGTTTCGAAGAACTTGAGGAAAAATGTAGTAAAACTATTACTTGCAAAGAAGCATATAGTTTGCGAAAAACTCTAGAGGATCCAAATTTTATATTCTGGCTTAATTTTTTTCATCAAATTTTCCCACGCGCAGAAAAACTATTTAATCTATTACAAACAAGATATAGAGGTAATGTCGCATTGAAAAGAGAGTTAGAAGAATTTGAAACATTTTTATTATCCCTCTCGAACAATTCTACTGTGGTTGTGAAGGAAGAAGTAAACGAAGAAGAGGATGCTGATACAAATAAACGAAGACGAATTATGCCTGAAAAAAATTATATAACGGTTAATAAAGTGTGTGACTCGATAAATTCTCTGGTAAAAGAAAGATTATCAAACAGAGGTTATTTAGAAGCCGCTTCTTTGGTTCATTTAGATAATTTTCTTTATTATTCACAGAATTTTCCAGAACTGACCTTCAAATCAGTCGTTAGAAATTATTATCCAATTTTCGAGCATGAGAAATTAAAGACCGAACTAGAGGTACTTTACTCGAGTAAGCACTTTAAAAATATTAGGGGAGGAATAAACATGCTTGCCTGGCTTAATGAACATGGTTTAAATGAAACATTTTGCGAGCTGGTGAAATTACTAAAAATTAACGTAACAACACCAATGTTTACTGTGGAGTCGGAAAGGTGTTATTCGACACTTAAAAAAATAAAAGCTTTTTTGAGGAACACCGGTGGCAAAGAGCGACTTAACGCATTGGCAATGATGTCGGTGAATAAAAATTTAATTTATGACATTGACAACTTTGACGAAAAAGTTGTAGAACATTATATTTCCCAGGGAAATGCAGGACCTGATTTTGTGTATAAACCATAGCTTTTGTTGTTGTTGACTTATATAACTTTTTTTGTGAATACTCGTGTTAATATAATGTATATATGTGTAAATATTTCGATTGGTTTTAACTTTAAAAGAATAATGGTGAGTGCATAAATATTAAAAAACAGTGAAGGTATTAGACTCATTGAAACTAGAAGAATCTCAAAATATGTTTGATTTTCGTTCTTATCTAGACGGAACCGCGAAATAAAATTTTCGGAAATTATCTGGATTTATAAGGTAAGACATTTGAAGAGTAAATAAATCGAGGTGAGAAAATTCGATTGGCAGAAATATTTTTTGCAAGTAAAATATATTTTATTACTAAATGACTTACCACATTGATACGATCAAAACTTTTTGAGAACCGCACATCATGCATTTTCTCTTTTCGCTAAAAGAAAATACGGTTAATAGTAAGAATCTAAGAGTATAAACGACTTCACATAAGCGTTTGTTTACTAATAATTTATGCAATAAAATGGTAGAACTGATTATTAATTTTTTTGGTTATTGAAAAAGGGAGAAAAAAATTAAAAGCCATTATTTACGGCATAAATATTCACCTCTTTTTATGTAGTATGTAGGTCGGGGATGATTCAAGCCAAGGACATCCTCGATTCCAGCGATCCTCAATGAGTTTTAAGTTTCGATTATTATTAATACATTCTACATAACATTAAAAAATCCTCTCCAAATTAGTAAATACCTTATATGTATAAATAAAAGATTTTTGGACTGTTCAAGTCCTAGCTATTCTGGCTTTATATCACTTTTGCATTTTAACATAAATTGTTCTTGATATACCATAAATTTAAACTTATTGTTGTACAAGTTACGACGGACCATCACGCGTACCGACCACCTAAAAAGAATTTTTGATTTCAGCTGGTATAAACGTATGTTGGTGTTTTTAAATTCATACGTGTTTCACATTTATAAAATAGATTGTTTGTTCGTAAAATTATAATGTTTGGTAGAAACAATAGACGTTATAAAAAAAATGATTACTAGTCCGAAAACAGAATAATATAGCTCTTGTTTTTTAAATAAAAAATGTATAATTTAGTAAGAACCTGTTTCATATATTTAGCATAAAAATAAGTTGCAAGCCTCTATGAAAACCTTGAGTAGTTTAATGACCGGTCACTAAACTCGAAGTTTAGGCAAAAATAGACAGCCGGGCAAATTTTCATTAGATAATTTGAAAATACGTAATTTTTATTATCCGACAGAAAATATATTTCTAAATTCTCGTTATAAATTTTATTAATAGCGTGTACTGAGTGCTATTCACATTCTATACAAGTCAGCTGGACAGCATTATTCATTTATGAATGTAATAATACCGTTTCTGATATAAAGCAGTAATAAATAACTAATAACAATAGAAATGGCATTCGAAACATCATGTAAATAATGTGAATCTTGAAATAAAACATTCAAATCCAGTTTTAGAATACACAAGGAAAGGAAAATTACTAGTATATATTTTTTTAACTTTTATTAAAGGATATACAACAATCATAGTTACAATTTATTTTAAAATGGAAAGATATAGTTTAATTATTATCTTATTTCAGTTAAGTATAAAAAATGGCACAGGGTGAAATGCAAAAACTTTTTGACATCAAACAAAAAATTAGCAAAATAAGTTTTTGTAAAACTTGGTCTGGAAATATACCATTTCCAAGATAGGACTTAAAATTTTTTGAAAAAAAAAATTGTAATATTCCATAAACACAGTTACAAATTATTATAAAATGGAAAGATATAAGTAGTTTAATTATTCTTATCGTATTTCAATTATAAAAAACGGCACAGTTGCAAAACTTTGTCTGGAAATATACCATTTCCAAGACAGGACTTAAAATTTTTTGAAATATTCCAGAAACACATACCAAGTTCACAAAATCTGATACAGTAATTGCCAAATTTATTACATACTTATGATACCTTGCTAGTAATTCTGGGTTTTGATTATCAGTGTAGTAGAATTGATGGTTTCAGTCCCTTTCTTAAAGCATACCTTCTGCGCTAGTGACTTTTAAAGCATATGTATATTTTATTAAAATAACATGTATAAAAATATTCTCTTAACAAGACCTACATAGATATTCTGAAAAAAGTTGCAGGCGTAGAAGTTTCATTTTAATTAAAAAAGGTGGCTTTCCTCTGTTACTATATGTATATGATAAAGGCATTTGAAATGCTTTGTATGTATTAAATTTGTGAAAATCATTGTGCATTTTTGAAATAAAATAAAAACTTTTCAAAAATTTTGAGGCCCATATCTTGAAAACGCTGCATTTCGAAACCAAGGTTTGTTAATGACATGGAGTTTTGTCATATTTTAATACTGGATTCTACGGCACAAATCAGTAAAAAAACTTTCTACAAACATGTGTCCGGATACGTTTAATTTTCAAGATACAGGGAATTTAAATTAAAAAATTTTTTTGATCACTTATGGTTACATTGTATGTGTTTAAAATAGTATTTATAACAAAAAATATCCGATAATATTTTTATGTGAAACGAACTATTTTAAATTTAAAAAACATCGAAATTCTAGGGTTCATATTGCTGTTTCCCAGTATTTCCAACACTGCTTGGCAAATTTGTGTACCAAGTCAGCAAATTTTTGCCCATTATTAGTGAAGTCATTAGCTTAATTTTCATCAATACACATCAAAAATTTTCAGAGAAAAACCAAACGGAGCATTTCCAGACACATGTTCATAAGAACGTTTTTTAATCACTTGTGACGTAGAATCCACCATTAAAAGTTAGCAGAGTATATAATTAACACCCTATAGAAACTATTTTGCTCATTTTCACCTGAAGAACGTACCCTTTGTGCACTTCGTCGTATGTAATGTAAAACGATGGAAACGTTATTTAAGAAGATTGAAGACAGGCGGTTTCAGATGATGTGAACTTCTATAATAATCGGTTTCCCAAATCTGAAAAAACCGCATCTGTCTTCAACCTCATCACAGATTGGGCTACCTAAATCTAAATATCGTTTTCCTTTCAGAATTACACCACCATGTCGACAGCAATGGATATGTTTCTCAGCGCGACTGACTCCCTCTCATTCCCGGACCTCTTAGACATAGACATAAAATCAGAAATAGATACTTTGGTCGGTGGCCACAATGATTTCTCAGGTTTCAATTTCAATGACCTGCCTCCATTGGAATTCGAAGACGTACACAGCATCAAATGGTTCAATTCAAACTCCAACCACTCCGACCTAGACTTCAGCGGCGAAGACGGCTCAACAATGGTAAATCCCAACGCGGTAATGCCAGTTATGTCTTTAGCTCAGAACATTAGATCCCCTTCCCCCACATTAAAAGAAAGCCACTTGACTTTCTCGCCGGCCACCATCAAAATGGCAACTGTAAAACCGGAAGCAGCCACCGTCAAGAAGGACCTTCTGAATAGGCTAGACGAAATCGAAGAGAAGAAGCCTGTGTTCAAAGCAATAACTAAAGTGACACCAATTCTAGCCAAACCTGCCATTAAGACTATAACTAAGTCGCCGACAATACTGACGTTCAGAAACACCATTTCCCGACAGATAAGCACTCCGATCACCGTCTCGCAGATAGGCAACGTTGCGACCATCAGAACGGTGGCCCCCGTTAGTATAAATAAGAAGCACATAAACAATAATAGAATATACGAAGACGAAGAACGCGCTTTCCCGAAACCGGCTTACAGCTACAGCTGCCTCATCGCCATGGCGCTGAAGAACAGTCGCACCGGCAGCTTGCCGGTGTCCGAAATCTACAATTTTATGTGCAAGCATTTCCCTTACTTCAAGACCGCGCCGAACGGTTGGAAAAACTCTGTGCGGCACAACCTGTCCCTGAACAAGTGCTTCGAAAAGATCGAGAAGCCGGTGGTGAACGGAGCCCAGAGGAAGGGCTGTCTGTGGGCGATGAACCCCGCGAAGATCAGCAAAATGGACGAGGAGGTGCAGAAGTGGTCCAGGAAGGATCCCCTCGCTATAAAAAGGGCGATGGTCAATCCAGGTATGTTTTTTTTTTACGCTTTCTTCAAATGCACTTTTTGAGTTGCTTAAACATTTTCTTTGGCGACAATTTCCGCTACTTTTAAGGATATAGTTTAAAGTATAACTGATGTAATTAAATTGTCTTTCAGAAAACTTAGAGGCTTTAGAGAGGGGGGAACTAAAATTCTGTTGTTCGTACGACGAGAGCGACAATTTCGGCGATTCCTGTGGAAGCGCCGAGGAAGTTAGTGAAGAGGGATCCGATTCGGAACAGGAACAAGAAGTAGAGACTGGCGGCACCACCCAATACGAATACATACACGTCAAAGATGAGGACATAGAGGATGTCGATGTTGAGGTAAGTTTGGAATTTTGAGAAAAAATAATTTTATCAAGAATTTGAATTTTATTATACGTATTTTTGGTATTTTAACGTAGAATTTTGAAAAATGTAAACAGTTTTTGTTGGCAAAACATTCTAAACACATTTTTGTTCCCAAACTCAACATAAAATTCAGTTAGTGAAGTGATTTCCAATCGAAAAGTCCCTTTTTAGATGTTACATTGTTTTACATTCCTAAATACTTCATAAACTCAATTACTTCACATTCGCTGTACGGAATGAGTCAATGGACGTGAAGTAACATTGGATGTGAAGCAATCTAGTTTGTGGAGTATTTGTAGATCAATTATATGAATTAATTTCCAGAGATTGTTTTACGTTCCTAAATACCTCATAGACTCTGTTACTTCACGTTTGCTATACAGAATGAATAAGCAGTTGTGAATTAAAAGTGGAAGTGAAGCAATCTAGTTAGAATATTTGCGTGGACCGATTCAGTTAAATGAATCGATTTCCGGAGGAAAAGTCTCTTTTTAAATGTTATATTGTTTTACGTTCATAAACACGATTACTTCACATTCGCTTTACAGGATGAACCAATGGTCGTGAAGTAACACTGGATGTGAAGTAATCAAGTTCGTGAAGCATCTACGGATCAATGATTTTGAGAACTTTCATAATTAACTCTAAATGAAGTTATATTAAAACATTCAACAGACCTCATCGTAAAATTCAGTTTAAACAAACTCATTTCCAGTGGAAAAGTCCTGCACCATGTTTTCTTCATAGTTATGTAGATTTTTATTTGATTTTTAAAATTTTTATTCGAGTTGTAGTATAAATGTAAAATGGTTTTTAAAAGGTAACGTCACTTGGATTGGAGGTTTGCATTCTTGGCATTCTATTTCAGGTATCGGATGAGACATACGAGGACATCGAGGACGATCAAGAATTGCTGCGGGTGGAGGTGGCTCTAGCACAGAAGGAGCTCTTAGAGTACGAAAGGACGATAAACAACAAGCGGAGGAGGACGTACATTATACAACATTAATCAGTAGATCTAAATTGGAGGACGACATGGCCAGTTTCCGTTTGTCGTCCCCGTCAGAATCGTAAGCAGAAGAACATCCCACCTGCCACCGGGACTCCGTTACTAACGAAAGCAAAGCTGTGTATGATTGGTGATAAATGTACATATTTGTAATAATTTCTCCTGCCCGTGTATCTCCTAGTATTAGTTTAGTTTTGTTTTTTAACGCATAAGAAGACTGCCAATTACAAATTCCCTTTGGGTAAGAGGCCACTAGCTTTCCTCTATGTCGGAATTGTAACTTTGTCTGGTTTTCGTTCTGTGCATTTAACAGAAGGATGTGTCGCCGAGAGCAGTATTCGGGAAGTAGCAGCGGATTGACGGCAACGACGTGCCCTCAAAACCCCCGGTAGTCGCGTTTTAGGGTGCCGTCGGCGTTTGTAGTGTTGTACGAATTGTGCCTTTGCTCCAAACTCAACTTCTTGGTCATTTCCTCATTGCGGGACCACCGGTTTGTTCACACGTCTGTGTTTATTAATCATGTAAATTTTTCATCCGTTACTTTTTTTTTCTTAATTAATGCAAATGTGATAAATCTATTTTTATGGCCTGTTACGAGACTTAGTGAACGCGCATTGGGAAGCGATTTCTGTTTTGAGCGTCAAATGGTAGTGGCGGCAGCGTTGAATTCCCACCTTTAGACTGAAAGAAAAAAAATGTTGTCACGAAAATTTTATTGTATCTTTTTGCCGTAACGATATCCCACTTTAATTTTTCATACCCCGATTAGTTCTAGGAATAAATCAAGTGGAAAACTTAAATACAGACCCCCGACAATTTGTGGAAGGTCTATTTACCTCAAAAAATTGATATTTCAATAAAAATATTTTAAAAAAAATTGAGGTAGAAAATTTACTGTTGACAAAATACAGGTTCCAATCAGTTTGGAACCTTTCAAAATTAGCTTTCTAAATGAAGTTATATTAAAAAATACTAACATGTTCAAAAGCTTCGAAAAAAAACATTCAATTCAGTTATATAAACTGTATCTTTTTAAATGTTACACTGTTTTACGTTCATAAGTACTTCATAAACTCGATTGCTTCACATTCGCTGTACAGAATGAATAAGTTGTCGTGAAGTAACAGTGGATGTGAAGTAATCAAGTTCGTCAAGCATCTACGTATCAATGATTTTATAAAATTAAATCTCTAAGTGAAGTTATATTAAAAAAAAAATGCAAAAATTGAAGTAGAAAATTTACTGTTGACAAAATACAGACAGTTTGGAAACGTTCAAAATTAGCTTTCTAAATGAAGTTATACTAAAAAATACTAACAAGTTTTAAAGTTTGGAAAAAAACATTCAATTCAGTTATATGAATTGATTTTCAGTGGAAAAGTGTCTCTTTTTAAATGGTACACTGTTTTACGTTCATAAGTACTTCATAAACTCGATTGCTTCACATTTGCACAGAATGAATCAATTGTCGTGAAGTAACAGTGGATGTGAAGTAATCAAGTTCGTCAAGCATCTACGTATCAATGATTTTATAAAATTAACTCTCTAAGTGAAGTTATATTTAAAAAAGAAATGCAAAAATTTACTGTTGACAAAATACACAGTTTGGAAACTTTCAAAATTAACTTAACTTAACTGAAGTTATATTAAAAAATACTAACATATTTTAAAGCTTCGAAAAAAAAAACATTCAATTCAGTTATATGAATTGATTTTTGGTTGAAAAGTGTCTCTTTAAATGTTACACTGTTTTACGTTCATAAGTACTTCATAAACTCGATTGCTTCACATTCGCTGTACAGAACGAATCAATTGTCGTGAAGTAATCAAGTCTGTCGAGCATCTACATATCAATGATTTTATAAAATAAACTCTAAGTGAAGTTATATTTAAAAAAAATGTAAAAATTGAGGTAGTTTACATAATTTACTATTAACAAAATACAGTTTGGAAACTTTAAAAATTAGCTCTCTAAATGAAGTTATATTAAAAAATACTAAAATTTTTTAAAGCATTAAAAAAAATATTCAAATCAATAATATGAAATGATTTCCAGTCGAAAAATTTCTTATATTAATGTTATATTGTTTTACGTCTATATACACTTCATGAACTCGATTACTTCACATTGGCTATACAGAAGATGTGAAGTAAAAGTGGATGTGAAGTAATCAAATCAAATTTGTGTAGTATTTGCAGAGCAGTGATTTTGTAAACTTTCAAAATTAACTCTACAAAGTTATATTAAAACATTCTAAAGGAATATTAAAAAATAAACATTTTTCCGTCGACCTCATCATAAAATTCATTTATAAAATCTGATTCCGAGTTGAAAAGTGTCTCTTTAGATGTTACATTGTTTTCACATCTGTATAGACTTCATAGAGTCAATTACTTCACGTCGACTATACGGAATGACTAACTAGTCGTGTAAATATGGATGTGAAGTAATCGAGTTGGTTAAGTATTTGCAGACGAATGGTTTTGTGAACGTTCAAAATTAACTTTCTAGATAAACATATTTTAAAATGTTCTATACAAATTTTTGCAAAAAAAAAACTTTCCGTCAAATTCAGCATAAAATTCAGTCGCATTTTTACGAATTTTTTTTTGTTATTAACAAAAATTTGGATTGGATTTAAAAAAGTCGAATTTTCATTATGAATTCATTTATAAATCAAGAAAAATATTTCATTTTTTTTTTTAAGTAAAACGACATTTCTTACTACTTTTCACATTATTAAAATATTTAACCCAAATGCGGATGTAATTATGGCAAATTAATTTCCATTGAAACAATTTTTGAGTCGTAAATGGGACCCTGTAAATTTCAGTAATATTGGAAATTTAAAAAAATTTCAAAAATCGTCTAAACGAAATTACATATTTTGAAATACACTCAAATATTTTAAACAGATATTTATGCCTACAGAGTGGTACTAAAAACCAAGACACTAACATTTTTTGAACACATGATTCAAATGATTTTTTTTATATAATAATTGCCTTCTAGATATACTTGCTGATTGATGATATAGATTCATCAAGCGGAGTTGGCCATTTTTTTTAATAATAAAAATTTTTTATTTCAATTTAAAAAGTCTAAAATTGTGAAAATACTGGGTCCGGTCTGAAATCATGATTATGATCTATATCTAGACTCTACTATTTATCAGTCAGAAGGAGGGTCAGTAATTGATTAATTTTTCACCTTAAAGTGTTTCCAAAGCCTCCTAGATTTTTAACTTTAAACCAGTATAAAAAAATTATACTGTAATATAAATCGATGAAATTTCAAATATACAGGTTTTAAATGGTGCTGCTTAAGGGTATGTAGATTTTTTATTAAAAAAATAGAATGTTCTCCAAAAATCGCTTTCTAAAAAAAATTGCGCCAGGTCATGCATTGTCAACTAGATCCGTCATGGCAGTACATCTAGAAGGCCACTATAAAAAAAATTCATTCAAATCGTGCCTTCCAATAAAAAGTTTAGAGATGTTTCGGTTCTCAGTGGGCCACACTGCGTTTATGGAAAATCGGTACTGCCATTTTAAGCGATTCTATAAACAGAAATAACTTCGCAACACACCTATTACGGTATTAAAAATTAAAAAGGATATTTTGTGGAGAAATTCTGCCAGTTGAAATTTGATGATGGACATTATGTAAGTAACAGATCATTAAAATACTTTAGAATAGAGAAAAGTGTTATTTTAATTAGACAAATGACTGATTATTTCGTAATAGTTTTTCATAATTTATGACGAGCTCTCATATCTTACGAAAAACTACTATCTAGTGTAACTTTGTGTACATTATTATTTTACATTTTTTAAAGTTAGTGTATTAGTATTGTAATAAGTCCATGTACAAATTTTGTTAGTTTTAAGTTTATATTTCGTAATAAAATGTGATTTTTCATAAACGTTTCGTTTCATTGAGCTTTAGTTTTTCATTTTTTATAGACTATTTTTTTTTTTTAGAAGTTGTAGGATAGATTTTACTTGTTCATGCATTACTTGCAAAATACCTTAACGGAACTTGAAACATATTTAAGGATTTCTAACACACTAATTCTCATTAGATCTGGTAGTGCCTAGTGTTTTAATAGAAATGTGCATTGTGCATGTATTTAATTCTTTGAGAATACAAATAAATATAAAGAAATACGTGTTTCCATTTATTTACAAGAAAATTCCATGAAGTAAACGATTCAGTGGAGGCTGATGCGGATAAAAAAAAATTTAAATTTAGTTTACGACTTTGTCTAACCGTATGAATAACATTAAAAAGGAAATGTTACATTTGTATAATATGCAGTCAGTTTAACTCAAGTTACAAAATTCGTGTGCAAAACTCTGAATACACGGGCTCCTCATAGCCCGCCTCTACATCTGTAAAGTATTTACAGCGGTGGTCATGGTTACTGTCGCGTAACAGTGAAAGACGGAGTGGGAGTACCACATATTTACTAATATGCAGTTTGGGCCCTGTTTAGTCCGACCGTAACCAAATAATAGCTATTCACCGCTTTTATTTCTTCATAAACGTAATTTATTGATGTATAAAATTTTGTTACCTACGTTTTGTTTCTGCTTGTGCGTTTTTTTTTAAATTGTCAAAGTTTAAATTGATTGTAGTACTTGCAATGCTATCTATTAAAAAATCAGTGGTGCAAGAAATACCAAATTTTAATGAAAAAGTAATTGAAAAGTTTATTTCGGACAGAAGTAGAAGAATGGACTATGACTATAAAAAATAACATTGAGTACAATTTTCCTATATTTCAATAGTACTTAAAATAAAACAAATCACATATATTTGATTTTTTTTTTCAGTACTTTGTGTCTAAATTTTTCCGCCGTCTCTGGTATGGCAGTAAAGAACCGCAACTGTTTAAATTAGAATCTTCGAAATTAAGCCATTAAGATAATTTCAAACTAAAATTTGAATTTAGGTGCTTCGTTTTCGAGCTAGAATGTTGAAAAAATCAATTTCTAATACACATGGTGTTGCAATATGTTGTTCAGAGAACTCTAGAGCAGCTTCTACATCCAAAAGAAAGAAGAGCGCCAGAAGAAAGGGCCCTAGCCGGCGGGGCCCAGCCAGGACAAAAGGAGGTCCCACAAAGCGCCTACACCGGCCGCATTTGCGGTCGGGGTAGACGACGGATGGGGCCCACCTACGAAGGCTGTCCAGGCCTACACGAGATGAGGCAGGATAAAGAGGGATAATCCCCCTCGATCCCAAATCATTGAGGCCAATTTCTAGCCATGGAATAATGGCGCATCCAAAAGATTCCTATAAACGTAGGTCAGCAAATGCTGCTTCGAAATAGAGGGTGTCAAAAATTAATAAAAAAATATGTTTTTCATTGATAATTTCCAAATTTTTAAATCGTTTAAATTTGGGTTATTTATTTGGTTTTTTAGTATGTAATGGTTTCAGAGATAGATTAGATTAGATTTTAAAAAATCTTAAATAGCTCGAAAAGCTTCTCGCTTGATATATGATGATATATATTTTGATATATATCACCCAAAACTAAATAGCATGCTATTTTACATCACTACAAATAAATGTACAAGGGGGCGTTTTTACTCTAAAATAAATGAGGTTCCTAAAAATAAAATAAAAACCAGTAAAATAACCAGTGGCGTAGATTTTCTGGTCAAAAATCAATAGGTACTCCCCCATATCTACGCCCCTGATGGGTCTGATATGCAGTCGATTATACAAAATTATAATTTACGTATCATAAATGTATTGGCCCAAATTTAAACGATTTCCAGTGAAAAATTTAGAAACTATCAATAAAAATCAAATTTTTTTTGACACCCTCTATTTCGAAAACGAAGCATTTGCAGACCTACGTTTATAGGATTTTTTTCGTGTTTTGGATGTAGAATCTGCTTTAGAATTCTCTGAACAACATTTTACAACACCCTATATAAACATGAGCTAAAAATTCTAATAAACCTAAAATAAAGTTTTTTAACTAACGATGACGATGATGATGTGAGAAACAACTTTTCTACGGGCTAAAGCCTTGTCCAGCATTGATTTACACCCACAATATCAAGCTATGATCATTCTTTTGATTTTTTTTTTTTTTAATATGGGAAACGACTTTATTTTTTGCTCAAGACACTGAATATATATGTACATAGTGCCTATATAGTGGTATGGTAAACCAATTCCCAATTCCTTTTTGCTTTTGGGTCATAATTCCACTGGCCTACTAGCATATCATCGACGCATAGTCTAAGCCCAATAATCGCACATAAATATAATAATCGAGTGAAATTCCTTTTCCAACCTCTTTGGTTGTATCACCTAATATAGGTAGGTAATTAAAAAAATACCATTTTAATCTGATTTTATTAATTTGATATTTGAAATTAAGTACAATAACAAAAGTTCCTAAAAATCATTGGCGTAGAAAATTCGCATTTTATTAAAGATAGCAGGGGCATAGTTAAAAAACTGTTGATGTCAAAATGTAAAAATTATATATTTCTAATTACAATCAAAAACCAAATCTGCCAAAATTTTAAACAACTAATGCGCTGTTCAAATGGGTTCAAGTGACTTAAAATTTAGTTGACTGTTCCCGTGTAAACACGCCATAAGTGAGATCCATTTAGTTTAAGTGTTAATTAAAATACGTTTTTTTCTAATTTCTAAATAATAAAGTTCCCATTTTGCATGTCAAATTTTCAAAATTCCGACACTTCACTGGTGAAATAATCAATAAATCAATAGTCTACGTTAGTCCTGTTGTTATTAATGTTATTATAACAATTTGCGTTAGAAACTAGAATAAAATTATGGGATGATTACATAGGTAATTTTATTCTGAAATAAATAATTAAAACAAATTCTTATAAGTACACTTTAAAATGTAATTATAAAATCAATAACCAGTTGAAACGAATTCTATTAGGTATATCTTTTAACTGCTTTTGCTTCTTGTTCGTTACATTAACCATTAACCTTTGCACTTGTGAAGTAACAATTAATTATAATTATTGATTAATGGAAGTTTATTGACAAGACAGATATCAGATACCAGCAGATATATGTTATATAGGAATTTTGGAAGGCTACCAGAATACAAAACGGATAAACGTTTATTACACATCGACGTTCCCATGAAAAGATGATTAATAAAATATCTTATCTGTGAATGTGACTCAAACTCAACGGCGTTACTATCGTATCGTATCGTAGTTTATACTGCAGGCAAATGGGACAGAAAGCACAAAACATATAACAGAAAGTCAGTTTCAAAGCGCACACTGTTGTTTATGTCTGACTTGCCTCTTTTTTTGACGAGTTGACGAGAGACGATATCTTTACTGGCTATTGGCTACGCTAAGTTTTAGCAACAGACCAGAACAGACTGTGACTGTGGCTGTACTCTTATTAGCTGTACTCGTGTTGTAAAAGTAAAGAGTAAAGTTCACTGCGCCAGGTGTTGGTGTTAGGTGTAATGTTAGAGAGTGTAGACATCCATAATAAATAAAATCCTAACCTCTCAGTGTGCCAGTAGAAAATATATAAAAAATGAAAGTTTTCTACCAAATTATTTTCGTCGTTGCGTATTTTGGTAAGTAGTCTAACAGTTATATTAATAAATAGTTATTAGGTATCGGATTTTAAACTTTGACCCTTTAATATCAATTTTAATTTGATACTACTCAGTTATAGATTAACGGCATTTAACCATAGTTCCCTATAGTTATAGTTACTTTATACTTTTTGTATTAGATGGCACAAATATTTAAAAATTAATTTAAAAAAAATAGTTTTATAAACTAACACTAATAATATGTCTTCGGTAAGTTACTGTTTTTTTTGTACTTTGGTATCAACTTCAAGGTTTAAGTTTGTACGAGTTGCAACTAAAACTGGTTTTCAGAGATTTGTAACGTTTTAAATAAAGATAAAATAAAATGACTACGAGCCTGTTTTTTGTATGTACTTTTCAACTTTTCATTACTTACTTTTCACTTTTCTGGCTTTTTTCTGTTTTGAAAATTAATATTCACGAAACAGTTAGTATAATAATCTGCACAGTGAAAATGAATAGAAGCTTCTTAAAACTTAAAACCCATAACATTATTTATGTAAAGTACCTACAAGTACATTTTTGTATAAAACAGAATTACTATTCGCTTTTCTACATTTGTAAAATGAAAAGTGAAAAGTTGAAAAGTACTTTCAAAAAATAGGCCCCAGGTATGTGTCTGTCTCTACACAAACAAGTATTTTTGTTTGTTGCGTCAATTTAGAGACAATAAGTAAACTCATATGAGTAAATAAATAGTTGAGTTACTCATGAGTAAACATAATATCTACCTAGTTAGGTACAGGATAACAAATACTTTCTGAGGTAGGTATACAAAAATTGAACTTCTAAAGTTTTTGAAAGATGCGAGCTAATAATGGTGTGCGGTTCCATTTGCCGATAATGTAAAAAACCAATGTTCATTTCAAATTCCTTTATCTTTGATGATACGAGTGTAGGGGAGAAGAGAGAGATCAACAACAACAACCTAAACAACCATGAAACGTTATGTTCATTGCTCCTATAGCACAGAAGATGAAACAATAAAACAATGACATAGTAACAAGGTGGAACAAATAAGTCTCGCCTCAAATGTTTCGTATAGAGAAAACTCAAATAAATATCTGAATATTTAAAATGATTATAATGTACTTTTTTAAATAAAATGAATTGTTTAGGCCCTTGTTTTACGTATCAAAATAACGGTTATAAAAAGTCACTTTGATTTTCAAATCCATCACGTAAATTTGGTAATACCTACCTAAATAGGTATTTTATTTTCTGTTTTTATACACTCGGCATATTTAGCGTGAATAACGGTCGGTTTATCAATTAAAGGTTCGCCATTATTCCATGGCTAGAAATGGGCCTCAATGATTTGGGATCGAGGGGGATTATCCCTCTTTATCCTGCCTCATCTCGTGTAGGCCTGGACAGCCTTCGTAGGTGGGCCCGTCGTCTACCCCGACCGCAATTGCGGCCGGTGTAGGCGCTTTGTGGGACCTCCTTTTGTCCTGGCTGGGCCCCTCCGGCTAGGGCCCTTCTGGCGCAATTAAAGGTTGACTACGATTTAACTAAATCTAATTTGGTTGCTAACGAGGTTGCTAAGGTATGATACATTTGATTGGCTGATGCTAGGATATTTAGTTAAATCCAATTCAAATATATTTTGATAAATCGCATAAATTCAAAATTTATCATTTATTTCTGTTATGTAATGAAAGATTCTGTTAAAATGTAATTAATAACAAAACTACCAGAAATTTAAAAATGTATTACCTATATTCCTGTAAGGAATACTATACCCGTTTTGACAAAAGATTAAGTAGGTACTTACCTAGTTATTTGTTTAATAATAATAATGTCAAAACTTTATTGCAGATAATCATATAAGTTATTACATATTTCGTCATGAATAAAAATAATATATATTGTTTAAATAGCTTAAACTTTACTAGTTTCGATATTGAGATATCATATTTTTTTATCTTTGGATTACCATTCAAATATTTATTTAGTAACAAATACTTAATTTATAAAAGTTTGTACTCTGATGTCCACTAACATATTGATTCAATTCTATTGTTTGGTTGAGTGTTTTACAATGTTATCCCTTGAGATTTGTCCGTACAAAGTTCATATATGAAGAAATACTTGTATTTATGCGATGACCCAATTATTGTTGATTAATTTTACAAATTTTCTATGATCAGTCATAAATATGTATACGAAAAGGAATTTTTAAAGCTAAAGGAAAGGGAATTTGATATTTGATATATAAAATTGTATATGTAAACATATGCAATATTTTGTTTATGCAGTGAATGCCAGTTTTACCAAAATTACAATTTAAAAAAAAACAGATAATATACGAAAAAACCTAGTAGATTTCAGGAGGAAAGGGTTAAAATTAATGTTTGAAGTTATCTCTAAAATGTCACTGAACTTTGTACTGTTAAATAGTTTTCTACTAACGTGATTTCCTGTTATCAGCATCAAAACGTTTAACTAAATTTTAAGTTAAAGCAAGTAAAAAGTACGTAGGTACATATACATTTGTAAAATTTAATACACCAAATATGTATCTATCAAATTATGCTTTGTATTACTTGTACTATTTGTCAATTTGTCTCGTCTCTCAGAAATAAGATCTATCAAACACTGCAATTTTAAGATAGCGCTTTGTTGGAATGTATGTACATGGTGTTATAAAAAAGCGAGTCAAGCCGTTAACCACTTTGGATGAAAATAAAGGGGCTTTTCTTACGTCATTCTTCATTTAGGTACTTTTTTTTTCAATGTACTGTTAGTCAATTAAACATTAGTAGGTATCAGAAAAAAATGTTTTATAACTTTTATTTTTTTAAATATTTACTTGAAATTTTTAACTGACTTTTACCTTGTTATGCTGACACATCTTCAATATATCTTTGAGCAAAAAGCAGAAAAAGGGGTCGTAGGTAGTACCTGTCGACCTCTCAACTTTAATTTTTTGTTTATAGCTCAAAAGACAATAAGACAAACATAAAAAGTTAATATTTGAAAATTTATACGAGAAGTGTACAAACAAATGAAAATATACAGGAACTGACGAAAATTAAACATGGCGGTATTTCCTCCGTTCATGTTTCTATTTTTTTACCAATTTTTTATAAAAGATGCGTCGACATACAGTCTGTCCAAGATAAGGATGAAAGGATGGGATAGCATTAGGATCTGGAAACAGTACGAGATACGGGGTGGCTCAAATTAGAAAAAAGTTGTGTTTGTTTATACCTAACAATATGCTGTTTAGAATGTTTTAAAATTCCGGGTAGTTCTGGAGATATCCGGAAAAACAAAATTTTGCAAAATTGTTTTATTTTTTTCTGGCTTTATTTAAAAACGAATTTTAAAATAAATTGCATATTTACATTGCCACTTTCATCAGGTTAATTTTTTTAAATACGTCGCTGCTGTTTTTATGACAAAATCTAGTCATTTTTTGTTCTGAATTAGATGATATTACTATTGTAATAATAATTGTAAAAAGGTTTTTAGCTTGTTTTATCTGTCATTTAAAATTTTTGCAGAGCACGCTTTCAAAATATCTATTGAAGAAAGTCATAACAGTATAAAAGTCAGTACAGCACAAAATATCCAACAATTGCAAAATTTCTACTTAATATCTCAAAAAATAACACATTATAAAAATTGTGTTTTTAATTGTAATTTTATTACTTTGCATCTTGAAAAAGAACAATCTAAAGGAAAAATAGCATAAGCTTATTTTCATCCAAAAAATATGATCTAAATGTAATTTTAATACTCTGTATATTGAAAAAGAAGCCCCAGAATGAGAAGGGGCGTAAGGGTAAGGAAAGTCTATTTTATACAAAGAATTTGTGGTTAATGACTTGATTGACACATACAGGGTGTCTCATAATTAGCTGCCAACCCTGAACAGGCCGATTCTATGATCAAAACTAAGTAAAAAAGTTCATATGAACATGGGTCCGGAAATGCTTCCTAAGGGCACAGGGACCCATTGAAGAGGGAGGAATGGAAATATTTTTTTTGCAATATCTCTCAATCGCGTTGTGATAAATGAATGAAATTTGGTATACACAGCTAAATTTTGATGAGCAATTTGATGGACTAATCCATTTATTTCCACAAGGTCCATTGGGGTGGGTACGGGGGGGCCCTTGGTACTTTGCGTGTGTAACTTTTTCATCTTTGACTTTTTAACAAATTGGACAGGAAATTCCGTTTTCCCGAACTGTTTTACGTTAAAAAGGTACTCTTGTTTCAAATCGTTATCTTTAACGGTTTCTGAGAAAATCGCTCTTGAATTAATCCCACTTTGGTCAATTTCATAGTAATTTAAACAAAAAAAAATTTTTTGTTTAAATTACTATGAAATTGACCAAAGTGGGATTAATTCAAGAGCGATTTTCTCAGAAACCGTTAAAGATAACGATTTGAAACAAGAGTACCTTTTTAATGTAAAACAGTTCGGGAAAACGGAATTTGCTGTCCAATTTGTTAAAATTTCTCATCTAAATTTAGCTGTGTATACCAAATTTCATTCATTTATCACAACACGATTGAGAGATATTGCAAAAAAATGATTTCCATTCCTCCCTCTTCAATGGGTCCCTGTGCCCTTAGGAAGCATTTCCGGACCCATGTTCATATGAACTTTTTTACTTAGTTTTGATCATAGAATCGGCCTGTTCAGGGTTGGCAGCTAATTATGAGACACCCTGTACAAACATAATGAAGAGTATATTAATTAATAAAAAAATTGAGTTTGGTTTATATCTTTGAAACATAAAATTGAATTGAGTTGAAATTTCAAGAAAATTGATTTCCATGGTCATGAATAAAATAAAAAAAGTAGAGGTGGTAGGATTTAATGTGAAGAACTGCTATACATTTGGTACAAATGTAGGAAATATCTATTGAATATTCCTTCAATAATTTAATTAACTAATCAACTCTAAACGGGGAGGGGAAATTTAAACACAGAATTTAGATGTAAAGCTTCGTAATACCCTAACTATTCTATTTGGAATCTCATTATAGGTACTTCAAATACCAACGATTGTTTCCGAGATTATTACATTCCAAAATGAGCATTTTTCGACAAGGTATGCAATGTAAATAGGTATCTATGTATGTATATTGATTTACATTGTGAATAAGGAGATTTTTAAAACTGTATTGCAAAATGGTCTCTTATCTACACAGTTATAAAATACATCTTATTAAACAAATTGCATTGTGATATTTTATCTGTATAAGTACCTAAATAAACCTATTTAATTATCCCTAAATCATGTGGTTAAGGACAATACTACTTTGTTTGTAGTTACATCATATGCATTTACATGTACCCAGTGTATATTTTGATAAAAATTAATAATTGTACCGACAAATAAATTTAAGCGTATTGTAGTTTCGTAGTTTGATCTTATAGATATTTGTTAATCATTATTGTTATCATTGTCTTTATACCTATTTTATTCCATCCTGTTTATGTATACGTATCTTAATCTTTCTTCGTCCTCTTCTTAAATTTCAACGTTCCTCCTAAAACTGATTGTGAGTAAACTAGTCACTAACATTGCTGCCAACCCCGTTGCCAACACAACAAAGTACGTCAAATTTGAAATGTAAAATAAAATGCCTTCAATTTTAGCTTTATATTATTGTATCAATTTGTTACTAAAAAATCATTCAAATATACCAAATTTGAAATTTTTCGGGACGTACAGCAAATTCACATCTCGCAATTTCATTTTGCGGTTACAACTTTGTAAACTTTTTTATTTTTAGGATACATTACTAGTCAAAGTGTAAACGATATCGACGTAGACGATGTGAAAAAGAAGTTGGAAGACAGTATACCAGGAATTAACGACCTGGACACAAGTAAATTTAATATGTCCAAATTGCCTAGTGAAGAAGACGTTGAAAAAGTACTTAGAGAAAAATGCAAGAAGAATGGCGCTGAGGGTGCTGTGGATGCATTGAAGGTGAGTCTGTCTGTAGTAATGTTTAATGTTAAGAAGGTAGTAATCTTACAGTTGCCAACAGTGTCATTTTCGTGCAATAATTGAAATAATTTTTTTTCAAATCGGGCATCAACTCAGTGCCCATTTTTAAAAGACAGAGTAGCAAATAATACAGGATTAACTGTCCAAACAGGGAAAATAAACAATATTTCCACAATCCAGAAATGGAAGTACATAAAAGCACTATTAAAAATTAAATGATCTTATATTTCTTATTTATCCAATAAATTGGTGTAGCAGTCTTAAAAAGAATTAATACTATTGACATAAATGATAACTGAAATATTTGTCATAATGATGACGATGCCATTTTAGGTAACAGACAACAATATGAATATTGTTTTGTTATCTGGGAGTGAAAATAACTTTATTCTGGATGACAGAGTTTATGATACATGTAGATATAAAAAATGTAAATTTTAACATTCTTCGGGTAGGCATGGCTTATGCGTAGGGTTGCCCCCCCTCGAAATCCATTACGAAGATGGATATTTCCAGATTCCGGTCATAAAATAGATCTGGTAACCTTAGCTGCAACATGTACATTATTCGACGTTTTTTAAAATAACAAATTATAAAAAAATAGTGTATACCTTAATATACAAAAATGTTGATTATTACTAAAAATTATTCGACTTTATTCATACAAATTTACTTTGATAAAAATTAATAGCGCACTCTTATCTTATTTATAGTCGCTACTCTTGATACACTTTACTTTTTTATTCACAAATTCTGGGATGCACAATTTATTATGAAAATTAAGGGAGACTAAATGAGACATGGTTGAAAAGAGTGTGCCCTAATAGTCCGGTATACAACAATAAAAATAGGGTATTACGTCCGAATTCTTGACACACACACTGATTTTCATGAAAATTGGTGAGTAAGCTCATTTCACCCTCCTTTACAAAAGTTATATATCCATAATGTGTGCTTATTGTTTTTAGGGGGTGAAAACTACCCCCCTCTTGCAAAAAACGTAAAAACCGTAGATTTAAGTGTTATGTCAATAGAATAAGCATTCTTTTATGTTTTGAATAATAATTTTTGATTTGTAGCAACATTTCAACCGTTAAAAATGTTAAAATCCACCCTATATGAGGAAAAAAACAAAAATTAGTTTTCGCGGCTCTGAAATGTTTTGATGAAGAAATAATGAAGAATTGAATATTTTTTACTGTTTATGAAATAAGACATGATTTATTGCAACGTTTCAACCCTTAAACCACCCTTATCGCAGAAAATAAAACAAAACATTTCTTTCACATCTTCATAGTATTTCTAATGAATGAAAGACTCATCACTGTTTATAATATTACTGATAATTCATTGCAACCCTTCAACCCTTAAAAGCAACCCTTAATGAGGAATTGCTGAATTTTTACCTGCTTCAAAACACTCAACGATACATTACTAAATTCAACGAGATTACTTAAAACTCGAAATTTAAATTATGTAATTAGTGAAAGGGAAAATAATAATTATTTGTGTATTATACAGTTATACTTTATTATTAAAAATACAGTTATACTTTATTATTAAAAATTTACATATCATCACTGTCGACTTCCTCTGTTTGGACATGTGTGTATGTGTGTTTGTGCGTGTATTACGCCTCGGAAACTATCGGATATTAAGCCATTTACACGATCCGACAATTTTCACTGAATAATACAATTCGTTTTTTCACGATAACTTTTTGATTTTTAATATTTTTCATCGCCCCAAAAAGCAATTTGCAGGGAATTGTAAGAGCTACAAATCAATCTTTATAGTTGAAGGGTCTTGAACTCTTAGTTTTCGAGATTTTTAGGTTTTAAGGACTCAAAGAAGGTGGTCCTTACACACAAATGCAAACTAAAAAACGATATCTCAGTTAATTTTTGCTCTACAGAAAAATTGAGAGTAAAAATATTATAAAAAAGAGACCTTTAATTTTGAACTCTTGCACTTTTCACATATTTTGTTTAGTTTTGAGTTATTTCGACAAAAAGGAAATTTTTTTAAAAATTAAAAAAAAAATTTCTTCCTATTCTATACTGGTCAAACTTGCAAAGCCTATTATTAGTATCTAAAAAAAGTCAACTGTACATGGATAACGCTTAGTTTCTATTTTTATGGTTCAGCCATAGATTTTATTGTTGATTTTTTCTCTGAAAAAATGAGATGACTATTTTATTTTTAACATAACTCCGCGAGTTTTTCAGCTACGAAATTTTAAAGGTCTTTCCAAGCACTTTAAAAAAGGTTATATTCATTTTCTGCAAAAAATTGGTGCTTTCGCCATTATTTTACGGTAAAAGGTTCGATTTTACTTTCCGAAAAATAAACAATCACCTTTAGAGAGTGATAACTCGATTTTTATTACATCTACGGTAATCAACAAAAAATGAATTCATTCGTTATTTCAAAAGCTTTATTTTTTCTCCATATGGGTTTTTCGATAAAACGCAAGGTTTTCGAGTTATTTATCAAAAATTGTTGAAAAACATGCACTTTTTAGATAAAAAATAAACATTTTCAATCGCAAATAACTCGAAAAATATTAATTTTTGGAAAAAACGTCAGAGCATTTTTTGCTTAGAATTCACCCCTCTATTGATTTGGTGAAAGCACACATCGGCACTATGTAACTTTTGTTTCTTGAGCAATTTTCTACTTCCTGTTAAAATTTACTAAGTTATAAGCGAATTGTGTTGTCATTACGTATTATTTCACTAGTTTCTGAAATTTAAAAGAATAATAGATCAGGCGAACAATCGTATATATCCAATACGTAGTTTTAAATATATATTTTTTTTAATTTGAGAAGATAACGTCGACTGTTGTGTTACAGGATCAACAAGAAACGGTTAAGGCCTGTTTAGAAAGCCATATAAACCACACGGTGATTGAAGAAGAACTGAATGAAGCCAAAAAAACTGGCTCTATGGATGAAGTTTTCGGAAAATACTGCAATAAGTGGCCCTCGATCTACGCTTGTCTGGATAACGTTACTCTGACTGCACGGTCATGCATGGACGACAAAGAAGAGGTCGCCTTCAATAAAAGTTTGCAGATCGTCTCCGAATTACAAGAATTCATGTGCTTCAAGGATGGAGATCGTCTAGCCAGTAAGTTCTCTGTTGTTAATATTAACGTTTGCTCTTTTCCAGGTGTACGATAAAGTTTATGTGGATTATGTAACATTTAAAATTTTTAGTGTTTGTGGCAGAGGGTGGCATGGAATGCGTAAACGAGCAGAAGGATGGCATACAGAAATGTATCAATGAGACAGTAGGCGAGAAAATTCCCGACCCTGAGGATTTTTCAGTTGCCTCCCTGCCAACATTCTTGTTTTCGCGCAGAGATTGCGAGTAAGTACTGCTGCATATAGTTATAAGATCGTTTCTTAATTTTTCTGGTCAATAATGAATTTAAGAACGTTTAAAAAGCCACTTGGGAAATGAATTGTAAAAGATGGAAGGGAGTAAACTTATGAAACAATAGAAGTTATTGAATAGTTGCAACATTTTCTTATAAAAGTTTCCGAGTTATACAGAACTTATCCAAAAAAAAAAATTTTGGATATTCAGAAGACTTACAAATACAATTTTGTAAAGAAAAAATCGAAAAGGGTAGTTTGAAAATTATTTAAAATTAAACTGGTCCACTGTAAAACCTGACCTCGCCCAATGTGACCGGTGTCGTCATTTTTTTTTACTAACTACTAAAAAACTATTGTAAACATTATCGCAACTACGATTGTAAAATCGGATTTCAGTATTCGGAGTCCGCTACGCATCCGCTTAAATTAATCTAAATATTGTGGGTACACGTCCGCAAGTGACCCATTTCAAGTATTACATCACGAGCGCCAGCCTCATGCCGGACTGATCTAATAGTTGCAAGGGCAAAGAGCAGACGTGGGACACACCAGGGTTCCAGGAAAGGTCCACGGCAGATTGGCGCCAGGACCAGATACATATACATGCGTGCGACTCCATACCAAGATTCTCCAGCAAACGCTCGCCCTGACAACACTTCTTATTCACTAACTTTGTTTTCTATAAAAATACTTTTATTTTTACTGTTGAGAGAGAGATAATTGTTTTATTTTGCTGTATACCGCAAGCAACCTTCAATATTCTAAATAAGTCCACCATAAAATTATCGTAGTGGGATAGCGATAGTCTCCGCATCCAGCTGTAAAGCCCGTACACCTGACCCGACAGCGATACCCGAGGAGTGTACAGAGAACGGACTCTAAACATTATATAAATGTAATCATTATCAAAATGAAATAGAATTTTACTTGACTTTCCCCACAATTTTGCATTAGATACGAGGGTGATCTGAAAAGTTTCCGACCTAACAAAGATACAAGACATTTTTTCAGAAATTTTTTTTTTTATTTTTCAACATAGTCTCCTTGTAACTCTACATACTTCTCCCAGCGATGCTCCTATCTCTGTAACCCGTCCAAATAGTACTCGGCGTTTTTCTCTGCAAAATAATTGTTCACGAAGGTGATTGCCTCTTCATTTGACGAAAATCTCTGTTCTCCGAGCGCAATTTTTAGATGAGGGAAGAAAAATAAGTCGCTTGGGGCTAGATCTGGTGAGTAAGGCGGATGGTCAAGCAGTTCAAACCGTAATTCGAGACGGTGCGTTGTCTTGGTGAAACAGGATTTTCTTTTTCTGCAAATGTGGCCGTTTTTCCGCAAGTTCTGCCTTCAGCTTGTCAAGTAATGATGCGTAGTATGCTCCTGTAATAGTTTTTCCTTTTTGAAGATAATCGATTAAAATAACTCCATGACTATCCCAAAAAACAGTCGCCATCACTTTCCCAGCCGAAAAAACAATTTTTGCTTTTTTTTCTCGTTTTTTTTCGGTTCCTCCTTTGCAGTCCACTGTTTGGACTGTATTTTCGTTTTCGTTTCGGGTGTATAATGATGTATCCAAACTGCGCCAACGGAGCGTTGGAAATGTTCATTCGAACACGTTTTTGGTCTAACGTGAGCAATCGCGGCACCCAACGTGCGGACAATTTTCTCATGTTTAAATGTTGATTTAATATGTGACAAACACGTTCTTTTGACATGTTCATAACCTCTGCTGTCTCTCTCACTTTAATTCGGCGGTCGTCTAGCACCATTTGGTGAATTTTGGCGATGTTTTTGTCGGTAGTTGCAGTTTTTGGACGTCCTGAACGTTCGTCTCCCAAGCTCTTACGGCCACGTTTAAATTCAGCTGCCCAAAATTTCACTGTGGTAAATGATGGTGCAGAGTCCCCATACACAGAATCCAACTCATCTTTGATTTGAGTAGGCGTACTGCCTTTCAAAAACAAATATTTAATGACAGCTCGATACTCGATTTTGTCCATTGTCATAAAAACACTCACATTAATTCACTCAAACGACTGTTACATAACAACTGCGTGCCCAAAATGGCTGAAACTTTGGTGAGTAACTGTCAACAGATGAACAACAAAATTCACTAGCTTTTATTTACGTGCTGCCATCTTCATGTTGAGGTCCGAAACTTTTCAGACCACCCTCGTATCATTTAAAAAGAAAAAAAAAAAAAAATCACAAATTTTCATACTAAATTAAAAAAAAATGTTTATTTCATTTTAATCGTTCTCGATTTTTGTATCAACTTGCTCTTTTTTTTTTGTTTTAATTATTTAATTGTAAGTCTTTAATATCAGTATTTTTTTTTAAAGTTTTTGGATTTTCTGCATTGCATTTGTACCTTTTTTTATTTTTATTTAATCCTGAAGATGTCTCGATAAAGAAACGAAACATCAACATTCTTAAGTTCCAATTTGACAAGCAGTCTCACCATGCCACTAACTGCATATACAGATCGTTCATTAATGTTTACAAGCCGCGTGACGGTATATCTTAGGCAATCAACATTGCAGGGCTGGAACTGTCAGCTAAAAATCCCTAAATCTTGGTATAATCAAAATTAATGACTTGTTTACAATGAACAATGACAAACTGTTCTAAATAAAATTACTGGTCACGTGACTTGTATTCATTTATGAAAGTGCTGTATTAATTTGACTTTAACTTTGGAATTTTATTTTTAGAGATTTTGATAACATCCGGGCATGCGTCAACAAGGAACTAGAAAAGTGTAAGAACACCACGCCGGCCAACATAGTCGACGCGTTCTTCAAGTTTCTGAAGAAGCACATGCCTTGCGGTACTACGGAAGTAAGAGGCGCATCACCCGTCCAATCTGAGCCGTCTTGGGCGGCGAAGTCGTTCTCTGCTAGCAGTCTGTTCACGGTTGTAGTCCTGTTGAGTTTAAAAATGTTTTAGTTGCGGTGAACAGCGACGTATCTTCTAACGATTCGATGCTCTCAAGGTTTGGTTAAAAAGTATTCTACCGGCGTTAATTTATAATCTAGTTTATGGTTCGTTCGAGAAGTTGTTTGCAAGTCCAGAGTTTATTCGTTATTTTTATCTTACACCACTTAGAATATAGATGTTTTTTATAATAATTGTGTTAAAAAAAAAGTTGTTCAGGGTTTTATATTATTTCTGTTTATTTTAATGTATTTGCAGTTTTACTGTCATACATATGTACATATTGTGATATTTTCATAAAAACTTTGTAATGGTATGGAACTGAATATATATTTTTATCAGTAACTGTTGTATTATTTCAACTTTATCTTTTTTTTTCGTCGTTTATTTTCATTTTGAGATTCCGGCTTATTAAGGTAAGTTATTTCTGGGTGTAAATACGGGCTAATGGATATTAGTGTGCCGCCCCCTCTTCCACACAAGTGCAACTTCTGGGCTAATCCTCGCAATTAAAATTAGGGATGGATGATTCTCATCAACAACACTTACTGCAATATCTAGTACAGCTAGTAATTAATAATTATCTCAAACAGAAATTAAAAATGATGCATCTAAATATGAATGATTACAAGCCACATGACTGTCGAGCTTATGCAACCAACATTGCACAGGATCAGTTGTATCAACTTAAAATCTAAATCTTAGCGATCCGTTTACAGTGAACAATGACAAACCGTTGCATCTATGTTTGAGATATGGTGATTGCAAATTGGTTTAATAAAATGTGGAAAATGACACTGATCACCAGCCGGTAGGCTTGCCAGATCTCCGGGTTTGACCCAGAGTCTTGGGGTTTTGATGGTACATCTTCAGGCTTCGGGTTAACATGTCATTTCTCCGGGTTAACGCTTACCCCCGAAATTCATTTTTGACTCCCAGATTTTCTAAAGACTTGAAATAGATCTGGTAACCCTACCAGCCGGTGAAAAATTATGTAGTGTTTTAATGTAATGTTCATCTTACAGTTCCATTCATTTTTTTTATTAGAGATGGGCACTTCTCGGAAAAGTGTTACGGAATTGTCGGGAAAAGTACTTTTGACCTTGAATCTAATAAGACACCTATGAGTGACGTCATGTTTCCACAGGTCATTGGTTGAGGGTACACAAAGCAAAATATTACATTATTTATTCTAATGAATATGTCGATATATTTTACCATTGTATAAGTAAATATACAATGATTTTACTTATTACCTACCTTCAGACTTTTTTATAAACGTTTCTAATTTTCCCCGGACACCTTATTTAAATGGTTTTCCATCCTACTGGAATTCTTAAAAATTGTTTTTGAGCAGAAGTTACATTTATAATGATTTTTACTTAATTCAGAAAAATATAACTATATAAACTGATGATTTTGGCTTCATATTTCATTTATAAACTATGTATTTGTGTATTAAATATTAAATTAGTCAACTGATTACTATTTACTAATCGTTAACTGTGCCGAAAATAATAAAATATGGAAATACAAAAGGCAATACAACATAGAAAATATAGATTTTCTATGGCAATACAAATACAAAAGGTTACATTTTTAAAATGTCAGTTTCAGTTAAACAATTAGTAATTACCAACGAAATTACAAGAAAATATCTTTAATTTTACATGTACCAACCTTAAAAATTTTTTGCGGGAATTATGAATGCAACAAATAATTCCGCGCATATGCATACAACTTTTCAATCTTGAAGTGTCTTCAGGACATGTCCACTTTTCACGACATATCCGATGGACATGTCCAGCTGACATGTCCATGGCACATCTATATTTTTTATCAATATTTTATTGCCAACGCGGCAAATGAAATTACTGCTCCCAACAAATTACTGGTCTCGTGGCTTGTAATCATATATGAAGGTTATGTAGATACAGAAACATGAACAATAATGTAATCTTTCAAAGACATATCCCGTATACTTGTTTTACCGTCACAATGATCAACATGTAAAACTAGCCACTAAGAAAGATTTTACTATTTCAACATTTTACTTCGGATTGTGTATTCAAGTGTCCACCTTGCAAATGGGATTAATAAAAATTAATAGAACAAATAAATTGTATTTAAAATACAAAACTGTTAGAAAAAATTTTCGAACTACAATGTCAGAAGTGTTGACAATATGACTAAAATTATCGACGTAAATTATTTTTTTTACCTAACCAGTATATATTTTTGTAATCTTTAAAAAAAAATTGACATCTGCAGATGAATACTTATTTTATCGTAATAGCATTTTTGGTGTAAAAAAGTCGTGAATTCTAATTTAAAATTATTGAATTAATATAAAAGTGCTCAAATGTTTGAAAAAGTGTTCAAATACAAATTAAAAAGACATGAAGAACAAGTCTACCTACAATACATACGTTTTGTATAATGTGTTGCCTACCAAACAAAATCAAAGCGATAAATTTTTTGAAATTTAAAATGGAATTGATGTATAATTTATAGCGCCAGCGAATCTTTCTAAAAAACTTTTTGGGACGCACAATTCGAATAGATTTTTATATACAGAGTGTTAATTATGTAGAGAATTTATGGGGTGATTCCTCGAGTGATTTTAGACCGAAAAAGTATATATAAACAGTCCAAAACTCGTTTTCTTCAAGATACAGGGTGCTGAAATTAAAAAAATCAATATATCTGATGATTTATCTAATTAAAGGTAAAAATTTACTGAATTCAGAATAAACATTGTACTAAATGGTGGAGAAAATAGCTCTCCCTGAAAACCCCAGAAATTCTATGCCACTTCGATCACTACTTGTAACGGTTTTCCAATAAAAAAATATATCTTTCATTTTATCGAAATAAATCGAAATCAAACTATTGTCGATTAATTATTTTTTTTTTAATTTTTATTAAAGTCATTTAATTTATAGGATTTTTCATAATTACATTTTATTTATAACCGCAATATTCAGAGAAAAATGTTAGGTATGTTAGTTTTAATGAAGTGTTTGGTAACGTTAATGAAGGTTATAGAAAGCAATATGTTGAAAATAGTTTGAATAAAATTAGTTGAAAGTGGTAACAAAAGATTCAGTGGCGTCAAATTTCCATACATATTTTTTAAAATAAAAGCAACTGCTAGAAATTTATTAAGTTTCTTTTTCAATTTAAAAATTTAAAAGGCCATCTCAAGGTGTTGAAAATTGGCCAAAGTAGCTAATTAAAGGTTTTTATTTCTTTGAATTTTAATATACATATTTGTATTTATAATGTTAGTTTTATTATTGTATATAAATGTATGCGTATTTGTGACATTTCCATTAATTTTTTGTAATAATATTTGATATGAAACTATAAACTACTTTTAACATTATTGTATTAGTTCGATTTCTTCTTTTAGTGTATTATTTATATTATTTTGTTTTTATTTAATGTTGTTACTGAGTTATTCTGAGGGCAAAAGAGGAGCGCTGAGTGTCGTCCCCCCGAAATCTGCCTAAATTTTTAAAGCTTTTTTTTAAATGCATTTTTATGGCACCGGAATTGGCAAGTCTTAAATTTTTAACCTTTGAAATCACACAAAAAATATACGTTTAATTTTNAAAAGCAGAAGTCTAAACTTAAAATATAAAGTCAAATTACACAGGTTTATTTACTAAACCTGCCTAAATTTTTAAAGCTTTTTTTTAAATGCATTTTTATGGCACCGGAATTGGCAAGTCTTAAATTTTTAACCTTTGAAATCACACAAAAAATATACGTTTAATTTTTTTAAACTTTACAAGTTACAAGAAATCCTTAAAACATACATATTATTTACTATTTTTTTATTTTTATTAAAATCTGGTCTATGCTATGATAAATAATAATACAACAGTGGATAGGTAAAAATCTACCTCTCTCACCTCATTATTTCTTTATGAAACAGCTGGGTATAAAAACAGCATTTCTCTTCACGTTACTTTATTTTTTTTATAAAATTTGTACCTGGTAATTATAGACATTATCGAGACCCATCAATTAATCTGTATCCAATCCCCTAACAGTTATTTCATTGGTTGGAATATTGTACGAATAGAAATGTTGATCTACTGATCCCTTACCCTTAAATAATTGAACGATCACGCAATACTTACCTAACCGTAAATTAGATAATAATAAGTATTTTAATTGTACTGAAAAATTAATTTCCATGGAAAAATACACATCTAAAAATATTTTTGTTAATTTAAAAACAAAAATGTGTACCTGCCTAAGGTGTCTGTTTATCAGGCCGCGCATTGGGATCTCGGTTATCTTAAGACATACAAAATCGGTCAAATTAGGCCAACAATGCAAAATTTGATGACTATTTTTTTTAATGAAAGCGAAAGGAGGTGGATCTTTTAAATTTTGGTGGGGGTTATTCAAATATGTTATCATTAGAGTCCGAAATATTCGTGCGGTTGCAATGTGGTAGGTACAGGGTTGACTATAGGCCGCATTCTCTTTTATGTAATTTTATTTAAACAAAAAGTGACTTATTATAACTGCACTCTACATTATAAGAATACATATGTATTTGCATAATAAACTAAACGCTTCATATGGAACTTACCATAAAATATATAGGTATAGTATGTAATAATAAGTACCAGCAAAAGTTAACAAAATAATAATTTCTTACTTAGGAAAGCGATTGTAGAAAACAGTTGTCCTAAGTGTTCCACGGTTAATCGTCTCTGGCGATCGGTACATACCGTTACCACATACCCATTTCAGAAACGAAAATGACCATACTGGTGCATGTCTAAAATAGTCGAAGTTTTTAATATATCATATTTTTTCTAATGGTGGCGAAGTATCAACTACTTCACATTTTAGTAATCCCACTATCTGGGTCAATACACAATAACACGTACATGTCTGCCTCCGATAAGAAGCTTCGCATCGATTAATTTATTCGATACGTATCTAGCGGCACCCTAATGCCTGCCCTGTCAGATTGGCGTACAGGCGAACAATTCAGGTTTTTGCTGAGGGACGTTGACCGTGCAGTGCATTGTCGTTTGTGGGTGTGTGAGTGAGTTTGACGCTTTGCTTGGTCGAGTGTATGGTACCTGTTTTTATGGTCGCCAGTAGCGTTGACCACAGATTTACCCTGTTTCTGTTAATACAACGCGTTTTGCCGCTTACTAGCATAATATAGATCAGTACTCTTTATTTATTTGATTGTCACCACAAAGTTTCCGATGTCTAGTAATCATATCTTAGCAGTAGAGCGTACCAGGATGGAGAAGCGATCTGTATCTTTTGTTTCTCTTACAGGTGCCATATTTAATTTTTGAAGTTGGCAAATTTTACTGATTACTTACCTATTTTTTATCAGTCAGTTCAGTCTAGTTAATTTGAAAGTTATATAATGTTTTTTTAGACACGTTTGTGGTTCGATATAAGTACAGGGTGTCGATGTTACTGAGTATTTTGGAAATTCGATAAATCCATTTGATCCGTATCTAATGGCATAATGGCAATTTCGAGTTATATGTTTTTTATCGAAAATAAATAACGCTGAAAATGATTTTAAAACTGTTCGTTTAACTAAAAACGTTTGTGTAGGAATGCTTTGTTGCAAATACAATGTAATCGTTAAGAATAAAAAAATCAATGCCGTAGAAATTTGCCCCTTGCTACCTTTTAGTAAATTTCTACCCCAATGTTTTTTTTTTATTCTCAACGATTACATTGTATTTGCTACAAAACATTCCTATACAATTTTTTATTTGTGAAACGAACAGTTTTAGGATCGCGAATCAAACGCTAATAGTTCCGCAAAAGTCTTGATATTTTTTAGAAACTTGATCCATAATATCCAACATATTGCATGTATATCAAATTTAGTTCATATTACTACAGATTATATTTACAGCATATGAAATTTTTCCTGGGACATTTAACACCCTCTCGAAAGCGATTAAAAATACTATTTAAATTTTTTTGTTGTTCTATTCGCTTCCCAAGTCTGATTGATTGAAATTGGGATACCCTGTATAAATACTCTGTGTAGGTAGGCACGAAAATAAATATATGAAAGGATAATGAAAATATTTTATGTAAAAGAGCAACAGGTAATGAAATTTTAGCCTGGTTTTAGTTAGGTGTTACTCAAAGAAAAGAAACAACGTATTATGCAGGTGCTTAAAATTTTTATTGACTGGAAAATTATTAAATTGCTGTTTCTACATTATCATAAATACACGTGGTTTTGGATAATTTCAATAATTATCCTTTCACAACTTTACAATAGGTATCTAATATCTATTCCATTATATAGGTACTACGTTGTCGAAACCGACAGTTTAATTGCTGGCTGTAATGACCATTATTACTTTAAGAAGTGCTGCTGAGAAGTGTTAAATACGAGTAAGACGTCTTTAGTACCTAAAATGGATTAAAACAATGATTGTAAGATATTTATGTATAACTAAATAAATACATTGACAAATAACAACATTTTCAATATTACATACAAATTTGAGTATAATAAAATAATGTGAATAATAAAATAGATATTCACTTAATAGTTATTTACGTAACAAGTCCGGAAAATACTGTTTTTTTGGACGAGCTGACAAAATTCTAGGACGAGCCGTAGGCGAGTCCTGGAAGTCTGCGAGTTCAAAAANATTTGACAGTTTCAGATTTTTGCGCCAAGTAAGCTAAAATTACATCCTCTGTAATAGTTTTGCATTTCTTCATATCCATCCATCTCGTGAACAAATCATAAACGTTTTCGTACCTGGACTTTGATTTTTCAGGCAATAATTGTGCTGTAGCAGCAGCTGCTGCATTGGAAATTTCGTAAGGCACATTTTCAAACTCACTATCGCTGTTGCTTTCCATAGTTTATTGCGACAATTGCGACCAAAAACCATGCAAACTTTCGAAAATTAAAATGTCAACTAATTTCACTTCAGATAGCTGTCAGTCGTTATTTCGTTGCTATGGTAATGTTCAACTGCATTTATCAAAATCATACCTTCCAAGATTTTCATATTCACAATGACAACAACGATGTGATTCTTCCCGGCCTAGTCCGGGAAGTGCGTACTTCCCGGACTAGGCCGAAAAAATGCTACTTTCTCAAAGAAAAAGCGTCCGGGAAGTAGCCACTTCCCGGACGGTTACCGAAAAACTTATTTTAGATAGGTAGTATGATATTTGTTGAAATAGAATTTCAAGAAGAGCCCTGCGTCACCTTCTTGGAATTCTTGGAATTAACCGCATCCGACACCCGAGGTAGAAAGGCGGAAAATTGTTACAGTAGTTCCGATAACAGAACTTTATTGGCTTATTCTTTTCTTGGAATTATATCTCAACAAAATATCGTACGGACTATATACGATAAATAAGGGCCATTCACATAATATTCTATAACCTTTTATTATTTTTCATTATCATATACAGGCTGTTACAAATTCGCTTCTCACTACAGGGATCTCGGAAACGGTAAGAGCTACGAAGTAGCTTAAATGGGGGCAAAGTTGCGTAATTAGGGGATCAACATTATGCCTCTAAAAAATCAAGGCTAACATGATTAGTTTTCGAATTATTTGAAAAAACGAAATTTTGGAAATCCGTTTTTGTTTAATTTCAGCCTTGTTTGAGGAGATATTGAAAAAAGAAGAACGCTTTCTCATGGCCACTTTTGCCCTCTATCGAATGGCATAATCAAATTTTATATGTAACGTTTCGTCTCTTCAGGACCATCATCAACTTCATTTTTTTAAACACGACCCTGGAAATTTTATTACACTTTTTGCAAGCCTTCATGACCCCCAATACTGTAATGCCTCAGCCCGAACCAGATTCAGACGTTTCGTCTCGAAAAATTCATCTTCAGTGTATTCGTTCCAAATTTATCTAAATTTTTTATTAAGATTTCTTTGTTTATTGAATTATCGTACACTAGACCCTGTGAAATCCATTTAGTTATTTAAACTATTACCACCACGCGCTACAATAGAACATTCATTATTATTAACTAGTGCCATCACTTGGTCATACATAAAATTGGCTGAAAGCCTTTTTGACCAATAAATTAGCCAATTTATTGTAACGAGCCAAAAGGAGCGCTACAAATATAGCTCATTATGACAAATCCTTGACCAGTTTTTTGAGGAACAAGAACTGATAAAATAAAACAGATTTTATTAAAGAAATATCATGTAGTTACCATATTCAAACATATAAGAATTTACTTTTTTTATATCGAAAACATAAAACGTGATTTAATGCTGAAATAAAAAAAACTAGATAAATTGAAAATCCAGAAGGCATAAAACGTTTTTTGTCAAAACCACAGAATTTCGTAGAAGCATTACTAATAATGTGGCAGATATTATTTTTGGAAAACGAATGTTTTTCCAGGATACAACGAAGCGTTGAGTGAGATATCTCACTCAACGAACGAACATTTGCTAAATTTAGTTAATTCTCTCAGTCTTTTAAACTATTCACGAATTTTGTTGAAGTCTTCAAGTTGGAGATTATTAATACTTACCGTTAATATCATCGCATAAGTCATGTAACCAAAAGGACCGGCATCTATAAAAATGGGTTTTTGGCATCTTAGAATAACTAGCACGAGGTCTCTCTGCAACTCTTTATTTACGTCAAACCAATTTGATCTGCAGATAGCATCTCCAATAGATACACTCTACAAATTAAAAAATAATAATAATAAGCACAACTTGATACTGAGAATTTATTTATTTCCTTAGTAAATTTAATTATATTTTTATATCTAGAGAATGGACAACTGTATTTTGAAGAAACTGAAAAATTTTACATTTTAATTCCGATTTTTGTTAATGATTAATCCTGTCCTATCTTTTATAATATAGTAAAAATACCAGAGCTAATAATATAATACATGTCTTTGACAAGTTATAATGTTCAATCTTGTCAAAAAAATTATTAACTCTTATTTTAGTAATAGTCCAGACGGTATCTGTTTCAAAAGGCCATATTTGGGTGAATCGTATATCTACGAAGATTTTTGGCTTTTTGGCTTTCAAATATCACTAGAAATGAAATTTTTTTTTGCGCATAAACAAACGTGGGTTTAACTTTTTTCGGCACAATATGTTAAAAAAATTCGAAAACTGTCAAATTTTTCTTCCTATTTAAATAAGTATCTTTTCAAGAGTTGATTTTAGGTGAAAATGGAAGAGGAAAAAAATGTTTGTAATTAAATTTTTTACAAAACATGACTAGTTACAAATCGAATGGATCATGATTATTATGGTAAAAATCGAAAAAATCGCAAAAATGGGGTTAAAAAACAATACTTTTTAGGGAATTTTTTTGGGGTATTTAAATTGGGTATAGGACCTTTATACTTGGCTCAAGAAAACTTCATGTTATGTAGAATCATCACACCAAATTTCATCAAAATCGGTTCGATAGATTTTGCATAATAATTTTGCAATCCAGATTTTGAAAAAAAAATTGCAAATTTTCAAAATTTTGCACAGCAAAAACCAAGGCCCTTAGATACTTGAAAATTTAATCACATATAGAAGGGCTCTCAAGCTTTCAAACTTTTTTTGAAAAATTCGAATCCGTCAATTAGGAGAGCTCTGGCGCTTGTTTAAACATTGGTCGAATTTTTGTACTTATAAACAATTAGAATAACTTTGTGAATATTCAATCAAATCAAATTTTTTAAAGCAGGTTTTAAAAGTTCTTGGAAAGACGCTTCTTTAAAAAAAGAAACAGAACGATTGGTCAATTAGTTACGTAGTTATAGCCGATCAAATTTAACCGTCATTAACACTAAATGTACTAGGACAACCGGGCTAATTTTTCGAAAAATACCTTTGGTATTCCGAGTACTTACCAGGTCTAAGTTCGCAATACTTTTCTTCATTGGCAACCTAGTACACATACAAAATCTATCGAACCGATTTTGATGAAATTTGGTGTGATGATTCTACATATCATGAAATTTTCTTGAGCCAAGTATAAAGTTCCTATACCCAATTTAAATACCCCAAAATATTCATTTCCTAAAAAGTATTGTTTTTAACCCCATATTCGCGATTTTTTCGATTTTTACCATAATAATCATGATCCATTCGATTTGTAACTGGTAATGTTTTGTAAAACAATTAATTACAAACATTTTTTTCCTGTTCCATTTTCGCCTAAAATTAACCCTTGAAAAGATACATAATTAAATAGGAAGAAAAATATGACATTTTTCGATTTTTTTACATATTGTGCCGCCAAAAGTTAAGCCCACGTTTTTTTTATGCGCATAGAAAAATTTTCATTTCTAGTGATATTTGAAAGCGAAAAAACCAAAAATCTCCGTGGATATACGATTCACCCAAACCAAAACAGATACCGCCTAGTCTATAAGAGATAATAGTTTTTTGTAATATCAATATTAAATAGTTTATGCTAAAAAATACTATATTACTACTTTCTGCAACATATTGTAACTTACTTGGTCCCTCAGTCTTTGTCCACCAATGCAAACCATACTCATGGAAATTAACCAACCCACAAATAAGCATATTGCTCCAAGTGAGTAACTCTACGGGCATTAAAAACAAAAGAATAATAAAATATGTAATTAACTTCAGTAACAATTTTTTGACGAGGTAATTTCTAGATGGTATATCTGTTACCTTCAAAAGTCTGTATTCTATGCAACCTAAAATAGCCCCAGTCAGAAGAACGTGCCCAAACATGATCGTGCTGACAGAAGTATTTAACAGCTTCGAAATCCTACAGAAAAAAGGTTTGTATCAAAACCAAACGTAAAAACTGTTACATCAGTACATAAAATTGTTTTGTATTTTCCTCAGGGCGTAGCGCAACAACATTTTCTTCATTCTAATTTAAGAATCTACATGGGGTTTAGAAACTTGGAGAGGATATTTGAGAGTAAATAAATCGAAATGCGAAAGATTTTTTTTTAAAACATATTCATTTATCGCATTGATACATTTTTGGGACCGCTGACTTCACCGATAGTTCTGTCTCTATTGATGCACGCCTATTTGATAATAATCGCTGTACATACTCGTAAATATTCTCAGTTTCATCAGCGTTTCCATACGTTATAATCATGTCCATTAATTCATTGTTATGGACTATTTTAGTATGGCTATTCCTAGTTATTACTACGCACATGGCAGATATACTCTGCTTTCATAAAACAAAAGCAGTTAAAACAAAAATCGAGAAAAATAAATGACTTCACTTATACATGTACTTGTTTCACAATAAAATATTAATATCTACAACTGAACTAGCATTTTTCTGGTTGCTATAAATTATAAAAGAATGGGACAAGGAAGCGCAGGACACACTATTTACGTCACGATTATTCACCTATTTTTATGTAGTATGTACCTCGGAGACGATTCCGGAGGTTCTCAATAAGTTTTACCAATTTTGGTTATTATTAATTTTGATTAATGAAAATGCTTATGATTAATTAACATATATATACCTATCACTAAAAAATTATCTCCAAATTTGAAAAGATCATGGATTTTTATATAAATATTCGCAGTTTTAGTACTCATTCTTAAAATACAGGGTATACAAAACAAGTTATAACTAAAAATATCTCTAAACAAAATGAATATATTGAAATTAAATTTTTAATCTGAAAAGATTGTCTCAATGGAAATCAGTGGCGTAGGTATGAAGCAGATATAATTGTTATAATTTTCGTCAAAAATTCTGATACGCTAACAGATTCGACTTTAACATAGTTTTATTTGCTTCAATGTTTTGACACATTTTTGCATACATAAAAAAATAAATTTATGCACGACCGCTTGGATAGATGTACTTTTTTTTTCATACATACCTTATAATGTTGACATGGTACTTTACAGCCCTGCTAAACTTTTCCCTTCTCACCCCGTGCTCTCTTTCCATCAGTGCGTCCAAAAAACCATCCTTTACATGATTTAATCTAAGAATAAGGTGTTCCGCGGTTTCCATTATAGAGAATGATATCAACGAAGATGTCTGATATATCACAAACGACGAATACACTTGAAAAATGTAATACATTTGCTTATAGGGAATACTGTCTAAATCTATGGGCAACCATATGCTTCCTATCAGACCGCATATTTCGTTTATGTTCTTCACGATGTTTTCCTTTTGGCATTTCTTGTATTCCAGTAACGGAGCTACCGACAGTCCCAAGACGGCACAGACGATGTAGATGTAGTGGCATTTTGAATAATTGTTCAATTTTTTGTTCGTGGCGTAAAAGTCCTTTGGAATTCCATAACTCCGCAGGTCAGATAACTGTTTGTATATATTTATGGTGTTCTTAACTTGCCTTATATAGGAGAAGTTGAAATAGTAGGATCCAAGTAAAGATATAGCCAAGGCGAGGTCTAGATCCAGGTTAATGTAAGTTTTTCCTGAAATATTTAAAGTATGTTCATAGATTTAAGAGAATATCGCCTGAGTTCAGTTACCGCGTATCATAAAATTCAGTGTCAGGGGATTATACATCTTACTTGAAATAATCTCTTTCTGGGAACTAATTTACAAGCGAAAATACTAGCGTTAGACGTAATATATTACCAATCAAAATGATAGTGTACGGAATCTTAATCTTAGCGAGGTGTTCAAAGCATCTAGCGTAACTAGAAAATTGTGTTTCAGATGTTAAAACTCTTAAACATTCATATTGCGAAATCAACAGACATATTTATTATTAAGGTTGGCGTTTTATATCAAAGAAATTACACTTTTAGCATGACAATGATAGAACAAGTAGATCCATCCAGGAAGTGACGAAGTGTAACGCTAAACTAGAGCAATTTCTTTTAATTTTTCATTTTTACATCAGAAAATGTACCTTTCCTTTCCTGTTTTGTCCAGCAAATTTGTAAATATTCTCAATAATTGTGATTAATGCATGTGTTAACAGTTTTTTTAAATCTATTACAATAAAGAAAAATGGGGTATACAGGATCATTAAAAAATCATGACGAAACAAAGTTGCTTTTTCTTTAATGGAACACTCTGTATATTATTCCATATTTCAATTCTTTTCGAAATTCTAAACAAAATTCATATAGCACATCATGTACCTAAACTTAACCGTTTTTGAGATATTGAACTTTGAAAATCATTTTCTTATAAATTAAACAAAAATATTTTAGTCCATTAAATTCATAGTTCATCAAGTTACCTTTGAAAGTTTCTAGCTCCATAACAACGCCGCGTCGTTCTTTTGTCTAATAGTGACTATCTTGATAACACACGTCAAAAACATTAGTGTGAATAATTTTCTCGCAAAAATAGTTAAGTACGTTTAAGTGAAACAGAGCATTTTTAAGTTTTTATGTTCATAGGATATGGTGACAGAAGACGAAGTTGTGATGAAGTCGTGGATATTTTTTATGAATTGTTTCCCGATCGGGAACGTATTTCTAAATCAACCGTTTCAAAAACATTGCAGCGTTTTCATGAAACTGGAGATGTTACAGATCGACGAAAAAGTGGAAGACCAGTAAGAGTTACAAATGAAGAAAAGTCTTTAAATATCATGTTGGATGTGGTAGAAAATCCTATAAATTCGACACAATAGAGGGGTTTACATCATAACATGAATCGATATTCCATCCAAAATTCAAAAAATTTGCAAATGGGAAAAATTACATCAATAAAAAATTAATTTGTTACAAGAATTGAGTGAAAACGATTATGATAGTAGAGTTCTGCGGGAGTTATTATGGATAAATTAAACGAATTATATATGACTGAAAAGGTAATTAAATGCTATTCAATTGGATGGCCAAATACAGGGTGTTCTATTTAAAAAACCCATGTTTATGTAATATCGGAAAAACTGTGCGATTTGTAAAAAATCCGAGTACGCCACTAGTTTCCTAATAAAAAATGGAACAGATAATGTTCAAACTTTTTTCTTCTAAATTGAATGACAACGGAGATAGAGAGGTTAATGTAAATGGGCCATTTTTGAAAAAAAAACCTGTATATCTAAAACTAATCTAGTTAGCCAAAATCTTTTGGTACCAGCGAAGTAAACTCAAAAAAAGAGGACGGGACATCGATATCAGTTTTTTTTGTATCTATCACCGTTTTGGCTGTACCCCATAAAACTATCGAAAATCAACCACCCTCTAAAGTCTAATCGCCTGATCAGTTAATCAAGTTTTAACCGAGACTCAAAGTACCGCACCTTAGTGTTTTCAATTATAGGCATGATACATCTAATATAAATTTAGAATTAGTTTTACTTCAGAAAAGGTAAATTTTATGTAAGTTATCAATCTCGAGTTGCAAATGTATTTTTTGTACTAACACATAATTTTATCTTCAGTTTAAATCAAAATGACCTATAATAAAACAAATTATCAATTGTCTTTTAGTTGTTTCCATATAGCAAAATATGTACTCCACAAAATTTGTTTTTTAACTATTTTTAGGTAGGTACATATACAGGGTGATTCACAACTTATCCAAAAAAATTTGGGAATAGATGCGGCATGAGAAATGGAGTCAATATTGTAAAAAAAAATTTTGTAAAATCCTTATAGTTTCTGAGAAAAAAATTATTGAAGTTATAGCACATTAAACCACTACATAGCTGGACAACTGTAGTCTCTAGCGTCATTCGCAATACGCGTGGAGAGCCATGTGACTCCTAATACTGAAATCCGTCGTTGCGGTAGTTTTTACCTGTTATCTGTGGTATTTACATCAGTTTTTTAGTAGTTAGTGTCAAAAATGGCTTGCGTGTATAGCAACTCAGAGTTGATGGATATCGTTTTAATTTATGGTGAAGCAAGACAACATTTGTATTATGGTGAAGTATTTGTGTTATGGTGAAGCAAGACATCATTTGTGTTAGTTCGTAGAAAGTGAGTAAGACGGACCCAAATGTGTTTACACGTGAGTGGATAAAATTTTGAACAATTGCTGTTGCAGCATCGGGTATGTCAAATGATTTTATTATTTAAAAACACAAATTAATTTTATTAATAATTAATAAAGGCAAAAGCATTTGAATTTGCCGATATAAAATAGGTGCGATAAAATTCTATTTACATATTTCTTTCCTTGCGAAAGTTTTTGTCCGTTTTTATCACACCGCCATACCGGTCGCATTGTGCGAGGTCAGGTTTTACAGTGGACCAGTTTCCAGTGCCGTGCAGAAGTGTATTTTTAAATCAATTTCGAACTGACCTTTTTGATTTTTTCTTTACAAAATTGTATTTGTAAGGGTCCCCTGTACATAAAGAATTTTTTTTGGATAAGTTCTGAATCACCCTATATAAAAAACAGATAGCATTGAACTTAAATTAACTGCAAAGTATAATAGTAAAGACATTTTCATTTTCGTTTTAAGACAAAAAATATCGATAGGTTCATGAGCCAATACCTAATAGAAAAAAAGGGACAATTTACCTACGTTCACTTACTACTCAAAATGCAAATATCGTATAAATACTACAGTTTCTGGGTGCCTAGTATACATGATTGTACGTACGTTTTATATTTATCGTAAGATGCAAGATATTTCCAGTCAAGAACATCACAGTGGACAAATTGAGAGCAATGAATTTCAAATGAAAAATGACCCCTGGTTTGTTCACATCTTTTTTCCTTGGAAAAATAAGATTCCGGCTTAAATATCTCAGAGAATTTTCCATGATGACGATATCATCAGCATCCATTTTTGCCGGCAATTGCTTCTTCAGGACCTGTAAACTTTTTCTCTATTTATGATCTCGCTTTTTTATACCTTTGTAATTATTTTTGTGATTTCTGATCTCCTGCAATTAAATTTGGATTCCGCTCCCATATTCAAGTAGCAGATTAAGATATAAAAGCTGTTATTAAGACATTAGAAGTATAAGAAAAAAATGGTACCGTGCACATAGGGGACAGAAATTAATTTTTAATGATATTGTAGTGGCATACTAACTACAACTTTAAGGCATGTTATATAGAATACTTGAATTTTTATACATACAGGGTGGCCAAATGATAACGAAACGGAGCCATTTTCAGGAACTGCGTCAAGATTGTAGAAAAACGCTCAGACCCGTCGACTTTAGATTAAAGGGGGACATTCTTTGCTGGTATTTTTGACTCCGCCACTTTCACCCCCAAGCAAGGGTAAGTATCACCCCAACATATTTAAATGGCATTGGGGGTTGAGTAATATTTCTTTTGGAAGCTCTTACAATTCTCTTTACAACAGACTTTAAATTTTATAATTCCGCCCAATACTTTGAAAAAAATTTACATTTTAAAATTTAAATTATGTTTAGTTGCTTACTTACTACTTAGTTGATTAAATGTTCAAACTGATGACCGTCCGCTTGCATACAACAATAAAGATTTTGTTCGAAACGTTCGCGCACATTCCGAAGCATTCCCGGAGTGATTCGACGGTTTTCGTCGACAACTCTTTGACGCAAATCTTCCAGCGTCGCTGGCTGTGTTTTATAGATTTTACTTTTTAGGTATCCCCACAAAAAGAAATCAAGGGGCGATAAATCCGGTGATCGTGGAGGCCACTCAACGTTGGTCCAAATACTGACAGACAATTAACACATAATGCGGAGGAGCACCTTTCTGTTGAAAAATCAAATGATCTTCATCATACTCTAGAACATTTTCAATAATATCAGTCAAGGCAGGGTCAGTAGCGTCTTCCAGTAATTGCAAGTACATTTGGCCCGTAAAATTACCAGGTAGAAAAAAAAGGACCCACCAGCCGGTCACCGAAAATTCAAGCCCATACATTTAATTTTTCCGGTTGCTGTGTATGCACCTCGTGAAAAACTCTTGGGTTTGATTCGGACCAATAGCGGCAATTGTGACGATTTACCGTCCCGTTCAAGATAAAACTGCATTCATCAGAAAAACAGATGTTAAAAAGGAACTGCGGATCGTTCTCTGCTCGCTCACTCATTATTTCGCGAAATTGCAAACGGCGGTCATAATCATCCTCATGAAGTTCCTGGACTAAATGTATTTTGGATAGATGGAATTTATTCTTCTTCAAAATGGTTTGTTTGCTAGTTGGGTTGATCTCAGGCACAGATGCCAGCTGCCTCGTACTTAATGTAGGATCAAGATGAACTTGTCCCAAAACTGCAACTTCACTAGCTTCATTAACTATAGGTTTTTCAATTTCTCGTTTTTTATTGGCTACGTTCCCTGTCTCTTGAAATTTTTTTACTAACTCTAGAACATACTTCCTCCTGACATGTCGATCTTGATGTTGTTCATTAAATAGCTGAGCTGTTCTATTCGCACATTTATTGTTCATAAAGTAAAGCGAAATGATATCTACCCTTTCCGCAATGGAATAAACCATAGTGTTTAATTTTCAAAAACACAATTAAATAAACTACCAACCAACGCTTCCAAATAATACTAGAAAATAATTTGGAATCCACTAATTTTACGTTCATTGTGTGTGTATAGCATTCATTTCTGTTTTTTACAATTGTGTTTTTTTTACGAAAGTGATAACAAATCGCCAAAAACCAATGTAACGCAAGAAATACTAAATTTATACCATTGGCGTACTTAACTCGAATGACTGACATTTTTACCGTTACTAATTGTTTGTACATAAGTTTCAACTTTAAAATCAAAATTCTTAATAAGTATTGGGCGGAATTATAAAATTTAAAGTCTGTTGTAAAGAGAATTGTAAGAGCTTTCAAAAGAAATATTACTCAACCCCCAATGCCATTTAAATATTTTGGGGTGATGCTTACCCTTGCTTGGGGGTGAAAGTGGCGGAGTCAAAAATACCAGCAAAGAATGTCCCCCTTTAATCTAAAATCGACGGGTCTGAGCATTTTTTTACAAACTTGACACAGTTCCTGAAAATGGCTCTGTTTCGTTTTCATTTGGCCACCCTGTACATATATATCACATGTCGGTTATCGGATGTCGCAATGTTTACGCAAGATTTGAATTTATTAAAATATTCAGTATAATACTTTAAGAAATTCCGCAAAAACAATGTCCAGCAGTTTTTTACAGAAAAATAGTTATTTAAATTTTTTTTTTCTGTTTCACCATAATAAATTAATACTGTCTATTATGTTAATAGTCATAGAAGAAATTGCATTTCCTGAAGAAAGCTGTTTTTGGACATGTGTTGTTTTTGAAACAAAGTCTGCAATTCAATGACTGCATGAGTCATTTCCTGGTCCTGTAATTTCACGTTTTGGTGACCAGAATTGGCCCCCATGTCATGCGACATGCGATTTAACGCCGTTGAATTTTTCTTTGGGTCTTTTTGAAGTCAACAATTCCACGACCACCCACGCTTTGAAGGAGGAAATTGAGCGCTGTATGAAAGAAATTCGGCCGCATTTATGAAAAACGGTGGATGCAATATTTCTACAAAAAAGTGCGTATGTGCCAGCACAGCCGTGGAGGCCATTTTTGCTATTCCATACATTATCCTGTACTGCATATTTTATGAATCAATAAAAAATTCACATTACATTGTAAACAAAAGTTTGGTTTATATTTTCAAAATGCAATATCTAGGTATTTAGGTATGTACCTATACATTTCTTTGAAATCGTAAGAAAATTTCCTAAAACTTAGAATTGATTTTTTTCTAGATGTGATATAGAGGGTAGAATATTACGCTAATACCTTTCAAAAATTTGTTATTTAAATTTGTAAGTTCCATTACTCTATTACATTAGTTAATGTATGGAATTATTTCCTTAAATTAATAGATTTATTAAAAATAACTCACTTTGAACTGCTAGTCGTATACTTCTAGTTGAAGAGTATAAAGCAATGTGTGGTGAAAAAAAATTATGTATTGTCGATTTCGCAATATATTCAAGCGTAATAAATAAAACACGACCTGCAAACAATAATTATGTACCAGGAAGATTATCCCCAGCCTTTATTTACTACAGTCTATACAGTTTTTAATAAAAAAAATCATTATACGAGTATATTTCTACCTTCTAATTTCTAATAAAAGTATGTTAAGCTGGGACGCCTTTAATTTACATTACTTAAATGTGTATCTACACGCAATTTAAAATTAAAATGTAGATAACTTTTCAAAAGTTCGATTTTATTTTAAAAAATCTTTGATTTGTTTAGCAGGTTCGATGAGATATTTTTTCTTGGTCAATTTTTTAATGAAAAATATGTTTTCATTAATATTTTTTTAAATATGATAATTTAGCTCCAAAATTTCGTCTACTGACAAATTTATTTATTTATTTATTTGCCATTTGGGACACAAACAGACGAAAAAACCCACTAAAGTATCCACTAAATTAACAGATATACATCAAACAACAGTACAAAGAGTTATAAGATTGTAAACAGCATAACAAATATTATAAAAGAAGTATACGTTTGAGCAATCTCTTAAATGAAACTAAAGATGTAGAGAATAAATCTAAACTGCTACAAATACGGTTATAACAACGCATCATTCTGCACACAGTGGGCATTGTTATGCTTAAAAGGAATGAAAAATAAGTCGTAGAACCTAAACGACCTGCATGGTATATTAAAATAGTTATTTGCACCATAAAGGAGGTAAGTATTATGTACGTCGAGGAGGATTTTGCGCGCGAGCGGAGCGAGGGCTGGCAATAGAGTCCGAGACTGGTAAATTATACTTAATTGCTGTGTGGTGTAGGTATAACATTTTATCTGCTCCCACAGTTCATTATGATTCATGAAATGAAGATTAGGTTGTATTAAGTAGATGTTACAACCAACCAGTCGGTTTCTTTTTTATGATTCTTAATAAGATTGCACAGTTTTTGAAACTAGAACATCGTGAAACATATACATGCCATTCATTCCGAAGAACATCGACAACGTTACTGGTTAATGCAGGAGTTGATGTATTAGAAATCAAGAGACATGGTGAATGGAAATCAGCCACAATTGCAGAAAGTTCGGAAGAGTCATCCTTACTAAACATCAGATAAAAAAATGGGCTTAGTAGCTATTAGTATCACCTGTCAGTATCAGAAAATGTAAGCAGCCAAAAACCTTTCAAGCGAGATATCTCAAAAACTGTGAATATTTGAATAGAACTATTCTACACAAAGTATCCTTTATTTTTGATGTAGAATCCGAAAAATATATAAAAAATGTGTGTTTCCATTTAAAAAACCAAAGACGGTGTCTGGCCAGGAAAAGTGGAACACCCTGTATAGTTGAATATATTTTTAATTTGTACATTCCGAGAAACGTGGCAACACAGTAAAAAGAAAAATCCATATATTCCTCATTTTAACATAGATATTGTACTTTCCCGCACTAGTGGTCACGCTGTATATATATTGGTATATGACGTAAAAATAAGTACTAGCAAAAGTTAACAAAACAATAATTTCTTACTCATAAGGAAAGCGATTGTTGTGTTCCACGGTTAATCGTCTCCGGCGATCGGTAAATACATATTTGAAAAACAAAAATGACCGTTCAACATTTACTGAGGTCACAGGCCCATATCTAAAATAGTCGAAGTAGTATATACTAATGATGGCAAAACATCAACTATTTCACATTTTAGTAATCCCACTATCACACTTACATGTCTGCCTCCGATCTGAAGCTTCGCATCGATGAATTTATTCGATACGTATCTAACGGCACCCTAATGCCTGCCCTGTTGGATTGGCGTACAGGTGAACAATTTAGGTTTTTGCTGAGGGACGTTAGCCGTGGATTTCATTGTCGTTTGTGGGTGAGTGAATTTGATGCTTTGCTTGGTCGAATGTTTGGTACCTGTTTTTATGGCAGCCAGTAGCGTTGACCACAGATTTAGCCTGTTTCTGTTACTACAACGCGTAGCGCCGCTTTTACTAGCACAATATAGATCACTACTCTTTATTTATTTGATAGTCGCCACAAAGTTTCCGATGTCTAGTAATCATACGAGTATATTAGGTAGCAGTAGAGCGTACCAGGATGGAGAAACGACGTGCATCTTTTGTTTCTCTTACAGGTGTCATATTGGAATTTTGGAGTCGGCATATTTTACTAATTTACCTACCTATTTTTTATCAGTCAGTTCAGTCTAGTTAATGTGAAGGTTATTTAATGTTTTTTAGACACATTTATAGTTCCATATAAGTAAAGGATGTCGATGTTCCTGAGTATTTTGGAAATTCGATAAATCCATTTGATCCGTATCTAAGGGCATCTCAAAGAAAAGAGCTCTTCTATTTTATTCGATAAATAAATCAATTTCGAGTTATATGTTTTTTATCGAAAAAAAAACACCAAGCAGTTAAATACGCTGAAAATGATTTTAAAACTGTCCGTTTCACTAAAAACGTTTGTGTAGGAATGTTTTGTTGCGATACAATGTAATCGTGAAGAAAAAAAACAAATGGCGTAGAAATTTGCCCCTTGCTACCTCTTAGTAAATTTCTACCTCAATGTTTTTTTTTATTCTCAACGATTACATTGTATTTGTTACAAAACGTTCCTATACAATTTTTTATTTGTGAAACGAACAGTTTTAGAATCGGGAATCAAACGCCAATAGTTCTGCAGAAGTTTTGATATTTTTTAGAAACTTTATCCATAATATCCAACATAATGCGTGTATATCAAATTTAGTTCAGACATTACTACAGATTATATTTACAGTAAATGAAATTTTTCTGGGGACATTTAACACCCTCTCGAAAGCGATTAAAAATACTATTTCAATTTTTTGTTGTTCTATTCGCTTTCGAAGTTTGATTGATTAAAATAGGGACGCCCTGTATAAATGCTCTGTGTAGGTAGGAACGAAAATAAATATATGAAAGGATAATGAAAATATTCTATGTAAAAGAGCAACAGGTAATGAAATTTTAGTCTGGTTTTAGTTAGGTGTTACTCAAAGAAAAGAAACAACGTATTTTGCAGGTGCTTAAAATTTTTATTGACTGGAAAATTATTAAATTGCTGTTTCTACATTATCATAAATACACGTGGTTTTGGATAATTTCAATAATTATCCTTTCACAACTTTACAATAGGTATCTAATATCTATTCCATTATATAGGTACTACGTTGTCGAAACCGACAGTTTAATTGCTGGCTGTAAGGACCATTATTACTTTAAGAAGTGCTGCTGAGAAGTGTTAAATACGAGTAAGACGTCTTTAGTACCTAAAATAGATGAAAACAGTGACTGGAACAAATTTACGTACAACTAAAACAATACAATAACGAATAACAAAATTTTCATGTTAGGTATATAAAAACTTGAGTATAAATAAAAACCCGAGGTAGAAATATATATTGGCGGAAAATTTCAAGGCACGCTTCTGCCGCGGTAAATTGTTACAGTAGTTCCGATAACGGAACTTTATTGGCTTATTCTTTTCTTGGAATACTATCTGAATAAATATCGTATCATTCATTCCCATGGTAAATAAGAGTCATTCATGTAACATTCTACCCCTTTTTATTTCTTTTTTCTTTATATTTACGAAAAAATGGTAAAAACCAAAGTTTTTAGTAAATTTTCGTCTAAAAACAATTGCGTTTCGAAAATATAAGCAACTACTTCGTTTTAATTTAATGGAAAACCCTTTATATTTGTTATTATTTCGAATCTTCTTTTTTTTCTGATTACAGCGATTGATAGTTTGCATAATATCTTGTGAAGGAATCTTTAAATACTCTATTAAAAATAAATATCTTATAACAAAAGGTGTTTCATCATACCTTATTCTGTTCCAGACAAAGGACATAATATGTATTAGATATTTTTTTAATGTCTTGTTACCCATTTCATTGATTGTACTAATTTTATTCAATAATTTCTCTTTTAGGCGTGTAAATTTCTTTGTTTACTTAATTTTTTAGAATCCTCCATAGAAATAACTTCACTTAGGTCAAATTGGTCTTGCGGATTTTTTATAAAAAAAATATTTAAAAAAAATGTGCTTTGTCGCGATCACGTTGAAGTGATTGTTGAAGAAGTTCAGTATTTTTTCATAATAAAGTATTCAGAGATCTATTTAGTAAATTTAATAGCGGAAAAGCGTAAATATGCACTAGATTTATAGCAATCTTAATTTTATCATTGTAGATAAACCAAAATATTGTACAAAAAAAGACAATGGTTTGGTCTATTTCTTCGAGACGCAACAGTATAATTTTTTATATACTTCGTTGATATCAAAACAACATTTTCCTCAATTTTGGCCTTTACCTAGATAAAAAATTAAAAAAATTAAGGGCCCATATAATTACATGAATTACAAAATAAAATACAAATTTTTTACCTGATGAAAATTGGCTAAGTTACACTGATACATGTAATAGAAATATCAACAGTGGTAATTTTTTTGACTTCAATAATCTGTTAAATTATTAATTAGATTCAATAGAACTAATTTTAATTTTAGTTACATGCTATAAGAATTTTAACAGTTACGTATTTAATATGCTGACAATACATAAACATATTTGCTATTGCGGTCATATTAGTCTGGATAAGTTTTAAAATTAGTTGATGGCCTTAAATTTGATCAATAAATCGGCCAATTTTTACTAATAATCTGGCAGATATTATTTTGGAAAATGAAATTTTTTCCTGGATACAACGAACTTTTGCTAAATTTAGGTAATTTTCTCAGTCCTTTCAACTTTTCGCAGATTTCATTACCCAGTGCAATAGTAAATTTTGTTGAAGTGTTAACATTAGCGATCATTACTCATACTTACCGTTAATATCATAGCATAAGTCATGTAACCAAAAGGACCGGCGTTTAGGAAAATGGGTTTTTGGCATCTTAGAAGAACCAGCACCAGGTCTTTCTGCAACTCTTTATTCAAGT